AGTCCAGGCTCTGGAGTAACTTCTGCTCAAGGAGTCACCACTTCACAAGAGAGACCACTACAGCTTCTACAGAGAAATAACAACTCTGGAATGTCAATCAAATGGTGAGATTAGACCAGAGCTGCCACTTCTCGATCGTGGAGTACCTCAGTTCCGGGAGTGTAACCTTGGCTCCAATGAGAGTAAACCTTGCAACCCAGGGATACTTTGGTTCCGGTAGTGTAACCTCAGTACCTAACTTCTGGAGGAGTCAAATAACCTCGGAGGATGCGTCAAGTTCAGCAACTTGTATCAATTTCGGATCATCAATAACTCGGAGGAGGAGAAGGAGCAACTCACGAATATCGATCATTAAACTGAGATTAGACGGAGCTGTATCCTCAACCCTCGGAGCAGATTCCACTCTAGAATAGATTGAGGAGTAAGCACTCGGAGCAGTGAGTCCTCGGAGCAGATACAACTCTCGAATATCAATCACAACTGAGATTAGACAGAGCTGTAACTACTCGGATCAAATATAACTCTGAGGAGATATAACACTTAAATAATCGGAAGAGTAATCACTCGGAGCTGGCAATCCTCGGAGCAGATACAACTCTCGAATATCAATCACAACTGAGATTAGACAAGAGCCTTAATTACTCGGAGGAGGAATTACTTCTTAAAATGACGTCACTTCCGTCAAAACAAAGATGGCTGACCGCTTGGAATTCTGGGAAGAAGAAATCAAAATGGCGGACAGCAATATGGCGTCAAACTCAATAATCAAATTGCCAACTCACCCAAAACTGGCTGTTATCTTCTTGTTTCTCGCACAGTCAAAAACGAATGCAAAACGAATGCAAAACTGCAGCAATAATGACAGCAAATAATCCAAATAACCTGTAATATAGTCTAATATAGTTCTCAATTCACATCGAACACGCTCCCACATAAAATGATATAAACTGACGAGGTGTTTCCTCTGCAAAGTCTTGGTTTACTCTGATTTACAGGTCACTTTCTCACACTCTAATCCCAGTCATCTCAGAATGCATCATGGGAAAACTACAACTTACATTGGCGGTAAATTCAAATAAAGACATCTGATTGGCTGAGCTCTGTTGCTGGGTGCCTAATTATGCAAATTTATTCCAACCCAGCTTGCTGATCAAGTAAACATCCAAATCACAGGGACGGAACATTGAATAAACATGAAATAACATAAAATCCTGTAAAATAAACGTTTCACAGGCCCTAGTACTACTCAGGGGGAATTAAAAATTCCCACAATATCTTTGATTAAATCGAGGAATCGTTCAAAAATAAACCCAGTACTAAAACTTTTCGAAACCATGTAAACTGCTAAGATGACGTCATTTATATCCGGGATTGCTTTGCAAACTCCACACAACAGACTGTCCCAGCTTTTCTCCTGCTTTCTCCTGATGCAATTCATACATTACTCGGAGATTACTGTCAAACGTTCCAAGTTTTACAATTTTAGCATGTTTATTACGATCTTATTCCTGCCAGTATCAATGAATAAATCTATTGACCAACAGATTGGAAATATGTATTCCAGCGATACCCTCATTTTGACGAAAGAATGGTACAAATATGTCCACTAATTATCGAGATAACGTGTAGAAAAATCGAAGAAAGACATCACTTAAGAAATTTCTAGACTGAACTGTTCACGCTCGCAAGTGGCATCTCCATCTCCATATATGGGCAAAAAGGTGGAGTTAACAATAAGCAATGCAGGGATTGACACGATTGACACGAAGAAGTCTCGATGAATCTCGCTTAAACTCCGCCCCTTCTTCACATGAATTCCGGCTTTTGCTGGGACATATCCGGGCATCTCGGCTTCGAACCCAATCAGAAGTTTCAATTTTGACTGGCGCCGCATTTATTATCTCAAGTCTCACCCAATATTTTTATGTATACGTTAACAAAGATTCTCCTCCGACTTTCGTCGATCGACCTGAATTTAAGTAATTTTTGTCGGCAAAACTGCTTCGATTCGGTTTCCTCGTACAACATCAAATACCGATACATATACATTTTCTTGCTTCTTAGTCAAGATGACGCGACTTCCGGTCGAATGACAACCCTATTATCAACAGAACACGCAAAATTTCTCCACTAAGAGGAAATCTTCTTCACTTTGTTGATTTTTTGTGAATTCACGACTGAATTGTGAGTTTCAAGCTAAATTACATAGCTTGTATTCGCGAATGCAAATATAGGCTGTCGGCTACCGGATTAACCTACTATTTTATGACCAACTCATTTAAATATGAATGGAATAGTGTACAAATAGTGACTGCCATTGAGGGAAATAGTGCAAAATATTTTCCTCAAGGGAATATCCTGTCCACTGACATGTTCCCGAGGCTGCAGGCCGAGGGAACAAGTCAGTGGACAGGATATTCCCGAGAGGAAAATTTTTACACTATTTCCCGAAAATGTGGCAGTCACTATTTGTTTTATTATATACCTGATAAGTACTGACTGTAAACAAAAACAAAATGAGAAGTCTTTTCATTTCAATATCAAATGTTCACAGGTTCTTATTGGCATTTAAAGGCATATTACCTTTCAACTCCTATAATCTCAGATTTGGGGGAAGATAAAACGTACTATTGACTGGTCACATGACCTAACTAGTGATTAGTACAATTCATCTTCCCTGAAAGCAGGGATTTAGGACTTTCCAGGGAATTAGTTCATCTATTCCATGTCATGTGACCATGAATAAGCCAATGAGCATCTAGAATACATTTGAGGTATATAATAATGGCAGGTACTATTCATATTTAAATGGGTTGCCCATAAAATAGTATGTAGATCCGGAAGGCGGAAGCCGATAGTTGCATTCGCGAATACAAGTTTAGTAACATTTCTTATCAGACGTTGAACTATAGCAACAATATTCCAGGTGTAAAAGAAATTATGGTCCTTTGGGGATTACGGTGTCCTTTCCTTATGGCCCTTACTAGCCCTGACTGTGTATAAATAATAAGTAAAATAATTGCAATTAGGTCACCATATAAATCAATAGAGGGTAGGACCAAAATTTGATAGGACCACCTACCCTTTTACACCGGCTTCACCAAAACAGTGGCGACTTTAAGCAATGCATATAAAATCGAAACGGCAACCTGAACGTATGAATACCCTAAATGCATGTAGTTTTCTCACAAAAACAATCGTTCGGTTACAGTGTTTACTTAGTCCGTTACTTAGACTACACATCATCGTGTAATATGCCATTGATAGTGATTTAGCTGGTACATATTTTAAACAAGCTCGTTTAGTAAGATATTTGGAGCTAAAACAAAGCACTAAAATACTGAAGAATTTTTGAAAATTATTATATGGTACCTCTGAGATAATATATAAAGTATATAAATGGGCATACATAGTACCCCACACACAATTTTGTCGCCTACTTTGATGTGTTGTAGAAAAATATCCAATAAGAGTTTTCTCATGAAATTTGGCATACATTAAATTGAAACAATTTGTGACACTGAAATTTTTTTGTTTGGGGTAATATGACTTCACCACAATTTGACTTCGGTTTCTAAATTGCTACGCATTTACAGATTTGACCTAAATCAAGCTAAATTTTGAAACAATTTGTAACAAATTGATAACAAAAACAATTTGAATATTCTGGTCAATCCTATCCTTTGTAACACCATTATAATTCACTGGTAAAAGAAAAACTGAATCAAGCAGGAGTGACTGTTATAATGTTATGATGTTACCCCTGAAAGTTCACATGTTAAATCCATGTGAATCATTTCCAACAAAAGGTAAGCCGTCGGTGGCCATCTGTGAGGTATTTGGTGAATATGGCCTCCCGATCGTAGGCCAATGAAAAATTGAGTGCAAGCTCACTGTTAATAATGGCTCAATTGACTTAAACAAAATACAACCATTTTCTCGAAATTTTATGAGATGCGAACTATTGGAAAGGATTTTTTCAAGTGATCAAGTGAGACAGTAGAGGTAGGGGTAGGATGGGATAGAAATCCAAGCAGGAATGTCTTTCAGTGCCCTGATGAACCTTTTTAGACTTAAAGCCAACAAATCATATGACACATGCACCTGTCCATGTATTGAAAGTATTAAAAGGGGTTTTCACTCTTAAACAATAATGAAACCACACTTACAATATTCCTATTCAGGAGTTAAACATCTCCAACATATAGTAACAGTATCTTAAGATAACAGACAAACCATATGTAATGCAATAGGTTTGTAATCAAAATGTAATCAAAATGATTTAAACTCTCTTTAAAACTGCAAAACTGGAAATTTTCGTCGAATTTTGTTAAAACATGAATATTTTAAAACTGCTTGTTTTTCGTCAATATTACTTAAATTTCCAAATAAAAAAATTTGAGTGTCACAAAATGTTTCAAGTTAAAGTATACCAAATTTTATAAGCAAACTCTTTTTGGATATTTTTCTACAATACATCAAAGTAGGCGACAAAATTGTGTGTGGGGTACTATGTATTGTTATATATCATTTTAAAGCATATGATATACTCTATCAGAATCAATAAGTTTTTAAGTCCCATTTTATAGGTTGTCATGGTTACAAGATTCCAAAAAATACTTTGGGTTTGTGCTTGGACGTGATATCACGTCATTCGTAGTCAACGTATGTGCTTTATGACGTCATATCACGTCATTCGTAGCGAATGAGTTAACATACATCATTTTCTTCAGACATTATACTGCGCATCGAAATCAATATTGAAAGCATAGTATTCAATAGGCATGAGTATACTGATTCCCGTTGACACCAACGTGAAGTTGCATAGCGTTCTAAACACGAAACCCTGAAGTAGCCTAAGTAACGCTTGTTTTGTATGCGCGCTATATACATTACTGTATTGATTCATTTACTTTGCGTTCGCGTTTACGTTATAAAAACATCGCTAGTTTAAAGTCTCCAGTAAGACAAATTAACGTTTTGTTCTGTCTCCGTTTCAGAGCACAAGGATGAGAACGCCTGTGTCAGAAAAGGGACTGGGAACACTTGTGATAAACAACTTGGATGTGGTTAGTACATTAGATTGTAGTTCTTGTAGCAACCTGTTGTTACGTGAGCTCTTTGGCGTCCTTTTGAATTTAAGCACGAACTTACAGAAAGTCTGTCTGGTGAACATGGCACTGAGGAATTTCACTATTTAAAGTCTGACCTTTGAATTCATAGCATTCAACTCTTTGAATATCTGGTCAATAGTGTTCCTATTTAGTTCTAACATACAATTGATTTGGACAGTATATAGACCGGGTGCTTTTCTGCAAAAGGTCTCTCTGTAAAATGTGGTAGGCGTTTAGTGTTAAAAGTGTTCTGACAAGTGTTTCTTATGTAACTTTTTATGCTGAATCCAAAAAACCATGTTGGCAAGCTGAAATATGATTATTTAACCCTTAAAATACCATGTTAGTCCCCCTACCCCCAAAATTCACCCCTATCAGGGGGAAAAAATTCTTCAACCTAAAATAACTTTGATTTTATGGTTTTTGTAAGTGAAATACATGGACATTGTATAAAATAAACATTTGAAGTAGGAATGATACGGATTACCCTTAAGAAATTTGAATAAAAGCAAAAAGTATGTACCCCAGGGGGCAAATTTATGACCCATTTTTTACTTTTCGTGTCATAACTTTTTTATTAGACAATGATGGATGCTAAAAAAATCCATGTAAAAGGCATAATACCTGGTCTACTAATCCTGCAAGAATCAAAGTAATTCCTTTGATAATTGCCTTGAAAAAAATTAGTGAATTTAAGAAAAAATGACATTTTAGCTGGGACTGATTTTATGTGTGACTATAACTGACCCCTATTGCTTTAACATTTATCCCTCTGTGTTCATATATTTGGCATTTTAGAATAAATCTAAAATATAAAACTTATTTTAGCTAAGTTTTGGGAAGATTTAAGCTTTCTAGCATGTTCAAATATTAAAAATTCATGAAATATGATGTCTAAAATTGATAAGTTATAGGTATACCCTTGGAAGACCCCTATAATTTCTTATTTATGAACATATTTGTACCAATATTAATTTTCTAGCTTAGACAAATAATGTATGATATATCCAGGCTTGGCTTTCTGGTGGTTTGAACAATCTTAGGTGTTATCATTGAAAATTCATTCTTAAATCATAGGTCTGCAATCGATTAAATTCATGTATACCATTAGTATCATTCTACTGGTATGAGCATAATTGAACTAGCTATGATTTCATAGATTAGTTGTTTGATGCATGACATATTCCAAGCTGACTTTCTGGTGATTTTAACCATCTAAGAGGCTTAATCATTGAAAACCATTACAAATAAAGGCCTAAACGGACAGTATTAAGGTAGACTATTAGAACACCCTTATTAATTCCAGGCTTAGAGTATATTGGTACCTACTACTGTCTCGTAGCTCGGAGGTTTGATATATGACATATTCTGACTAGTTTTTCTGCAGATTTGAACCACCTAACAGGTCTAATCATTGAATATACTTAATATACTAGGTCTAAAATTGAAGTATTCAATAGAACCCTCTATGATAAATTCAAAAAAGATTCAGAATGACATTAACCTCAACACTGGATGTGAATCAGAATTACAATTCTTCATAGAGCTGAACTAGGAAGACAAGGCTAATTTCATTCTAAGCAGCCTGACAATTGCATGACGTGAGAGCAAAAGGACCAATGATTCATACAAATCTTCTTTTTTTATGGAGTTTTCTTCCCTGAACAATGTTAAGTCATATTAAAAAATCCCCCCCCCCCCCACTGTCCCCATTAACCTTTCTGTGTTACTCTTGGCAAATTCTTGACAAATGGCGTATACTCACTTTGACAACATTTTGAATTAGTGGGATGTTTCAGTTAATGAGAGTTTTTGCAGAGTAGCAATTTTTGAAATTTAAATCCAATGGGACCATATATGGGAAATTCAAAAATGATTCAGAATGACATTAACCATAACATTGGATCTGGAAATCAAATAAAGCAACTGATTGATGTGATCTCGGATGACTCTTGTAAATCAGAATTACAATCCTTCATAGAGCTGAACAAGGAAGACAAGGATTACTTTTCATTCTGGCAGTAATACATGGGCATGGTCCAAATCTTGATACGCTTCACCATAGCCCAAAGAAAGGGAAATTGGGAGCTTCATCTCAATGTACTTCAATGCATGATCCCCTTTTTCATGAGATATGACCACCAAAAGTATGCAAGATGGGGCACAGTACACTTCACTGCTGAAGTTTTGCTTCCTTGAAGACTGTAGCCAAATCCTCAGATGTAGATGCAATTGATGCTAATTTGTAAGAAGGATCATATATTGGAAATATTACGGTTGGCATTTCAATACCATTTGTTAAACAGTTAAGGAGTAGAGTACATTTGAGTTGGCTTGAATGTTTCATTCGTCAATGAGAGGGCTATTGGAAAAGACATCAGCTCATGTTTCATTATTTCATTGATGCCCACGGGTCTGTGGTTAGCTTCATATGCAGTGATAAGATTCTGCAAAACATTCCTGTCTGCCTTAACAACTTTCTGCTCATTTATATTGGGATTAGGCATATAGTTTAAAAAATGTTGGTGCTTGCTCAGTAGATCAAGAAATGTTGTGTCTTTCATTTGACCCGGTTGGTATCAACCTCTAAGACACAAAGACATCCAGTTGTTGTTGGCCAAACTGTCGAGCCTGTTGATTGTTTCTGTGAGTACATCTTTTGTACATATACTTTGGAGATTAAGTAATGGATCTTCTGAAACCATGCCAAACTTCAGCAGCATGTCACATATTTTATCTTCTTCCAGAGACTGAATACTCTATCTTTTATGAGTACTAGTATCTACAACTATTTTTGATGTTATGAGTATTGGCTATCAATTTTTTCAATTTTTCTTCAACATGTATTGTAATGACTTCAGTATGAATGAAATGTCCCTTGGTGTTCTGGTCCTGGATTGTGATATTGGTTCTCGATTGGAGGGGGGAGGGGGATGTTAGACATTGTTTCTTTTCACGTTAGATTATGGTTTTGGGATATATAGGGTCTACTTTTCTTATGACAGATTTGCACTTGCGGTTTGCTTTTCTTGTTGGGTTTCTTTAATGTTTTTAGTCACCCTTCCCTTTGGCATTTGTGCTTATATATCCATAGATTCTTGTTTTGATTTGCAAATTACCACCCCCCCCCCCCCTCTATGGAATCTCAAAACGCAAGTCCAAACATCATTCTTGTTTGGACTCCCCATGTGTGACCTAAGATTATACCCCGGTGCCCATCTGTTCAATGCAGATATTGTCTTTGTGTTATGCCTACAATTCTGCCACCCTTCTAACCAATAGCATACTGGCATAGGGGTCAATCAACTTGGTTGATTGAATTTGTAGAGCCTTTTACCACATAGTTCAATGCAAGAATCCTCGCTCAACTGCAGCAGATACTATATTCTAATAGTTAGTGCATTTCCTCTAAGTTTACTGTGCCACACCTTCCATAATTTTGGTGGTCATGAAATAAGGGATCATGCATTGAAATGCATTGAGATGAAGCTCCTAATTTCCCTTTCTTTGGGCTTGGATGAAGTATAGCAAAATTTGGACCAGGTCCATGTATCAACACCAGAATGAAGTTAGCCTTGTCTTCCCTGTTCAGCTCTATGAAGGATTTTAATCCTTATTCAGATCTAATGTTGAGGTTAATGTCATTTTGAATCTTTTTTTGAATTTTCATAGAGGGTTCTATTGAATACTTCAATTTTAGACCTAGTATATGAAGTATAATCAATGATTAGACCTGTTAGGTGGTTCAAATCTGCAGAAAAACTAGTCAGGATATATCATATATTAAACCTCTGAGCTATGAAATAGTAGTAGGTACCAATAAACTCTAAGCCTGGAAATAATAAGGGTATTCTAATAGTGTACCTCAATACTGTCTGTTTAGACCTTTATTTGTAATGATTTTCAATGATTAAGCCTCTTAGATGGTTTAAATAAACAGAGAGTCAGCTCGGAATATGTCATACATCAAACTAATCTATGAAATCATAGCTTGTTCATGTTAATTATTTTGGGCAATCTTGCATATTTTGCTTTAATATTTCAGAATGATTTACTTCATTTAATGTGGATTTTGTTGTGAACATTTAATGATAATCTGCTTATAAAGTAAAAAACTACAGCATTTTACAACACATGCCCCATGTGGCCACCACTCCAGCCAACGAAGCTGTTGATGACTCTCCTACACATACCAACATGGATTGCAAAGCTTCTGATGAAGCTATCCACTTAAAATTGAAGAACATCTGAGAATTTGTCTGACACTAGTTTTACTTCTCTAGATAGATTTTAGTCACGCCATGGACAATTGAACAACTTCCTTCGCCAGATTTGATTGTGCATGTAGAGGAGAAGTGGCCACATTGGTTGTAAAGTGCTGTAGTTTTTGACTCCACAGGCAGATTATCATGAAACTTTCACAACAAAATTCATATTGAATGAACTGAATAATTCTGAAGTTTTGAGGCAGAATATGCAGGATTGACAAAGTTAACTAACTTTTCTTCGGTCCTGTTTTTTGGACACCCTGTACCAGTAGAATGATACTAGGCTAATGGTATACATGAATTTAATCGATTGCAGACCTATGATTTAAGAATGAATTTTCAATGATAACACCTAAGATTGTTCAAACCACCAGAAAGCCAAGCCTGGATATATCATACATTATTTGTCTAAGCTAGAAAATTAATATTGGTACAAATATGTTCATAAATAAGAAATTATAGGGGTCTTCCAAGGGTATACCTATAACTTATCAATTTTAGACATCATATTTCATGAATTTTTAATATTTGAACATGCTAGAAAGCTTAAATCTTCCCAAAACTTAGCTAAAATAAGTTTTATATTTAGATTTATTCTAAAATGCCAAATATATGAACACAGAGGGATAAATGTTAAAGCAATAGGGGTCAGTTATAGTCACACATAAAATCAGTCCCAGCTAAAAAGTCATTTTTTCTTAAATTCACTAATTTTTTTCAAGGCAATTATCAGAAGGAATTACTTTGATTCTTGCAGGATTAGTAGACCAGGTATTAAGCCTTTTACATGGATTTTTTAGCATCCACCATTGTCTAATAAAAAGGTTATGACACGAAAAGTAAAAAATGGGTCATAAATTTGCCCCCTGGGGTACATACTTTTTGCTTTTATTCAAATTTCCTAAGTGTAATCCGTATCATTCATACTTTAAATGTTTATTTTATACAATGACCATGTATTTCACTTACAAAAACCATAAATTCAAAGTTATTTTAGGTTGAAGAATTTTTTCCCCCTGGTAGGGGTGAATTTTGGGGGTAGGGGGACTAACATGGTATTTTAAGGGTTAAATAATCATATTTCAGCTTGCCAACATGGTTTTTTGGATTCAGCATAAAAAGTTACATAAGAAACACTTGTCAGAAAACTTTTAACACTAAACGCCTACCACATTTCCTCTAGATGAAAATGCACCTTGTCTAATAGTTGTATTCTATGAATTTTACATTATTTAGAGATTTAAGCCTCAGTTCATTGTGGACTGAATCATACCTCAAGGTGTTGTTATCAAATCTTTTCACGACCACGCAGCGGGAATCCAAACAACGCCTGTGTGGAATGAATCGTCAACTCTTGGGCTTAAATTCCTCCCACAAAATCACCTAAAAGATACGAAATCACTAAAAGAACATATTTTCAATTAAACCTTCTTAATCATCAATTTCAATCAGCTTGACACCATTCAAGAATGACCTTGGGTGCGGTGATTGGTTATATAATGCAACTGCAGTTAAATGAAATACTTTGTTCAGATTGGCTGGAATCGGACACACTTTGCCTAGCTATGTGTGAATGAATTATAACAAACAGTAACAGTATAATATCAGAATGGAAAACTTTAAAAAGTATTCCCATAATGCCTTGGTCACATTTGCTCTGATTTTCACTACGGCGCCCGGCCGATTGAGTATTTTTTTCAAAATTGAATACAATATTGAACAAAACACTCAATCGGCAGGGCGCCGGCCGATGGATCGGAGCAAATGTGACCAAGGCATAAAGCTCGGCTATAAGCAACCTAGATTTATAGTTTTTAGTCTTGGTTGAATTGTTTTACTAAACTAGCATTAGCAAATTCAACTGTTGGCTGACGATATGACCGTTATATTATGTCCAACTCGTTTAAATATGAATGATAACAGGAGGTACTTGCTGATATATATTAACGGTCTCCCAACCAATCACGTACCCTTTGCATTCGTTTGACTTCACTTCTTAAAAGAGAGCTGTAGTTTAACTAGACTCTGCACGCAGGGTACCAATCACGATATTTTGATATTTGAGCAAGATATAAAATATTCTTTGCACTGGGGCCTATCTATTAAATATTTTTACATTGGGAAAATATTGTTTTAGCATTTAGATGCCCGCAACTTAAGTCCCCAGAACATGGATCTATTACTCCCACCACAACTGTAACAGGATCCAGCAAAGCAGGAACAAGGGCCACGTATGCGTGTAAAACAGGATATACGCTCGTTGGTAACAAACTTAGGACGTGCAGTAGAGAAGGAATATGGAGCGGTGATAGCGCACCAAGTTGTGTAAAAGGTGAAAATAATTTAAAAAATTTAATCTTGATTCTAAATTCTCTTTCATTTTACAGCAGAATAAAAAGGGCGTGCAACATTTTTTCCTATTCATTTTCTTCTACGCTCTTAGAACTTTTCTGTTTTTCTAAAATTTACAGTAGGTGATATTGATGTTGAATTTGATGGGAAGATGACATTATGCGGAGACAAAAGTGGTAAAAGGACAACACTAAAAATAGGTCAAGATGCCTTCATGGAGGTTTTATTAAAATACACATTTACAAATACAAACAGGGAGAACGCAAAGGATTTAACATATCATGTCTTGTAAGTTTTTTCCATCATGTACAATTACAATTACTCATACTTAAGTGTATTTATTTTTTGCTTATTGGTTTGATGCGAATTGACTTACCATTGTTTCATAAATTAAATGATATAATGTCAATTAGCTTTGTTCCCTAAGCAAAATCGATTTTGAAATAATTTATTGTTGATAATGTATTTTTTATTATATAAATTTTATAAACTATCCACACCGAGATCTACTGACGCCCATTAAGTTATTATTGCCATTCATAAATAACAGGATGGAGGGGCCATGTAGGATTTTATCGAATACTAAATTGGCGACGGTACCAAGAGCGACAACCACCCGACCTGGAACAACTTCGAATGAGCCAAATGGCGACCGGTACAAAATAAGATGCATATGCACAAGGCCAGGAACATTTATTTTCAAGTTTTCCGTGTGGATATCAGGTCAATCTGCAAAAACTGTCCAGACATGTGATATTGAATGTGTTGAAATGTAAATTACCAATTAAAAGAGTAAAATGATTGTTGATAAGAAGAATTGAAAATGTGGCTGGTATCGTAAATTTGTAATGGTAAATCAGAATACCCAAGTGAATAATTCACTGAGCGATTTCAGGATCCAACATCTCATTTAGTCTCCCGGCCGAGGTTGCAAGTGGTTGCACTTTTCATATCCCCGCCAAAACTGATATACAGTGTATTATTTGTCCCAAAAAGTGAACCGCTTTTGTCGGCCCTCAGCAATAGATGAACAAAATTGTTTACTGAGTAATTCTAGGGAATCAACATCAAGTTTGCAAAATATATAGACGATCTGTCACAGCTTATTCTCGAATTGTCAAAAACGAGTGTTTCAAAATATCCCGTGACCCCATATCATGAATAAATCACTTATTTCAGTCTACATAAAGCCATATATTCCTAGGATGAAGAAAAGAACCTAGATATATTCGAAGAAGAAATCTCGAGCATTTCTCCCAATGATATTGGTGCCCATAACATGATAGTCATTCCATTCAAATATAGGATCAAATACATTTCATGATCAGAAGGTAACGAATACCTTGGTAGGTCAATTGTACATATGCTTTCTGTACTACATTCTGATAATACTCATCACATTTTTCTGTCTTCAACCAGAAATACTAGTGTGAAGGCCATGATAGAAGGCCATGCTATCATGATGACTGTATTACCCTCTTTCCACAGCCACCAGTTGACACGTACATTTTGATTCTCAATCTGCGAAGGAGAGAATAAAATTAGGAATCCTTTAATTTGCTGTATTGCATTATGCTGATTTTAGATCGTACAATGTTTCAACACGAGACAATAAGTTTTGCTCATCAACAAACAGTTTATGACCGCATGTAAATCACAAAGGCACATAGATTTAATTATCATATCAGACCATTACTATAAAACGGTCTAAAGCAAGCAAAACACATCTTGAGCAATCGTGTGCATGAAACATCCAGTCAGTTATCCTCGGTGTTTCTTGCAAACGAGATGATCTCATTGGTAGTGTTGAGTTTGTCTCTTGTGATCTTGGTTGGACTTGGACATGCTCAGAGAACTCCGTTTGAAAGGATCATATTACAAAGTCACAATGATCTTAGAGCTCTTCATGAAAATACACCTCCTTTTAAATGGCATCGAATACTTGCAGCTCGTGCCCTGAAACACTGCAAAAGTTTGGAGAGTACCGGTAGGTAAGTAACTAGTCGTAGTATACGAGATGTTTCCTCAAAAGGGCTTTCGTTACAATTTGTGAAGCTATGTTTGATGCTTGGTGCGATATACTTTGATCAATCTTAGGAAAGTCAAAGGTTTGGAGTTGCAAGAAATAATCAGGTTAGGCCCCTTCCAAATTGGGTATTCTTTTTGCAAATTGTTTATTTATCCATAATTAAAGAGGGACATGGGGTATAAACAGGAGGCAAAATAATGGAACAGCCAAAATAAGTGGATTTTTGATATTTTCACAAAACTGGTCAATTTTCTCAAATTTCATATTGATTGAGAAAATGTATTGCTTCCAATTTTGTTATGTATATCTTTCAATGTATTGATGTTCATATTCTGCATTTAGATTTTAACTTCATCCTTTTATTGGGTTGTGATAAGACATTTAAAAACAGAAATAACATTTTTCAAATTTAGTCCTCAAACTTAACCAATCAGAATCAAGTATTAAGCAATGCTGTTAATTACTTACTAATCCTGACTTTCTGTACTATGTTAAAGTGTGGATGTAACCTGATATTTTAATGGGAGTTGCTAGCAACTTTAAAACCGGCCTTTAAGGTACCTGTACAATTTCAAGAAAACTGATTGAATACTTGTGGAGTTATGACCAAAAGAACCTGGTTTTTCTATAATAAAAATGGCCCTCATTTCGAATCTTTGCAACATAACATATTTTACTGTTAAACTTGTAGACATTGTTGATAACCTAGAAAATAAGATACCTGTATGATTTCAAGCAAAATGATGGAATATTTGTGGAGTTATGACAATTTCAAGCAAATTGATGGAATGCTTGTGGAGGTATGACCAAAATAAGCTGTAAACTGATTTTTCTATGATAAAAGTGGCGGCCATTTTGAATCTTTGCGACTTGCTTCGCAGAAACTTTTAGACATTGTTTTAAGTAAATTGATCTTATGATCAACGAGCTGAAAACTGATTTTTCAGCACTAGAAATAACTGCCATTTTCAAACAAGGCGAACTTTAGAGACGCCATTTATGGAACAATTGACGACTTTCAAAGTAATATCATTTCAGTTCGTGGAGGCTTTTGAATAGGTTGGAGATTCAAAACGATACTAATTAGCTTCTGTAGTTTTTGTAATGTCTACTTTTTTGACTTTTTTGACATATGAATATTCTTTATGATCTTGAAATATCTATTTCTCAAGTTGTTCTAAACTTCAATTTTCAATTGTATGGAACTTCTTTTATCCAGGTTTGCCCATTCACCATCTTCATCACGTCAGGATCCCCACGCCGGAGAGAATCTTTGGAGGTCCATTTCTGTCCGGTCACAAGCAAATCTAATGAACAACTACATGGGGAAAAAAGCACCACAGGATTGGTGAGCATAAATGCCATTACCATATTCGCTTTGCCCAAAACAAACAATATTTTGCAAACCATTTCTGTTAATTTTGTTGGGTATTTAGCTGGGTATGATTAAACTGATTATTTATTCCTCTACCTCTTGTGTCAACTTTCGTACATGCGCGAATCCAAAATGCTGTCAGTTTGCAAACTGCTTGGTCGGTTGGCCCACGACCAAACACGCTAAATACGCACGTAATGTACATGGTGTGTTTGTTAGGTATAATGAGATCAAGTATTACGATTTCAAAAATCCTGGCTTTAGCTCAAAGACTGGTCACTTCACACAAGTGAGTAAATTGTCCTTTTTAGAAACTACGATACAAATAATATATAGAGCATCGCCTTCGAAAGTAATGTAAAAAAACTAAACACCACGTGCGAAATATTCTGTAAAATCAATATAATTAATTTGAAAAATTATTGCAAAATTGCAAAGCGCGAATTGTTCTAAAATGAGAGTCGCTAGCCTAATTCCTGTCTTACTTTTCAGATAGTGTGGGATAACACTAAGTACCTTGGTTGTGGTCTAGCAAGTGGAAAACGAGGAAATTGGCACTCTTATACCGTTTGTTGTCAGTACTCGCCACATGGTAACTACTTAAAACAGTTCGCAGATAGAGTGCATCCTCTGAAAATCGAGAGAACCACTACAACTACTACAACGACAACCACGATGAGGCCAGGTGACATATTTATACGTTACGTCATGTACTTATTTATTTATTATGAAGTGTTAATTTTGTGTGTTGTTATATATACTGTTTTCTGTTGTATTGATATATTGTAAAATTAGTGTTTACTTTGTGTACACTTAACCTTTTATGGGTATGAATGTGTAATAAAGTTCATAAATCTAAATCTAAATCTGTACACGTCATATAATGTTTTCATCAGGTCCGTGGTTTTCAGGACAATAGCAAGACAAATCAGTAGTTTCCGAGAGATCAGGTTTAAAGTTCCTGTTATTTCCTGTGACGCTCCGATGATAACATTTACTTACTTATTAACTCTGAAACTAGAGTAGCTAAGCATAAATCAGCATAGCCATTGTTCATATCACACCTTAATAGGATAGTTTCTAAATAGCAGAAAAATCAATGAAATCTCGTGCTGCCATCTTTTATTCAGCTTTTAACTCTGGCTAGAGCTCCATTCACTTACATGCTAAAATCTTGGAAAAGTGGCTAAATTTCATGATTTATCAAAGTGTGTTTGTTGAATCTGTATAAAACTTGAATGATATACCACATGATGACCCTGTTTATGAACATGTTGTGATTAAACATGCTAATGTTGATTGACATACAAATAATCCACGGTTTTAAAGAATTTTAGCATTGCATCTATGGACATTTGGCCCAACTTTTTTTAAATTGTCATAGAAAATTATTCAAATTACATAACTGTGTAAATCAAAGCTATTTTAGGAGAAAACATTCCACTGAATTCAAATATACCATTTAAAAGAAGGTAATGTAAGTCATTAGAGGTCTAATATGCAAGTCTCTTAAAATCTCACGAAAAACGAGATTTAGCGAGATTTCAAAAGCTATATGGAAACTATACTATTACATTGAATAAAACAATGGTACTACGAGCCAAAGTTGTGAAACACTTCATTGGGCGTTTAACAGATTTACATCACTTTTTGTTTCAGTGACTAGAACACATGTGCCGTCGAAGCCGAGAAATGGTGACATGACAGTGGATTGTCCGCGAAGCGGTGTCTGTACGGTGAAATACACCTGTGATACCTGCTTCAAACTTAGTGGGCCTGAGAGCGCATCTTGCCAAAGTTCAAAATTGTGTGATGGGTCTCTACGATTTTGTGATCCAGTCGGAATAGGTTACTTGGTTTTTGCCTTAGTTATCTTACGCCATTTTTTAGTAAGCTATAAAATGTAAAGTGCTCGGCAGAATTCATGCTTTTTATTAGACTAAATTTCTATTCAATATAATTATTATTATAGCCACTACAACCTGTAAATATGTTACATTGATTTTAATTTAAAAAAATCTGCAATTTATGTACGATACATACATGTATGCTCAGGCTACAACTAAGATGCTTGCTTTTATTTCAGACCACAAAGACGAGAATACGTGCGCCCAAAAAAGGGCTGGGAATACATGTGATAAAATATTCGGATGTGGTAAGTTAATAGGGACTTGCAATATGTGGAAGTTATTGAACATCTTGACATATGTTAACGCCCATAATATGGAAAAGTGAATTCACCCAGAATATTAAAATGACTACCAGGGCCGTAGCCAGGATTTAGAATTAGACGACTGGATGCTTTGATGTAGAGACCATGGTTTACGTTACTAGATGGGCACGATGTACCCGATGAAGGGGAATAACTGCAATTGAAAGTAGTTTTTAGCCATCTTACAACTCCACAACTGCATCATGATTTGCATTTTGATAGATTATTCATGAACATGTATGTGCATTTTTCAGCATTTAGGTGCCCACAACTGAAATCACCAGAAAATGGGTACGTAACTCCATTCATGACTTCAATGTTGTCTAGCAAACCACGAACAAGAGCTACGTATGTATGTGATACAGGATTTACCCTTGTGGGTAGTAAGTACAGGACATGTAGTAGCGATGGGATATGGATTGGTAGCAGGCCAAGTTGCGTTAAAGGTGACTTTAAAGTACAGTTTCCATATAGCTTTTGAAATCTCACTAAATCTCGTTTTTCGTGAGATTTTAAGAGATTTGCATATTAGACCTCTATATTACTTACTTTGCCTTCTTTTCATATTTGAATTCAGTGAACTGTCCCCAGGAACAACTTTGATTTATACAGTTATGTTATTTAAAACATTTTTCATGACTTTTAAAAAAACTTGGGCCAAATCTCCATTGATGCAATGTTTAAATTGTCTAAAAACCTTGGTTTATTAGTTTGACAACCCAAATTTGATCACAATAAGGATGTTAAAAGGTTCATGATATATCAATCAAGTTTTAAACAGATTCAACCAACACTTGATAAATCATGAAATAAAGATCTTAATATGGAAGTCAATGAAAGTCTGGCCCAAGAAAAAATCTGAATAAAAGAAGGCAGCACTGCTTTTGATTTTCAGCTATTTACTTAAGAAAATAACAAACATTATATTGACCTCCATAGGTTATTTTGAGATGAGAACAATAAGAATGGTTGTCAAGGTGACAATTTGACCCTACAAATTGAAATTGATGCTTTGCCAACTTGACCCTGAAAATATGTTGTTTTAGTGATTTCTTATCTTTTAGGTGATTTCGAAGAAAATATTTTGCAATGTGTGAAAAGAATTTAACCCCAAGACTTAATGCATTGTGGCTGATTCATTCCACTCGGGCATTATTTCGTAAACGTTCCACTCGATGCTGTGCATCTAGTGCAAATGTTGAAATAATACCTTTTTGAATAATGAATCAGTCCACATACTGAGTCAAGTCCCCATTTTAAGTTTGAAAATATGTGTTCATTATTCATTTACTATTTGTTATTATGACTGTAAAAGTTATTATTATCGCTTATTATTATTATTCACGATTTTTCGAACAAAGAGTCTTTCAAAAACAATTTTTTGAAAAGGGTTTCTTCGGTAACATTCGGTAAAACTTCAATACAAGCCAAAGTGGTTTAAACTTTGGGGGCTTTAAACTAAACATCGCGGTGTGATGTTTAATTGCGAAAACATATTTCTTGCGTCTTTTATATCTAGGTGTTCAATAACAAGTCATTATATTTGTTTTCAAAATGTTGAATCATTCATTTTATTTCTGTCCAATAATGTTTTTCGACCAATCAGCGATGATGATATGGCGTGGTTGACGTCAGTCATAGACCAATAATATAGAAGTTCATATTTCCATGGTACGATAGGTTATTCTCCAAGGAGGATTGGCTCCCAGGATCGAAACGCGGTATTTTCCAACAATGAAAACGTCAAAATGTCGTTAATATCTGAAATTTTAACCGTCTTTAAATTCAAAATAAACAGTCCAAAATATCAGAACCAATATCTTGATCATTTCTAGTGAGTTTTGGAATTTTTCGTTTGGAAAAAAGGATTCAGATGTTGAAGTGAACAAAATGGCGGTTGTTTGAATTCGAATTTAGTAATCACGGCATGTCCATATATGGCAAAAATATCGATGTTGCACTCTGGGAGCCAATCCTCCTTGGTTATTCTTCTATGATCTTTCGTCGGAATGGTAAGATAATAATTCCTATTTTACAGCTAATGTAGTTGTTGCTCAGTTTGCTGCCGAGATGAAAGTCTGTGGAGCTAGAAACAGCAAAACTAATACCGTGAAAATAGGCCAGGATGCGTTCATAGAGGTCATTCTAAAACATGCCTTTATTAATCCAAGCAAATCAAAAACAACTGAAGTCGTGTACCATGTTTTGTAAGTTTATTTAAAATAGTATAGAGATATATTTTAAACTCATATATTCTAACATTGTAAAAGTAAAAAGGGGAGTTGGGATATCCGTATGATAAACGAATTTGAATTTCGCGCCAGAACCATGTAACATGAGATAAATCCAAAGTCATGATAACCAATCAGATCATTTCTCGTGATATCATATCGCCCCGTAGATATCGAATATCAACACGCATTCACGTTCGCCCACTCGTGTTGATATTTAATATCAACTCGTCGATGAAAATAATATCACTCAAAATAATTTGATATTCTGTATATATTTGGCAAAAATGAGAAAGTTGACGTCCCTTTTTAATTCTGATGAATTTGGACATTTCTTTATTCTAATCTTCAGTAACTTTTGTTTTTAATGAGATATTTCAATTCCTTTTACAGAATGACGTGCCTTTGATTGCTACAAACATTCCTAACACTCTATAATCTCTTCTACACGTTTTAGCCTACGGTCATATGTAGATTTCAATTTTGATATTCTCAATTTACAGGATCGATGGTCCGTGCAGGGGCTTAACTGATACCAAGAAGGTGAAGATTCCAAAATCGACAACTACCAGACTTGGCATAACTTCAGATAAACCTAATGGCGTGCCATACGAAACCAAATTTATATGCTCAAAGAGAGGAAAATTCACTTTGGAATTTTCAGCATGGTTGTCTGACCAAACTACTAAGATCGTTCAGACATGTGAAATTGAATGTGTTTAATAACATTTTAGTTAATAAAAATTAGTTGACGCACATTGTTTTACCTAAATTGCACTCATAAATCTTCCTGTTTTTCAATAAGGAAATATCTGGAATATGAAAAACAAACCTACATTTTTCACCAACAACCACCAACTAAAGTAAAACATAGTGCAAAATTTTACTAACTTTTCTTCGATATATCTTAGTATAGATTGTTGGTGCTGTTTGTAACCCATTACGACTTTAATCAATGAAACTGTTTTCCCTACCAAACATCCATATCGCGTGAAGAGCATCTTTAAAATTTTGTGATCCCAAGAATTAATACTGGTTTTAAGGTCGCAGATGGCAAATTCTTTGCAAAAATCATTTTTTCTGCCATCTATATATAATAATTGCCTTCAATGATATTAATTTACCTTCAATAACATTGTTCGACTTGTTAAGTATTGCGTTCGTTAGACTTCACTTCTTAAAAGATACTTTCGTCTTTGTAGTTTATAACTAGACTATGTGCGCAGGGTACTTTTTTCAATCAGAACTAAAAATAAAAAATAAAATGCTTTACTCTAAGAACGATAGCTACCCTTGTGAGCAATTTCTCACTAACCTAAATAATGTGAAACAACAAGAAATGTGTTTAGAGTTGCATAAAGTATTTTGTATAGTACTGCGTTATGTTGAATAAAACAAGACACACAGTGATAAATATCGCACTTTGAAGAGCAAACTGGCCACCATGCAATTTACCCAGCATGGCCAAAACCTAATCAGACCTTGGCACTAGTCTGCTCTTGCATCTGTAAACATTTCAAGTTGACAAGATTAGCGGTTTTCCTGCAATTTTGATGACAAGAATTTATTTGTAGTCTTGAACTTTGGGAAAATTTAGATAACATTGTTTGTGACCTAATTTGATGACCTTCGACCTTGAAAATTTCACTTTTTCAGACCTCAGTAGGTGTTTAGTAATTAAGCTGACCTAAATTTAAATCCAAAATATCAATTTAGAAAATCAAATTTTTGACCTTTCAAGGTCACTGAAGGTCAACGAAAGGTCAAATCTGAAATCTAAGGTCAGATTTGAACTTCTGAGAACTTGTAGATGTTTTTAAAAAAAAAATTTCGTCAATTTGGAGCAAGTTGAAAAATTCAAAATGGCCGCCAAATTGAAAAATTCAAAATGGCCACCATGTAATTCAGCCAGCATACCCAAAACCTAATCAGATCTCGGCAATAGTCTGCTCTTGCTTCTGTAAAAATTTCAAGTTGAACGGATAAGTGGTTTTCCTGGAATTTTGATGACAAGATTTGTTGAAAAATTCAAAATGGCCGCCACATAGTTTACCCAGCATGCCCTTAACCTAATCAGATCTTGGCACTAGTCTGCTCTTGCATCTGTAAAAATTTCAAGTTGAACAGGTAAGCAGTTATACTGGAAATTTGATGACAAGATTTGGTTTATGTGCCGCCCGCACGCCCGCACGCCCGCACATCCGCACGCCCGCACGCCCGCACATCCGCACGCCCGCACGCCCGCACATCCGCACGCCCGCACGCCCGCACATCCGCACGCCCGCACGCCCGCCCAACAGCACAAGACGACGACAATATAGCACTTTTTCAAAGTGCGATAAAAAGAAGCTTACATTGAGTTACATAAGATTGCATAACAAAGTAATCACGAAAACAATTAATCATCAATTTCCTTGTTTCCAATGCCCTCTAAAGTTTAAATGAACGGAAATTTTTCAAATATTTTCCACATTTTCCATTTCACGGGAATTAATTCGTCAGAATCCATTGAAATCTTGGATAATATTTTGGTAAAAGAGCGTGTACTCTTATAAAGGCATACTTTCATGCAATTAAACCTTTTATCATTTTTAAAGTAAAAACAATATACTGATTTTGTGAAATGCCCATATATTTTACCAACTGTGACTAAGCCTGGGGATAATTCTAATTCTCTTCCATTTTATTGCGATATTCTTATATTCTTGGTATTTGTTTTGAATTTTATCAATATCTAATATCGAGGTGTACTCTCGCCCAGGCCTTGATCATGAGAACTCGAGATCTGTTGATTCAATTATACGTTCAGGTAATGATAATAAATGAGAAATTATATTTAAATAGTTCAAATAAAGTTAATGTATTCTGTTCAGCTTCACTTCATAAGACTACGTTGTGGTTAAATAAATTGTTATCATTAGTAATGGCACAATATATTTTCCTTCATAATAATCCTCTTGTAAATAACATCCGCAAGTTAGTCACGTTAGTTTACTCTGACCTGGAATGAGCCTTGACTCACATATACCTTGGAATTGTGTTTATGATGTTGCACGACCGAGTTCCAGGTTTTGATGGATCAAAACAGAACCAATGTTAAATGTTCATGCATATGCTCAATGCATAGAGCTGAAGCCCTATCCACTTTTTATCTTATATTAATCTTTCAAGTTAAATTTTCTTCAGACTATCTCTGCATTATGATACGCATATTTTTTTCTCTTACGTTTCTTTAACTTGACTTCTACACGAGACTAAATGTATACTATTAATTCAGGAATTGGAAATTCATGAATTTCAGGAAGTAGTCAACTCATCCCGTTACAATGGAAATCCAAATAAAACAATAGTGAAGGGAATACCAATGCATTTTCTCACCTTACAGTAAAAAATAATCAGGTATTATTCACGTAGTTCTTTTGGAGTATTTCAAACTTATCGAGGAGAATGGAGAACTGAATACTGATCGGTTCAAATCAAGACTTCAAAACCAATATAATGGAATAGACCCTAGTATCAGAATAAACTAGGCCCATTTTTTCTTAGCATCTCTGTCTCACGTTCAGTAATTACTTAATTCCATGAACTAAGGTATGGAAGAGATAATCTATGGAACAATGTCAATCAACATAGACTGAAAAATTTTACAACAAAACTCACAACCTTCTTCTTACATTAAAGCACCCTCTCGGTCATTTTGTTCCAATGAGGGTATTTTCAAAATAGGTCGAGCAATAGACTTTTCAGGACAGAATACACTTCAATTGCAATTCTTTTATACAATGCGTATCAAAAAAAACGCAACAGATTGTTATCTTGGAAAAGCACAAAACCAGTGATAACAGCATTGATTTCATTCAATGCACCATAAAGCCATGTGTCTCCTCTTTACAATGATATATCATTCATTGATATTTGGTCATGGTTGGGCGAGTAATCATTCCATTTGCAAAGTGGGCCAAAATTAGCTTCGGCCAAGTTATAAACATTGCAAAAGTCAATGTACGGAGCCCGATGCAATATTGGATGAAAACATAAAACCAATGCTGACTGCATCCTTTTGATTCAATGTACCAAAAACCAAATTACTCCTCTTTGTAATGGAATATTATTCATTCACATGGAGTCATCTCTGGCCGAATGATCATTAATTTTGCAAAGTGGGGCAAATTTCAGCTCGGACCCAAGTTTAAAACATTGCAAAAGTCAGTATAAGGGGCATTGGGGCTATTGGAAGAAGGTGTGACAGGTATGGCATAGACAGTAAAGTGTTCATACTCATACTCTTGCAAGAAAACATCCTATACCCCTCCAAATTGCCACCACTTCCTTGCGCATAAAGATGCGCTCATCTGTCCACGTCATGCATGGTTCAGCCCTGAATCATAAGCAGCCCATGGGCAAATCTTTCTCGAGGTTTTGCAATATCTGGTGGAGGAATTGTGAGCACAGATGCTCCTGAGATAGCTCCAAAAGAAAAAAGTCACAACAATTCAAGTCAGGGGAACTTCCATTAGCACTTAGCCCTTGCACTGGTGTTTTCAATATCTAAAACTTGGTGCAGAGCCGATTTTGACCAACTGTGCAAATGGAAGGATTTCTCACCCAACCATTACCACATGTGAATGAATGACATATCATTGCAAAGAGGAGAGATGTGGCTTTATGGTACGTTAAATGAAATTGATGTAGTCATCAGTAGTTTTGTGATTTTACGAGATAACTAATTGTTGCTTTTTTTGATACGCCCTGTATTACCGTATACATATCTAATTTCGTGCAATTTATAAAGTACATGCATTAATGCGTGCGACTGATAAACAAACATAACGTATTACATCACAAAAGTACATGAAAATGTGGTTTAAATCTCGAATAGAAGGATCCGACCCTACCATAGCTAGGATCCGACCAACTTGTTAATGACGATAAGGAAGTAGAAACTCACTCTCTCCGCATGTATGTCGTCACCACAAATAAATCCAATGTTTTTGAGCATTCACATACTTAGACAACTTTTTTCAATTTAATATTCATATATTTATCAATTTAAATAGCGCAGTATAAATGTAAAATCAAAGAATACTCTAATAATGCAACTCACCTCCGAATTTCCCTATAGAGACGGTATGGTCGGATCTTGTGCACACGAACGGACCATATCATACGGAGTGGGATGTGGACCGTGAATGAGGTTCGGTTTCATTTCATTTCCGAGCATATGATACCAAGAACAAAAGAAGAATCTAGTGTGTTTTCTAAAACAATATAGAGAAAAGTATATTATGTTTATTATGCACCTCATTAAAATACTCAAATCTGATTGGTTCTTAGTTGCTTGTAATTTGGCAATACTCTGCTCTTTTCTGAAAACTGCCGGATATATTTTTAATATCTGACCCTTTCGAGAAAAATGGTCGGATATTTTTTTCAATGTTCTTGCAACATTCCCACTTCAGAGTTTTATTTCTTAATAACTGGAGTACTACACTGTGCAAAAAAGGCTATATAGTAATAGAATATCCTATTAACTGTGCCCTAATATCAACTGTCATAGTGTGAAATATCTCCCGTATCTCCCGTGTTGTATAGACACATGCTATATCCAGATATTTGGCGGACAACTAGTATAGTTGATACTATTTGCTACTCTACTAAATATGAACTAATATAAGCTGTGTTATATATCAAGGCTAACATATAGTTTGTCTACTACTCTTTCAGATCTACAGAAAGGATATACTAGCCGATTCTATGAACAACAGCTTCTTCTAGCATATACCAGGATATACTATTAAATCAGAGCTCCAAAAACAAGAGATACGCTAACTATACGAAATGACGTCATCACATCTTATTTCTGTAACTTATCTGGCTTATTAATGATTGATGACTTGTTTACATTGATAATTAATCCGTTTGTTAGAGTGAATGGATTAATTTTCTACAACCGAGGGTTCTTATTTACTCAAAAATAATTTTTGAGTACATTTTTTTTATATACATTTAATTGTATAATGTCCCTAATGCTATGATAAATTTGTGTTAAATTTTGAATTTAATTGATCAACTCCATGGAAAGTTATTTTTTTAATTATTGAGTTTTTCTCTCGATCGGTTTTACTCTGCAGATTGTTTACACCTGACAAGAAAAGCTATTTAATGTTAAAAACAGTTAAGTAAACTCAAACAATTTGTTTAAAATATCAGAGATTAAGCTGTTTCTATTTAGAATTTCACCATGACAAATTTACATTGATAATTAATCCGTTTGTTAGAGTTTATAACACATCTCATTGGTGCATTTAGAGATGCAAGTAAATAGCATGGAACTTAATGCTTCATAATTCATGTTCTATGTTATCTAGATTATCTGAAATAAACATCAGATTGGTCTCAGTAATACATTTGTTTCTATTTTACACTGTGATATTGATCAGTAATTGGGAAATTCCATTAATGCGTATTATTGTAGAATGATGCATACTATTGTAAATGTCATTTATACTGTAATATTGAGCAGTAATTGGGAAAATCAATTAATGCAAACTATTGTAGAATGATGCATACCATTAAAATGTCATTTTATACAATGATATTGAGTAATAATTGGGATATTCAATCAATGCATACTATTGTTGAAATGATGCACACCATTGTAAATGTCAAGTTACACTGAATATTGAGCAATAATCGGGATTCGGGATATTGAATCAATGCATACTATTGTAGAATGATGCATACCATTGTAAATGTCATATATTCTGTAATATTGAGTAGTAATCAGGAAATGATGTAAATAACATCTTGAGACATGTCAGAGCAAAATGCTAAAATGTTTAATCTCTAATTATTCAATTCAGTGGAATGAGTTTTGAAAACTAATCCGTTTACTAAAGTTAATGGATTAATTTCTACAACTGACGGTTCTAAGTTCCAATAAAAATAATTTGCAAATGAATTCTTTAAAATAAATTTGATGGCATAATGTCCCCAACGCTATGATAAACATTGTGTTAAATTTTGAAATAAATCCATCAACTCTGTGGAAAGTTACTGTTTTAATTTTAATAAGTTTTTCTCTCGGTTTTACGTGTACTACATTGTTTCTCTTTCACATTGAGTATATTAATCCATTTGTTAGAGTTTATGCATTAATCTGTAATGTCATGATCACATTTAGAGATACAAGAACAAGCGCATGAAACATAATACTTCATAATTCATGTTCTATGTTATCTAGCTTATCTGAGATAAACATAAGATTGGTCTCAGTAATACATTTGTTTCTATTTTAAACTGTAATATTGATCAGTAATTGGGGTATTCCATTAATGCATACTATTGTAGAAATGTATACCATCGTAAATGTCATTTTATACTGTAATATTGAGCAGTAATTGGGAAATACAATTGATGTAAACTATCGTAGAGTGATGCATACCATTAAAATTCATTTTATACAATAATATTGAGTAATAATTGGGATATTCAATCAAAGCATACTATTGTTGAAATGATGCATACATTGTACCATTGTAAATGTCAAATTACACTGAATATTGAGCTAGCAGTAATTGGGATTCGGGATATTGAATCAATGCATATTATTGTATAATGATGCACACCATTGTAAATGTCATATATTCTGTAATATTGAGTAGTATTGGGAAATGATGTAAATAACATCTTGAGACATGTCAGAGCAAAATGCTAAGTTAAACATAAATGTTTAATCCCTAATTATTAAATTTCAGTGTAATGAGTTTTGAAAACTAATCCGTTTATTGATATTATTTGGATTAATATATATACAACTGAAGGTTCTAAGTTCCAATAAATATAATTTACAAATGAATTATTTTAAATAAATTTGATGGCATAATGTCCCCAACACTATGATAAACATTGTGTCAAATTTTGAATTAAATCCATCAATTCTGTGGAAAGATACTATTTTAATGAATGAGTTTTCCTCTCGGTTTTACTACATTGTTTCACCTTCAGATTGAGTTTACATTAGAGAACAGAGGCTCCATTTTACACAGATACAACCTACAATCTGTATGCCCTTTGTTAAACAACGTGTATTCCCTTTTATTTCACAATTAATGTTTTCTGTTATCTATTATATCTGCTGTATTATAAGTGTAAAAAAACAATTAAGTTATCCCAAACAATGTGTTTATAAAATCTGAAAAACCACCAGATTATAGTCCCTTTGATAAAGTAGTTTCTATTTAGAAATCCTCATGACAAGTTTACATTAATCCGTTTGTTATAATTTATGAATTAATCTAATGGTACTTGTGTGGGGTACTATGATATAAAATTATAGAAAACAATTTTGAACAATGGAATGTAACTAATACTTATTAACTTTTGTACATACATTTTACCTCACCAAGTGTTAAATTCACAAAGTTATTTATCTTAATGACAAATCACTTTATTAATAGACAACAGAGAAGGGATAAGCTTCTCCAATTTGTTTATCTAATAGCTTAAATATTTAAGTTGTTGTTAATAAGCTAGATAAGTGATTTTACTTTATTAGCGCTGCAAGCAATAAGACCTGATGACGTCATTTCGTATAGTGAGAGTATCTCCTGTTTTGGGGGTCTGATTTGGGAGTATCTCCTGATATAAGCTGAAATAAGCTGTCTCTAGCACAGAATGGGCTGCATATCTCCATTCGTGTATATCCAGTACTGTATGAATAGTAAGATAAAGTCAGTTTTTAAGAGTATAGACAGAAGATATTTAATATAGATAGCAAATCTCCTGATCATATTTCCATTTAGATTAGTATAATTTGGGACCTATTCTTTGATATACCATCATCAAATAATTTGATATAGGTGGTATGATACTCACATTTGTCCGTATTAAACATTTGATATCTGACTATATTTTAGGGGATTCTAAGGAGATTTGCATACTATTTATGCAAATCTCCTGAAATAAAACAGGAGATATCGCACATTTTGCACAGTGCTACTTAAAGCTTACATCTGAAACTGGCGGAAAATAGAAGAAAAAATGCACTTAATCAATCACAATTACCCAAATGCGAGTAGGTAGTTACCAGTTTCACCACCAGGTGGCTGATTCGGGTCAATTAACATGGCAGGTATATAAGAAAGTTCCCTTGAACTTGAATATTATCAATTTAAGTGGCTTAATTTTAATATAACCCTTATGTGTCTGATACTTATACTAATGAAAATATGTCCAGTAAAGCAAAATATTATCTGTCCACTAAAAGAAAAGATATTTCATTTTTTGTAATTTTATAGCAAAGTTGATAAACACTTTTTAAAACAACATTTCTAGATGTAATTTTACATGTAGATTTTAAATATGACATTACTTTGACTGAGTTTTGAATTTTTAATGACGTAAATCAAGATTATTTCTACTCGCATCTGGGTTATTACCCTTATCATTCAAAAGTTACATATAATTCTGCAAGAACGTCTCGAATAAATAAAAATTAAATTCCCGGGGCAAATATTTTCGTCCAGCGTAGCGAATAAACTGGCCGGAAGTCGTCTGAGTTTTGAAAGAAAAAATAAATACTGTCAAAATAATGTCAACTGAACGACAGTTTAAGCCTGTACTCCAGTAAGTACTCCACTTAACTTTGATTGGGAGGTGCCGCCTCGCCCAATATTTTTTCTCGAATAGGTATTCTGCCATATCCAGCTCCTGATCATCCAGTATTTGTTTATTATTTCAAATTATATTGTTACCATTCAAAAGATGACCATTAAATTGACGATGTGTAAAATTGTGTAAATTTTTTAGAATTTTTTTGATGACTGGTTTAAGAGAAACGTGTGTTAAAAAAGTTCACCATATCGATACCCATCCTTTTAAATGTATACTTTTTACATACAAAATTAGTTTGACACTCAATTAGTTTTAGTAGAGATTGAAATCATGGCAATTTGTTATTTTTCAAATAACCTAAATTGCGTTATTTATTTTCCATTGAGGAGTGTAATTTGAAGCTCTCGTTTGCTCAGCGAGACTTAATACCAATCAGAGTATTTGCAAAATGTACTTTAAAACATAAAAACATTTAAACTTTTTATTGTACCCAACCCATGCTAATCTAATAGTAAACTCTTCTTTAAACAAATATATTATTCTCGGTCACGCTTGGATAACTTCGTCATAAACACCTTACGAAACCAGATTACGTCACCTGGAATATAAAAAGCAATGCGTTAATACCCATAGAACGTTTATAGCGTCTCTCAAACAAAGTGAACTGTGATGGGGATATTACTTCTATATTGTTCCTCTATTTTGATTCTGGAACAGATTGGATTTGGGTATTCTCAAACGACAGTATTTGAGAAGAACATCCTCAAAAGACATAATGAACTGAGAGCTCTTCATGAAAATACACCTCCTTTGAAATGGCATAAGTCGATGGCAACGCGTGCCCTGAATTACTGCAGATCGCTGGCGCGTACCGGAAGGTAAGTAACTGTATGTTAATCAAAGCTGTAATATTTTACCTTCTTCTAAGGCCATTGTATCGTGGCCAAGTATTGGCTAGAGACTCGAGTAAGTAATATTGATCATAGAAGAGGTGCAAGTGGTAAAGAAACTAACCAATTTGTTCCATAATATAATTCAAAATATAATAACTCTTGAAAACGAATATTTAAAATCAAAATCAGCATTCCAACACGGTCTCCATCTACAAAGTTACAAAATTGAGATGGAACGTCAATATATTAACAAAAATCCTAGTTCAAAATAATATCAAATATAGTTTTTCTTCTGTAGTACGGTGTAAAAGGGTAGGTGGTCCTATCAAATTTTGGTCATACTCTCTATTGATTTATATGGTGACCTAATTACAATTATTTACCTTATTATTTACACACACTCGGGGCCAGTAAGGGCCGTAAGGAAAGGGGACCATAATCCCCAGGCGACCATAATTTCTTTTACACCGGAACTGTTTTAGGTTTGCCCACTCCTCGAGTGCATCACGCAAGAATCCCCATGCTGGTGAGAATCTTTGGAGAATGTCATCCACCATCAAGGCGCAACCAAATCATCTAGACAGTTTTGGGATTAAGGCTGCTCAAGATTGGTGAGCACCATTAAATTCATAAATTAGCCAAAACAATCGAATTCTAATGCAGACGTGGATTCCGTTTCTTCCCGAGAGATTACTTTACAAGTAGAAATAGTCAGCCGAAATGCCGACAGTCTTTTAGTCACATAATATAGATTCTAATTAGCATACAATGTAGTATTCAAAACAGAAAAGCATGCACTGCATCCTTTGAATCCAACAACAACATGTTGACAAGCTCTGCTTGGCTTTGTCAGTTTCCCTCGTGTAGACGATGCTATCTTTAAGAAGCTTGGTCAAACGAATTCGAAGGGTAATAAAACACATCCCAATAGATAAAACTAGGTCTACGATTTGCTTATCCTGTGATTATATTCATTAGGTATGATGAGATCAAGTATTACGATTACAAAAAACCTGTCTTCGGCACAAAGACTGGTCACTTCACACAAGTAAGTATACACATTTTATTCTAATATTGACCTACATAATAATATACTGCTAACTGTAAAACTAAAAGGATTGGTATCGATATGGCGAACTGAATTCAACATTGATTTTCTCTAAAATACAATTATTGTAAACATTCTGTAAAAAAGCATGGCCCTTTATGTAATGGTCACTAATTGACAAAGGCAAAAAATGTTTAAATATATTTTTTCTAACCGTTTTTGTTAACATTTTTTGATTTTTAGTCCAATTGTTTTTGTTCCATTCTACCAATTCTTGGGAATGAAATAAAAGATGTTTCCAAACCTTGTTGGAACAGAATAGCATACAACCTTTTCATAGACTTCTCAATATTATAGTAATACAAAGGAAAATTTGGTTGATTTAACAAAAAGTATTCAATTTTTTTTTAAAAAGATAGATAAAAATAATGTAAACCTTTTATTTCACTAACAAGAGACTTTTTTTTAAAAATCAACTAAACTTTCCTTTGTACAACAATATTGAGAGACCTAAAGACGTTTTGTTCCAATGAGGTCCAGATAGATGTTTCGTTTCATCCCGAATATACCAAGAACAAAAGACGTATCTGATTATATCTTTTCAATTAATTTTTTTTTCATTCAAAAGATGATCATTAGATTGACTATATGTAAAATTTTCAGAATCTTTTGATGACTGGTTTAAGAGAAACAGGTAGACATTTTCAGTTTGAAACCGAAAATTATGAAGTATTGTGTCCTCCTTGGTTTTGCCGCATCGCCTATTTTTGGTCCTCGCTACGCATTTGTGTTTGCAATTCAAAGAAATGCCGATTCCGAATTATTTAATAAAGATTGTGAATCTGACTTCTTAGTTAGTCTGGGATAACACTGAATCGGTTGGTTGTGGTTTAGCTAGCGGAAAGAAGGGAATGTGGAACACGTATACCGTCTGTTGTCAGTACACGCCACCTGGCAACTACATTGGGCAATTCGCTCAACGAGTCCATCGACTGAAACCGAAAATCACCACAACAACAACTACGACAACCACACCAAGACCAGGTGAAACAAATGCATTATTACATATCATTCACGAGGGTCGTGTGGTCTTAAAGTATTCTATGTAGCAGTATTAGTAGTAGTAGTAGTAGTACAACAAAGGTGTGTAGTCAAGTAGAGGGGGTTCACAGAGGCTTGTAGCCAGACTTGTCTTCAAGCCTCAGTCACATTTGCTCTATGACGGCCGTAGCTTCACAAAATCGATGTAGAAAATCTACATTGTACTACTTATCCCTATTTTATGCTGTATGTTTCTTTCGGTTTTGGGAAGCCACGGCCGCCGTACGGTTGCCGTAGATCAAATGTGACTGAGGCATTAAGTAAATTTACTTTGTCTGTAATTCCAACATTAATTGAGTGAATGTGTTTGCAACTCTTTAGAAATGAGTGGCACATGTTTCATCTCTTTATAAATGAGTGGTACATTTACCACTACCATGGGGTTTATCTTTATCTCGGGTAAATACACCTTCATTTCCTTGCAAAGAAATTCATAAACGCGTCACCGTATTTTGTCCTTTACTACCCTTTGCATTCGTTTGACTCCACTTCTTAAAAGAGAGCTTCGTCTCTAGTTTAACTAGACTCTGCACGCAGGGTAGTCCTTTACGTGCAACTTCAAAATATTTTTCTTAAATATTGCATTGATAAAGTTTATATAGTACTATGTATAGGGAGCTTTCCCGAGGGAGATAAACATATTTCCAACATTATGTCCAGAACTAACTATCCCATAACAACTGGGGCTCAGTTATGGTTATGCGTAAACGTTAAAACATCCTGGCCTTGTTTGTTCTAGAAACTAAGGATCACGTACCGACAAGACCAAAAAATGGAGGCATGCTAAAGAGATGCTTGAGAGGTACATGCACGGCTACATACTCATGTGACACATGCTTTACACTAAGTGGGCCTGCAAAAGCCAAATGCAAAAGTACAAGATCATGTGAAGGTTCTTCACGTTTTTGTGATCCAGTTGGACCAGGTAGATTGTACACTGTTATAGTAACCGTATCATTTAAAGGTGCAACAATTACACGCCCGGTGATCGTGAAAATGGGACGGAGGGGGGGGAGCAGGCAATTTCCGCTAGAAAATTCAACAAATCTGGTAAAATTATTTTTTCAAGACAGAGTTTACGATTGAATTGCAAATTGAATAAGCGCACGGTATGATAAAATATGTTAGGTATTCTAGGATTATTTTTCAACCGATACTCTTTTAAGATATAAGATCTATTAAAAAAGGCGCAACGCAACCAACGTGCAAAAGTCAAAGTGTTTGCTATAAATCAAGCAACAATGGACTACACGACCTGTAATAAATACTTGTAAGTGATGTTATCATAACTAAATTAATGTCATTGCTGAATTTATAAAATAAGTTTCCATACGTAAAATAAAAAATAATCGAAAATAATTAAAATGGGACGGAGGGGGGGGAGGGGACGGAGGGGGAGTAATAATTCTATAAAGTGAAACAACTTCACACGAATTCTTGTATTTGAAAAATGAACTCATTAACTTAGTAAGAACTGGATGATATACCCCTGGAGACTGAAAAATGGGGACATTTGGAGTAAAAGGACTTAAAGTCGCGAAACATCTCTAATCATGTCTTATATACATATTGCTCCCCCTCCGTCCCCTCCCCCCCCCCTCCGTCCCAAATTCATTATTTTCGATTTTTTTATTTCACATATGGAAACTTATTTTATAAATTCAGCAATGACATTAATTTATTTATGATAACATCACTTACAAGTATTTATTACAGGTCGTCCAGACCATTGTTGCTTGATTTATAGCAAAAACGTTGATTTGTGCCTGTTGATGGCCTTGCGCCTTTTTTAATAGATCTCATACCTTAGATGCGTATCGTTTCAGAAAAAATCCCAGAAAACCTAACATATTCTACCATACCGTGCGCCTATCCATTTAGCAATTCAATAGAAAACTTTTTCTTGAAAAAATAAATCTTCCAGATTTGTAGAATTTCCTAGCAGAAATTGCCTGCTCCCCCCTCCGTCCCATATTCACGATCACCGGGCGTGAATTAGTACAGATTCAACGATCACCGACCAGTGTCAAAATAGATTGAAGTTTGGATACTTCATCAAGACTAACATATATTTTTATTATTATTATATATTGGGACTCCCTTTATAGAAGCTTTGAACTGAATTAACACTAATTCTTAATGCTGAAATTGATAGTTTATCCATACATTTTAAGAAAATAGGTATGTCAATGAAGATGTTAAGCCAAATGTTACCCTGGTAGCTCAGAAAAAGTGAAAAGTTTGGAATTTTCTCTCTACAGTCCTTGTTGCCCCTTTAAAGAACAATTGTTTTCCTTAAAACTTACACATAATGGACTTTATTCGTTGCAGACCACGAGGACGAGAAGACCTGTGTTTTAAAAAAGCGTGGGAACACATGTGATCGACTAACTGGATGCAGTGAGTACAAAATCTAGATTTTTCAGAAATGGTAGAAATTGCCAATTTTTACCAGTTTTCCCTGATACACATAATAGCTTTTGTTTCAGGAAGACCTAAATCATACTTGTACTCAAACGTATGTTGTTGTAGCATTTATGTGCCCGCAACTCAATTCACCAGTACACGGATCTATAACGCCTACCGCAACAACAGCTGGTACAAGCAAATCAGGAACAAAAGCTACGTACGCATGTGATACGGGATATGTTCTGGTTGGTACCAAGCTAAGGACGTGTGGTAGAGATGGGATGTGGAGCGGTAGTGCGCCTGGTTGTGTAAAAGGTGACAATTTGATTCTAAAACAATACATCTTTTCTGAAGAAAATACACTGCAAATAATTAAGAAAAGCTACTTGATCAATATCAGATGTGAAAATAGCTAAGAAATTAACCAATGTAAAAGCAGAACCACAAGTGAATCCATGCTAGGATGATCTTCATCCTAGATCCATGCAATACATGTTAAGTGTAAATTGTCAATTTGTTTGATCGTAGGAAGGTGGTGGTAAAATTTTAAACATCTTCTGTATTTATAGCTGGTGCTCTTGGAGTAGAATTCAATGCACAGACGAAACTATGTGGAGATCAAAACGGAAATCCAACCGTGAAAATAGGCCAAGATGCTGCTATGGAAGTCACCCTAAAATATACATTTAATAATCCGAACAAATTGAAAACCGTGGATGCGATCTATCATGTCCTGTAAGTTCTTATCATTTTTACCGTATTGTGCTCGAAATATGCTGTAACCATGCATAGGCCACTGTCTGAATAGATATGAAGCCAATCGGCCCTTTATAAGCAAAGGGGAAATGGTTACCTCGTTCCAACCGATTGAGGACAGATGGTCTATCGAGATAAGAACTTCCAAAATATAATATCAATAGAACAAGGAATAATTGATGATGGAAAAGTATGAGTTTTTGTGGGTATGAGTAACGAAAATTGTTTGACCGTGTCATCCCTCATTCGGGTTCGTTTTACAGCGCTGAAGTCCAAAGAGTCATGATTTTGTCACAGTGGTTTATTTTATACATTTGTGGAAAATAATTTTTGAAGTCAATAAGTTCGTTTTCCAGGATTTTGGAGGGGCATTTGCAAAAATGTTACCGATCGTCAAAATAGTAATGACATTAAATTTATGCATTACAGTGTGGACGGCCCGGGTAGGGGTTTAGTTGAAACCAAATTGGCGACAGTACCAAAAGCGACAACTAACCGACCTGGGACAGCTACAAATATGCCAAATGGCGATTCGTACAAATCGAAATTCATATGTTCAAAGACCGGAACATTTACATTAAAATTTTCATCATGGTTATCTGGCCAATCTACGAAAATTGTCGAGTCATGTGAAATTAAATGTGTAAACTAGGGATTATTGGTGAACAAATAAAAATTTAATGTTGCTTACAAATATTTCTGTGTAATGAAACTCGGCAACTAAATCAACACGAGAGCAAGATTTGTACATTTCGAACTGTTTGATTGAAAAGTTAGCCCATGCCCATGGTTAGCCTACAGAAAAAATATGGAAACTTTTCGGCCCACTCTGTAATTTTGATGCATTTGATAAGAATAATTCGATTTCAAAGTGATAAGTACTTCGATATACGAAATGTGCACTATTTTGCTCCATTTTGCTGATATTTATAGTAACATGTAGAATGTTCGGACTTTTAACACACATGAATATAAACGTTCATCCGTTCGGTTTATTATCGTTCGCAAAAGTAACGCAATACACCACCTGGTGGCGGGAAAATGGAACCGAAGAAAAAAGTAAAAGTGAAGTTTGTGTGCGACGATGAGGTGGTAGAGCATATTATTCACATTAAGGACAGTTCTAAACGTAAGATCACACAATTATCTTCCCTTTATTAGAACATATCGTATTTTTGATCACTAAATTTAGCGTAATTGTTATCTAAAAAATAAATGTGTATGCCAAAGCCTTACTTCCGGGTCATTTTTGCAAAAAATCCAGAAATTTTATGTTTTTTCAATGTATACTACAAATAATACATAGCAAAGTATCTTATTATATATTGCATATCAGATTACAACTATCATCACGCCGTACTTAATGCATGTGTGTTATAGCACATCTATTGGGATTTCTTTTTAGGCAATATCAGGCCTGTCAGGCTTTGTATAAAAAACCTCCTACCTCATACCCACCTACCCACCTACGTGGGACATGATACAGTCATTGAAGGGTTCAATTTTAAAGATTTTTAAATCTCAAAAAGCTCGAATTATTAACATTTCTACAATTCCGGCTTTATTTTATGACTTGACGGATGACAGATCCATAAATAAAGGCATATGGGTGCATTGTAATGTGTAATGACCCGAGGGCACCCCAGGGAAATAACTAACTAACGACTGCGAGCATAGCTCCAACGAGCCAGATAAAGAAATTGAAAGAAAGTGTGCTAGATTCGATGCCCCCAGTGGGAATTGAACCCAGCTGGGATGTAGTAGCAACTTGCTATCAAGGGTCGTTACAAATGCATCTATAATTCATCATAAACTAAGATTTAATAAACTAAGAACTTTAAAATTGAACCCTTCAAAGACTGTATCATGTCCAACGTACGTGGGTAGGTGGGTATGAGGTAGGAGGTTTTTTATACAAAGCCGGCCTGTCAACTTGGGAACACCTTATCGCATCCTACGACCCCTTTAGATTGTGGTCGTACGCGCGTATAATTGGTCAGTCAATGTTTTTACAAAGTTGGAGAAAATACTACGCATTGCACACCTAAATGACCTACCTCGATACATTCCTTAGTATTTTAGAATTCTTTTTATGTTGTTAGATCGCCAATTGTATGGGTTTATCGGCAGAACGAAGAGATTTTAGTTTTTACATTGGAAATATATCAGCAATTTTCAAAATGTCGGAAGGGGAATTCCCCAGGGATTTCCCTTATGACTGGTGCATGCTGGGAACTGAATGGAGGAATTTTGACGGTTGAAATAAGTTAAATATTACACGCAAATATTGCTTTCAAAAACGAAAATATCTTCGTTCTGCCGATAAACCCACACAATTGTGGATTCAACTACACAAAAAGAATGCTAAAATACCAAGGAATCTATTGAAATAGGTATCTTAAGTGTAAGTAGCGTAGAAAATTCTCCCATGTTGTAATCGTACAGACAAAAGAATAAGACGTTCGCAAGACTAGAACGTAGAGATAGTCTTGGAACGCGCGAGATAAGGAACATCTAGGCTAACATGAGTGACTTGGAAATGTTGAACACCACCTCCCCTGAACTCAAAATGTGGACACCTTGGTCCAAATCTGAACACCTTGATCCAAATTTTGAACAGCTTGGTATTTTATTGCATCTTGCCAAATTTTGAACACCTCAAATTTTTCGCGCTCGCTACACTCGCGTTTAAACAGTTCATCAACAGGGGGGGAGAGGTAGGTACGAAAAATTTTGGACGGAATGGGTGACACATACGTGATTCGCGCGAAAAGTCCGAACGGAATGCATACATTTTTTTCGCCGTTCGTATCTTTGCTGTATCGGCGAACTATTTAGAAATTTTCTACAGAAATATTTTTGCTTGACAATTACCAAGTAAAATGCGTATTTGCGTGACATTTTCTGTCACGCAAAAAAACTGCCATGACTCCAAATTCTTCAGGAAATGTGTGACAAATACGCAAATTGGGGACAGTTGACAGGCCTGCTATATCCTATTTAGTCTGAATTACTCGTATATTCAGACTACCTATGTTAAAGTTTGGTAATTCTAAATATTTGTTTACATAGGAAGTGCTCTTCAAAATGGCCGATTGGGTAAAATTAATTTGAACATTTGCTACTTCAACTAGCTTTATATTTATTTCCTGGCACCTTCATATTGGCACCCAGAAAAAATGCAAGGCTTAAGATACAGATGGGAAATCAGTCTTATTTATTAGGTATATCCACTATATGTCTGAGGAAGATATCATTTTCTTGAAAGATGAATGATAATTTTTTTATAAATTTTCATGTATCAAAATATGCCTTATTCTCTATGTAACAAATTCCCCCAAAAAAATCCACATTTACAAATATACTTCAAGCATGTACTTGAAGAGAATAAGTTCAAGTAATTTGACTGCATTGGAAAGATTAAGGAATTTGTTTTAAAATGATATGCAACAAGTGTGTCCATAATAGTGAATAGAGTTTTGATAACCGCTTGTAGCACACAACCGTTGGTGTAACATTTCATTGTAAATTTTATGTTAAAAAAGACAGAATTTTTCAACATATTTTCCAATGTTTGCTTACTGTTTTTTTAAGATGATATCAAAAGTACTGAATGTTAGAATTCTGTCAATAAAAAAATTATAGAAAAGGATGTAGCGGTTCCTGAGATATTGGCTCTCAAAATAAGTAACTGATTTTCCGACACGCAAATGTCTTTTCCGAAGAGCATGTGTATTTCAAGAATGAAGTAATATGATACACTAAAAACTATTTTAAAACAAGATGCATTTAGTTTCTTGAATATTCAAAACAAATTAGTAGCTTTGAACTGTCATATATACCTGTAAAATCAATTTCAAAATTCCGACACAAGAAAAAAGTCCAAAGTTGTTGATTTTCTTTCTCAGAGATATTTATTTTTATTTTTGACGTTTCGTAGGATGTCCATCCTACTTCTTCAGAAATAAAATTATATTTGAATCAAACTGAAATAATTAATTATTACATAACAATGAGACAAATAGCAACCGTTACTATAGAAAACTTCATTGATGTTACAATTAAACAATTAATTGAGAAAAATATTTTTTATATTATATATTTTTCTCAATTAATTGTTTTAAATGGCGGAGATTCAGAAATGTTTCAAAAAAGAAAATGCGGGACATCCTTTCAATTGCTTATTTATTTAGAAGTCTATTTGCAAGTCTGAATGGTGGTATTCGTCGACAAGTGCATACATTTTAAGAAAATAGGTATGGCGAAGAAGACATTAGGCCAAACGTTGCACTTATAGCTCGGGAAAGGTAAAATGATTCCCAAATTTCTTCTATGGTCTTTATTGAACCTTTAATTGTACCTTACTATACTACTTAATCGAAATTTTGTAATGTTTATTTTATTGAAGAAATGGTTCCTCTAATTGATAATTTTGTGCAAAAAATTTCATTGCAATTTCCACAGGAAAGTAGTACATTTCTGACTTCTAGTCAGTCTGTTGGATACATACTAGATTTCTTTTGAGCCAGCTGTGTTCAGTAGATCTAAATTGGGATCTATCTTTATCTGAGTCGACTTTACTTTTTCAAAGTCAAAGGCCATCATTTGTGTCATTCAAGCTATCAAAAGTACATCACTAGCTTGTGACATTATAAGGGCTCATTTTGTTTGATTGCGATCTTTCAGATTCTCTGCAACGCAGTGAAATACTGTAATAGTTGATGATTTCTCAATAGATAGGGCATCCGACTCTTTAATGGGAGGTCTTGCATTAGATTCCTGCACGGGCATCAAATTTAGCACACTCGCTTTCAAGTCCAGTATATTGTATCTGTCTTGTTACGCTACAGCTCCACATAGGGGCTTCGGGTCATTACAATACCACTAAAATTGTTCAAAAATTAACAACTAGTGTTACCCAGTTGTAATATTATTAATTCAAGAAAAAATATCTTAAATAAACTAATTGGATATCTTTAGTTTGAGATCCAATTCCTCATGTTAAACATGTTTATGATGCTAGAAGTCTTTTTGCAAGTCTATCTGCAAGACTAAGTGTAGGATTATGTGTCATATTATATAGATAAGGAATAAAGATATACAATGTGCACAATTTTATGACATATTTATTAATAGAAGTGAACGAGTTTCATGAACCATAGTATTACATGATGTTTTGCTTTTAGCTAATGGGGACTTTATAAGAATCATGGAAAACGTTTCTCCAATAACCACTGATGTTAAAGGAATATTCCTTGCCAAACCATCTCTCTCCTGATATGGTAGCTATAACCATATATATTATATGCTTGCCATGTTTAGCAAAACACGCAAAAATGTTTTGATATTGTCAAATTTGATCACTTAGAAATGTGATGCTCAATTCCAGTAAGCTGCCATCTTTTAAAATTTCACACAGGAAGTGATGTCATCGACTCTCAACTTTGCATATAGCATTAGGTGAGGAGCTATTAAGAATTACAAAACCAGCTAAATATTCTTTTTTAACTTTTTATCTTATTTAATCCTTCTGAAAATCTCTTCTTTTATTCTAAGTTGACAAGCCCTGAAAATATTTTTGCACAGAAAGTAATGATCACTTGTCTAGAAGTGATTTTGTGCTACTTTCCTATACTGTTATGGGCAAGGTTATAGAAGTTGAGAGTTGATGACATCACTTCCTGCAAGAAATCTTAAAAGATGGCAGCTCACTGGAAATAAGCACTAGATTTTTAAATGATCAATATTGACCATATTAAAACATTTTCCCATGTTTTGCTAAATATGGAAACTATATATATGATTATAGCTACCATATCAAGAGAGAAAGGGTCTGGCAAGGAATATTCCTTTAAGGTCATATTGCAATAGCTCTACCCATTGCATTCGTTCGACTTCACTTCTTGAAAGAGAGCTTCGTCTATCTTGACTCTTTCAGTTTACAATAAATCTCTATCTCACCGAGCCAATCAGAGTTTGTCATCGAAATATGGATGACTTTCTACATGGTCATTTCCTGTGACATCATCGCATAATTAAAGAGTACGTATTAAGCACATGTTCCTTCCACTTCACTGACTGGTTGAAAAAGGGCCAGCGTGGTAGATTTGAAATGAATTATTACCCGGCTGTCACAAGCACCAATCTTTGGGGGGGGCTGCTAAACTGTTATATGCTCTATACTAGGCAGAGGGTAGTTTATAACTTACTAGACTCTGCGTGTAGGGTACAGGAGCTCCTTTCTGCTTTTCACTTATATTTGCTTTGTCCAGAATGACTAACTTGTATTTTCTAAAAACCACTAATTGTTAATCCTTTCCAAATCTCCAGTGACAGAGGCTTTATGGGAAAAATTTATTTACTATCATATATTGCAAGTTGTAATATATGTATGTAACAATGCATCAATTTTTATTTGTCCTGTTTATTTTTTGAATATATTTCCATGCTTTGGCCATGATATCAGGACTTCCCCTGCAATGTATAGCAACCTTGCGCCTGCGTATTTTTTCATTAATTGTGAGAAATAGCTCACCCTGACTCCATAAGAAATGTTCCAGACCTATTGGATTGATTTCTGTTTTCTCAGCAATTATTCCAAGGTAGCAGTCGTCTGGAAATATGACAGGTGTATCACAAATTGCAGTGTTAATTGCCATGGTTGCTGCGATGCTGCTGAGCACTGCAGGTCCTGCTGGGTAGGGTGGGTACGGAACACCAGGGGGCCAAGGTATGGTGGATTTGTATGCCCAACGTGGGTGGTTAAAGGTAGGCTTGGCTCCTGTTATCACTAGACCCATAATTATTGAATCCTTTTCAGGATTCTTTGTTTTAATACTTTCAACCAGATTGACCAAGTTATATGGGTTAATTATAACGTCTTGTGTGATACGTAATATATACTTGACCTTGGCGTAATATTGAAGCACCCATCTGTACGCCATAGCTGTCTTTATTGTAAAACTAAGATAATCATCAGGAAAGTCTCCAAGTATGATATCTCCAAACTGTCTACTTTCCTCCTTAACTCTCATCATGTTACTACTCTCAGTAGGATTTGTACCTATGAGAAACAATATTTTGAGTCTCCATTTCTTCACGATGCTAACATTTCCAATTGCATCGCGTAAGACAGTCCTGAACGATTTTGAAACCACTGAAAAAACAGTTAAAACCCCTATTATTACAGTATGGCACACATCAAACATTTTTACATTGTGACATCACATAACTAATTTAGTTGTATTGAAAACTTATAAAGGTACAAGTATATTCATGTATATGGAATCAAAAGATACATGTGTAATGGTCAAAAAAGAGAAGCTAGGCCTTAGCATTGCTTGTTAAAGGAGATGCTTAAATGTATAACTTCTATCTGGTGACTTTGTAATTATGAATTCATGAATTCTTATTTTTGACCTCTGGGATTTGATAGAAGCTCAATCATCTGTTGGTATGTCCATCCTTCCATTGGTCTTCCATTGGTTGAACAAATCATACGCACAAATTAAAATTGCCCAAGTTCTCTCGTTCTTTTCACAAGTCATATTTTGTTAAGAAACCCTAATTATTTTGTTAACACAGGTACCCATGAGTTCTATATTATTAATTTGTACTACACAGTTTTACTTACCGTTTGAGTCAGACATAACAAGAACTAAAATCACATTTTCTGATTCAGTCTGTTTCCCAGTATCCTTTATCACTGGATTTTGTACAAATGTATAATCATCAAAATGAGCATTGACAAGTTTAGCAGCGAAGAACTGTTTTGGCGTTGAAGTCCTCTTCTCATTCCTGGTGCTATTAGTTGATTGTTTCATATCTCTATATTGGTGAATACTCCTGCATGTAAACGCTTCAGTTGTGGCCTCTGATTTTTCTGCCCTGAAATGTTTTTTTAAATACAACCAAAGTATAAGTGTCAAAACACCATTCGTGAATATTATTCCGTAAAAAATTGGTAGCTTCATTCCTTCAATTTATTCTTGGGCAATTTATTCCTGGGTATATGTTTAAAATGTTCTGTTGAGAGAGGCTTTTGAGTACAATCCATGTAACTATATACTTGTTTAAATGACCCTTCATTTTAAATCAATTAAATATTTATCTATAGCAATTATCTAAAATCGCCAGAGGTGTGTCATAAAGTAATTATTAACGGTATATAATTATTAAAATTGAAATATGCTAAATAAATAGATTGACCAGTCACCACAGGCTTGTATTCAGGTAGAGGGTGATGGTTTTGGGTTCGATTTTGGCCATTTTGGACCAAAATTGACTTACCCCAGTATCTTTTGGGAAAACTCAAAAATTTTATCTGGCCCTATATTTTGGGGTGGAAAACTCAAAACCTTTGTCTGGCCCTATGTAGTGTTATTTAATTGTAGCCATATACTCTCAGGGGTTTCACAAGAATTTGTCATAACAGGCTAAATAAATGAAAACAACAGTCAAAATTAATAAAAATCATAAATTTTACATGGAAAACAAAAGGTGATTTTTTTAAAACAACTATCGAAAATTGCCTGCTGCTAATGAAACCACTGTACTCTAAAAGTTGCTGAAAAGCTATGATAATATGTGTGAGGCAAAATAGAGTAGAAGCCAAAGTGATATTTTGCCTCAGTGTAAAAGTCTAGAGCATCCAGGCTCATTGATGAATGTCTTGTTTCAGATGGCAAACAGGGTCGTAAAGCTAAAGCTAAAAAGGTTACATACAAGATACCATCTGACAGTGACCATGATGACACAGATGATGATGAAGACAAAGAAGTGTACAGACCATCAGAAAGTAAAGTTATAATAAATAAAATACCTGAACAAATAAAATGAGCATCAATGAACAAACAATTCGGCAACATTTAGCATAAACAATCAAACAATATTTACATAACAATTTGCTGTGCAAAATCACAAAATAGTTTGGTTAAATGCAATAATGTCCAATACTCTAGGGGCGGGGAGGAAAATTCTCAATAAATGGTGTATAGTTGGTTTGGCAGCATTTTCTGTCAGAGGAGAGTCTTGGATGAAACTTCCACCTAGGTGATAGCTTCACAGAGTGGTAGGAAGTTCTTTTTTTTGAGGAGTTAGCCCCCCACCCCCCCAAAAACACCCCACCCTGGGGAAAAAATTGTTCACACTAAATAACCTTAGATATTTTGATGTTTGTAAGTGACATACATAGATATTATATATATGAATCATTTGCAGTATAATTGATGCTGATAACTCCTAAAGAATTTGAAAATTAGTACGAAGTATGTACCCCAGGGGGCAAATTCGTGACTCATTTTCTTACTATTTTGATTCTAACTTTTCAATTAGACACTGTAAGAGGTTGGAAAAATTCATGTGAAGTGCCCAATAGCAGGGTTAGTAACCCTGAAAGATGCAAAGCCATTGAAGAGGTAGGAGCTGAGAAAAAAATTGTTCATTTTTCGATAAATTTGACATTTTTGACAGCTGGATTTTGTGTATGACTATAGCTGACCCTTATAATTTCTAGATCCATCCCTCTATAATGATATTTATGGTTTTATAGTGTGAAACTAAGATGTAAAACATAATTTAGATGGATTTTAAGGAAGTTAAAGGTTTTAAACAAGTCCAAAATTTAAAAAATTGTAAATATAAGGTTTCAAATTTACGAATTCCAGGTATAGCCATGGCTGACCCCTATAGTTTCTAGATCCATCCCTCTATGATGATATTTATGGTTTTATAGTGTGGAACTAAGATGTAAAAAATAATTTAGATGGGTTTTAAGGAAGTTAATGGTTTTAAACAAGTCTAAAATTTGAAAAATTGTAAATATAAGGTTTCAAATTTACGAATTCCAGGTATAACCATGGCTGACCCCTATAGGTTCTAGATCCATCCCTCTATGATGATATTTATGGTTTTATAGTATGGAACTAAGATGTAAAACATAATTTAGATGGGTTTTAAGGAAGTTAAAGGTTTTAAACAAGTCCAAAATTTGAAAAATTATAAATATAAGGTTTCAAATTTACGAATTCCAGGTGTAACCATGGCTGACCCCTTTAGTTTCTAGATCCATCCCTCTATGATGATATTTATGGTTTTATAGTGTGGAACTAAGATGTAAAACATAGTTTAGATGGGTTTTAAGGAAGTTAAAGGTTTTAAACAAGTCCAAAATTTGAAAAATTGTAAATATAAGGTTTCAAATTTACGAATTCCAGGTATAGCCATGGCTGACCCCTATTGTTTCTAAATCTATCCCTCTTTGGTGATATTTATGGTTTTGTAAATTATGTTCTACATCTTTAGTTCCATACTAATTTAGATGGGTTTTAAGGAAGTTAAAGATTTTAAACAAGTCCAAAATCATCCATACCTCTATGATGAAACATATATTTTTAGAGTGTGAAACTAAGAAGTAAAACATACCGAAGATGAATTTTAAGGAAGTTTAAGAATTTTAACAAGTGCAATGTTTGAAAAATTGAGAAATATCAGGTCTCAAAGGAGCACTGAAAGTATCGCAACATATTTCAGACAGTCATATGTTAGATTTTGTCTGTTTCCTGAGGATTTAAGCAGGTGCATATGATAGGCCATTGCATTACCTACGGGAAAAGAACTCTTAGAGATGATAAAATAGTTTGGACTTTGAGACAGCGAAGGTGCAAACAATCCACCCACATGTTTTTTCGGAAATGTTGTCCTGATTTTCAAGCCCTTTTACCCCTGCTTTTTCAATTTTTGTTGCATCAATATATTGCGTTTTGAGACATAGTTAACCCATAAAAAGGAATAATAAATTTCTTTTAGACAAAGCAGAAAACAATATTTCCCTGTTATTTTCCCATAGGGAAAACTCATGTGCTCCATTACTTTCAGCTTAATTTTGGTCACCCATATTTGATATCTTTTAAACCCCTGATGGAATGCATTATTTTTTTAAAGGGGTTAACTGTGTGTCAAAACACAACATATTGATGCATGTGGGTGGGTTGTTTGCACCCTGTCTCAAATAGAAATTATTTTATCATCTCTATGAGTGCTTTTCCTGGAGGAAATGCATTGGCCTAACATATGCACCTCCTCAAATCCTCAGAAAATAGCAAAAATCCAACATGTGACTGTCCTAAATCTGTTGCGATACTTTCAGTCCTCCTTTACGATTTCAGGTATTGCCTTGGATGCCTCTCTTTTTGAATGTTGTAGATGTTGAAAATATTGTGGTCAAGTTTGATCCATGTTACAAGTATTGTTAAAAGAAAAATCATTAGAGTTGAGGACCTTACCCTAGAGTTCCTAAGGGGTGAGAGGTTAATAAATCCCCCCCTAGAGTGTAACTGCTCTTAGGGATATTGTATACAGTGAAGTAATAGATTGATTAAATGGATTATAACTAATTAATTATTATTTGATGATATTTATTTTTTTTACCAAATATCACATATTTCTTACAAAATTGCACAAATATTGTCAGTTTAACACTGAATTGTTTTGATATCAAAACTTTTGAATTGGATTTTGGAATGCTATTGAGCTTTTTATGTGGTCAGTATTCACCTTTCCCCAAAGTCCAAAGTGCACTCATTTGACCGCTGCGCTGATTGGTCGATGAAAATCAATGACGTCAAAGCAGGGCACATTTCGCGCCAAAACTTCAATTACTATTAGATCGCCGAATGAGTGAAATAGATCTCAATATAAAATGATAACAAAACTAAGTGAAATATATTTTTCTGACTAATTTGTCTTAAGTTGCGTCTTAAAACACCATCCTGTAAATCAAACCATAGAAATAATTGTGATACGAGTGCACATCTTTTAACAAAGTGAATCCAACTGCTCAAACTTCTTTGGCAGACATAAAAGTAACTTTGTCATGTGGTATAATAGGTGGCTGAACATAAGTGAAAATAACGCACCGTTGGCCCAGATTTGTGAGTCGAATACTTTTTCTTGGCCCGTATCCCCTTCTTCATCCCATGAGAAAATATTACACGACTTTAATATTACCATGGGATGTTGACATTTTGACAGTCAAGAACTAAACATGCGGTTTTGTACCGTAGGCATAATTTGAAAATGTACTGGAAACATTGGACTCTTCACATTAATATTTCTCTATTCATTTGATTCCCCAGAACAATATAAAGAAGGGAGAATATAGACGGAGTATAATTAATTAAAGAATGGGTATCGATATGGCAAACTTTTTGAACACACGCTTCTCTTAAACCAGTCATCAAAAATTTCTGAAAATCTTACAAATTGTCAATTTAATGGCCATCTTTTGAATGGTAACAATATAATTTGAAATAGATATACATACTTTCATCTATATTGTTTTAAAAAACACATCAAACACTTGTTTTGTTCTTGGTTTCATGTTTCCAGAGCGAAATGAAACATCTTTCCGAACCTCATTGGAACAAAACGACATAAACACAACATGTTTAGGTCTCTCAATATTGTAATTGTACAAAGGAAATTTTGGTTCATTTTAAAAAAGTATATTGTTAATGAAATAAAAGGTTTTTCTTGATTTTTATCTATTTTGGAGGGATTTTGTTTTAATTTTTTGAATACTTTTTTAAAATCAACCAAAAATTCCTTTGTATAACTTTAATATTGAGAAGTCTAAAAACATGTTGTATGCTATTTTGTTCCAACAAGGTTCGGAAAGACATTTTATTTCATTCTCAAGAATTGAGGAAGGAGCAAAAACAATTGCACTAAAAAAACAAAAAATGTTAACAAAAACAGTTATATAAAATATTTCTAAATAATTTTCACTTTAAATTGTTGTCAATCAGTCAACATTATATAAAATACCATGTTTTTTCACAGAATGTTTTCAATGATTGGTTTAAGAGAAAAACATTGTTGAATTCAGTTCTCCATATCGATACCTATCCTTTAATGACATTTATCATAAATATTATTACTACTCAACATAATTTGACAATAAAATTAACCCGTTTCCGTCACGATTCACATTGACTTCTAATGTGTTAAGATTTTCCCGCGAAAATTTGCCCTACTCTGACGTCAGAGATTTCAGATTTCCTAATTATAATATTCATGAGCTGACTTTGGGGAAAGGTGAATAAATATTATTAATATTTTTCATTGAGAATGCATTCATATTTCTTCAAAATCCAGAACTTGTATTGTAGATGTAAAAACCTCAAGATTCAAACACTCCTAATTAGAATGCTTTAAGCTGGTCCAAATACCAGTAGCATTCAGATTAGAGAGATTTTACTGTAGTTCACGACTTTTCACTCCATCTATATGCAGCAGACTAACTACTGCAACAGGTATATATTCTACACCTGGTCTCTAAGCTATGATATCATAGTTGATACTATTATGCTCATAACCTTCAATTATCAGGGCTCATTCAAGGCTGTACCTGAATAATGTGAATTTGAGACCAATTTTGAGATCAATTTTTCAAATTTTGCACTTGTTTAAAACCTTGAACTTCCTTCAAACTCATCTTAGGTATCTTTTACATTTTAGTTAAATACTCTTAAAACTATATATTTCATCCCTGAGGTATAGATGTAAAAATCATAAGGGTCATCTTTGGCTATACCTGAAATTCATAAATTTGAAACTTACATTTACAATTTTTCAAATTTCGGACTTCAAATTCATTTTGGATATGTTAAATCTTAGTCCAACACTCTAAAACTGTATATTTAATCATAGAGGTATGGATGTAAAAACCATAAGGGTCAGCCGTGGCTATACCTGAAATTCGTAAATTTAAAACCTTATATTCAGAATTTTTCAAATTTTGGAATTGTTTAAAACCTTAAACTTTCTTAAAACCCATCTAAATTGTGTTTTACATATTAGTTCCACATGGCAAAACCATAAATATCATCATAGAGGGATGGATCTAGAAACTATAGGGGTCAGCCATGGCTATACCTGGAATATGTATATTTGAGACTTTATATTTACAATTTTTCAAATTTTGGACTTGTTTAAAACCTTTAACTTCCTTAAAACCCATCTAAATTATGTTTTACATCTTAGTTTCACACTATAAAACCATAAATATCATTATAGAGGGATGGATCTAGAAACTATAGGGGTCAGCTATAGTCATACACAAAATCCAACTGTCAAAAATGTCAAATTTTTCAAAAAATCAACAATTTTTTTCTCAGCTCCTACCTTTTCAATGGCTTTCCATCTTTCAGGTTTACTAACCCTGCTATTGGGCATTTCCCATGAATTTTTTCAACCTCTTACAGTGTCTAATTGAAAAGTAAGGATCATAATAGTAAGAAAATGAGTCACGAATTTGCCCCCTGGGGTACACACTTTGTACTAATATTCAATTTCCTTAGGAGCAATCAGCATCAATTATACTGCAAATGATTCATATATATAATATCTATGTATGTCACTTACAAACATCAAAATATCTAAGGTTATTTACTGTGAACAATTTTTTTCCCCGGGTGGGGTGTTTTTGGGGGGTGGGGGGCTAACTCCTCAAAAAAAAGAACTTCCTACCACTCTGTGAAGCTATCACCTAGGTGGAAGTTTCATCCAAGACTCTCCCCTAACTGAAAATGCTGCCAAACCAACTATACACCATTTATTGAGAATTTTCCTCCTCGCCCCTTGAGTACAAATTCATTCCAATAATTGTCTTGTAAAAATCATCAGAAGCATTAACAATTGGAAATGAAAGAATATTATGAGAAAAATAATTTATTTAATTGCTAAATTGTGAGAATTTTTTAGGAAGTTGCTCTTGTTTATAATCATGACATGACAATATTTGTTTGTTTACTTTTCAGATTTTATATATTTATGTTTTTAACATTGTATTTGCCTTTCAGTTTTATCAGGGCAGAGTGAAGGGTTGGCAGGTGGAGACCTCTATACTTTCCACACCCCAAAGAAATCTGGGCTTATGACTGAGAAAGGTAACACATCCTCAATCAATTTCAAAATTTGTATAGGATTCAGACCAAAACTGGGTTGCATGTTACATCTTGTTTTGGATAATATGTAAGATATATATATATTGTATTGTAAATAATAACTGGGGAATAATTTAAAGGAACATTCCTGGCCAGACCATTTCTCTCCTAATATGGTAGCTATAACCATATATATACTTTCCATATTTAGCAAAACAGGGAAAAATGTTTTAATATAGTCAATATTGATCACTTGAAAATGTAGTGCTGAATTCCAGTAGGCTGCCATCTTTTAGTATTTCACACAGGAAGTGATGTCATCGACTCTCAACTTTGCATAACATTATAAGGAGCTATTAAGAATTACAAAAACCAGCTGTGCATTCTTTTTCAATTTTGTCTATGATTTAATCCTTCTATAAGTCTCTTCTATTATTCTAAGCTGACAAACTCTGAAAATATTTTTGCACTTAAAGTAAGAACCACTTGTCTAGAAGTGATTTTGTGCTACTTCCCTATACTGTTATATGCAAGGTCATGGAAGTTGAAAGTCGATGACATCACTTCCTGAGTAAAATCTTAAAAGATGGCAGCTTACTGGAAATGAGCACTACATTTTTAAATTATCAATATTGACTATATTAAACATTTCCTGGTGTTTTGCTAAATATGGAAAGTATATATATGATTATAGCTATCACATCAGGATAGAAAAGGTTTGGCCAGGAATGTTCCTTTAAAGTTCTAAAATGCATGGTATATCATAAATAGTTCTCAAGAACATGAAATGGCATTTATAAACCAGTCAGTTCATAAGAACCACCCTTCAGTCATTTTTCCTGAACAAAAATAAAGAATGTTTGTTGATGGTACTGTATGTTAAATCCAGTTCAGAAAATACCCTTGAGTGCTTTCATAAAAATGGTTCAGTTTTATATTGTTGTACAACAGTGGAGAGGATAACCCCATTAGATGTATGACAAGGAGATTGCCATTTTGCCTGTCAATTGACGTGAATCATGTCAATAAGCATAATGTCCATAGTAATTTATAATTTGAAACGCCAGGTAAATTAGAAGATCAAATGCTTAATATATATACAATCTAAGTAGTAGTTCTCTAATAGTACGTATACTTTTGGTGAACATCATTGGTATATTAAATCCCAGGGAAGTATTTCATTCCAAAATTGTGGGGAAAATGCCGTTCAATCTTGTGAGTCTTCTGCACCCACCTGAAAATCCATTTATACTAGGGGTCACACGGTTAACCGTGGCTTGCGGTTACCGCGGTTCATACCTCCACGACGGTTAGCTCGCACACAATCTTGAAAACCGCGGTTCTTGAAGAACCGTGACATTTTCAGTTTCACTTCAGAAAAATAAAAATGTAAACTCGGAATTAAACTCCATTTCAAGCTTTCGTGTAATACCAATTAACTAAACATCGTCTGGAATCGTTAATCATCATGCAATAATGCGAACCATACCTGATATTTACGACGATCTTCTGATATAGACGGCAGATAACAAAAACAAAAGGAAAATGTTGATAAATTTCACCGGCATATTGACCCGGAAGTGACCTACGCTAAACATTTCGCGCAATCCTATTGGTTGATAGAACAGTATACTGTAAAAAGCCGAACGCCGAATGCATTGAATTTGCGAACGAGTCACGTTCTGTGTATTAAGTTTCGCCTTTGATCCATGTTGAGTCCTGACAAAGTGTTGAACTTAAGTTATATTTCTAAAGAAAACATTTATTCAGTTTAGTGAAGTACTGTGCTAATTTTGCCAACAGTTGACAAGTTATTTTATGTGTTGAAAAAACTTGAACATCAAACAAGAAGATTAACACAGTGAACACACAGATATTTTGGGAGGGAGGGAGGGAAAAAAGACTGAACAAACAAACAAACATTGTGTGAAACTGGATACTTACAATACTGAATACAATAAAACACTGTGACACACTTAGTATGTTTTCTGATTTTCGGATCAATTTCATATATTTTTGCTCATTTCACGAGGCCCGTGAGAACCGCAATCAGAACCGAACCGAACTGTGAAATACAATAACCGAACCGAACCGTGAAATCTCAAACCGTGTGACCCCTAATTTATACCCACTTGAAAATGAGAAAAATCATGTTAAATTTGCATATTTTGACCGATTTTGGTCTGAATTGTGAAAATGAGAATTTGCACCAACTTGAGAAAAAATTCTGTGGAGAACAATGTAATATAAAAGTTAAATATACATTATACATATAGAATATCCTATGATTTATGAGTGATGATTTTAATTTGGATATGGACATCTGCACAAGAATGCTAGAATGCCAATATTAATATCCATGAGTAGATAACATAGGATGTTCCTTTTGTTCCATAATAAAAATGATTCAAATCAAACTTTTTTACATTTTCACTACCAGCCGCATTTCATCATGGGCTTTCAATTCTAGTTGAAAGCCCATGGTTTCATCAAGTAGCAAAAATCGGTGAACCATTGCATATTGCACTGCATCTCATGGTTTAAAACCCTTAATTTATGGTTAAGTAAAGATTTGCCAAAAATATAATTTTGTTTTACTAAAAAACTGTTTTTATTTTGACTTGATATCCTATGAATATCACATTAATGGAATAAAAGTCTCTGAACACATTCTAAATGCTAAAATGTACTTGATGTTCAAATTCTGTTCATAGAACTGAGCTTTATTGAAGTTAAGTTTTTTCACTTTACCCTGATGCTGTAACTAGGGGCTGATGACAACACCTCGAGGTTGCTTCTACTTTTAAAGACCCCAATCTAATTTACCAAGTCCAGCAATTTCAGCAAATTTTTCATTATATGGCTTATAATATTCCAGTAGCAGTTCAGGTATTCCCTCTCTGACTTGTGGGTGAACTCTATTTTTGTGTTCAGGAAAGCATCCTCTATTCAGTTCCATATATGGATTTTTCCAGTAAGGCTTATTGATACAGAACTGGTTCATAGTATTGTTGTAATAGAGAGTATCATTGTTGAAAAATTTTGGAATGTTCATGAATTTTTCAAACTTTTGCAGGACAGCAACTGGAGTATATCTCAAATCTTCACTCTTTATGATAAAGAAATTTTCTCTGGGAAAATATTCCATATATCTTGTTAAGTGCTCAATATACAATCCCCTGGTTATGTAAATACAATCTGTGTTCAGTTTGTCCCCATTCATGACGCAACTTTCATATGTTCCATTAAATTGTTTATTTAATCGTTCTTTAGCTTTCAACTTATTGAGATGGTGTGACATAACCCGTTTTATTGGGTTGCATGCGATAACTCCAAGTTTAATGTTTTTATTCATTTCATATATTGCTTTGATATTTCCGAAATCAAAATATGCTGGAGTTTTTTCAAATGGTATCTGACTGGGGTAGGTGTAAGGCATTTGGTTAAGATAGTAATTTAAACCCATTGCTTGTCGTGTGAAATTATCAAAATAATGAACCTCATGAGCTCTGGATCGTACCATATATGGATGGATGGAGAGAAAAGTTGCTAAAGCCATCGTTCCACATTTGTGTACTCCTATTATGATAAACTTGGGAAGTCTTTTTTCTAAAATTCCTTTGAACTTAAATGTTTGTTTTATATCATTTTCATGTTGTGACCTATAAAAGGATTTCTCATCATTGTCATCTTCATTGTTCTCATCTTCATCGTAGTCATTTTCATCATCAATGTCATCATTCTTTATTTGATGAACACTTTTCATAGCTTCGTCATTATCATCATCACTTTTTAGTTCATCATGAACAAATAGGATATTATTCCTGTCTTCAATGAAATTTTCTTTCTGAATGTTATCCTCATAATGAGACAGTGGAATGTTATTTTCATCATCTTGAATTGTTTTTTTTCCATTTTTTATCTCATCACCACCAATTGAATTCTGTTCCTTTATGGAATATGTTTGTACACTAGCAGTTAGTTCGTCATTTGTATCTAAGAAATAGACACTAAGTGTTACTGCTATAAACAATAGCAAAAGTTTAAATTTTCCTGATCTGAAAAATGCAGTCGTCATAACTGTTCGTAGGATTCCTTTTTCATGGATCATTCTGAATATTGTATCGTGATAGGCCTAGTGTATTAGATTATAATCTATTTGTTTTTAATTTATTTAATCCTGATGATATGCAAATGAAGGGGTAACCTTTATCTGATCTTTATTGAAATCTTTCATTTTAATGTTTGTTCGTTTGTACTAACCCTATCATTTCAAAGTACGTATAACACCATAACTCCTCTAATTTTTGACCATTTAAATCATTACAATGCATGATTTTTAACTTGTATTTTGACATCAATCATTATTTATGAAAGGTTAACTAAAGGTCAGGTTTTGATCTATTGTTACATATGAGGTGAGCCAACTGGTATATGTTAATCTACACTGAAATTTTGAAATTTATTGATTGAGAATACATATGCAGATTATAATGACTTTTTGATGAATTTTCAAAAATATGAAAAATATACATGCTACTGAATTTGAAGTACAAAAACAAAATCTTTTTTGTTAAATCTTAATCTTTTGCCTCCATTCAATTGTTATCATGGATGTTTATATTTTTTGTATTTTGTTCTTCAGCCCTAGCTGCTACCAAGGCAACCACCCCTGCATCTCGAAATACTCCTAGTAAAGGAAAAGGTAAAGTATAGTGCCATGACAACATGTGACATCAATATTTTAAAATTCCGTTAGATGAGGAGAGGGGGTCAAACCATAACTAGATTAACTTGTTTATTGGTAATTAAAATATCTAGAGCATTTAACTACGACTGAAATCAGAAACACAGAATATTGACACACAATGTTGTGGTTCTGGTTTAACAATCTGCTTCTGGTTTGATAAATGAGCATAACTTTTAATAACACTCTTCTGAATTTGCCTCAGGTATGCCTTTGTTGCTGTGAATTGAATTTTGAACATGAAGTTCTGATTAAAGAGACAGGTGGTTTTAATTGCAACATTAAAATGACTACGATTTATGGTTGATGTATTAAATTTGATTTATAAATCTATCTGCCTGGATCTCATTCAATATGAGCCAAATTGGTCAAAACAGTACCTTTTTTCACGACAAAATGTTGCATTCTTGGCAGTCTCAGGATGAAGGATCTTTCATGTAGTCTGAGAATGAGTATACTTGACTTATCAAAAGTACATGTTATTGAAAATTCTCAGATCACATGCAAATGAATTTGTCTAGGGATAGCCAGCTATATCCTGTAATCTCTTCTTTGTCATATTTTAAAATGCATTAAAATTCAAATTTTCCAGGGCACCGTAAGTGAAACTCAAATCCAGTGATTTTTTAATTAAAAAAATTTTTGGAATAAAATGTTTTCTCGCTTGTAATATATGAATGCAATGTCAGAGATATGCCATACGTTATCACTGTATTATTTCAGCAAAAGGTCAGGGAACTCCCATGCCAAAGAAGAAAACTGGCAAAGACAGACAGAACAGGCCCATTGAGGCTACAACACCCTACAGACTCCGTAAGCGCAATGAAACAAGTAAGTATTGTTTCCCCCATGGCATTCCCTCTGTATTTTAAAGTGAGGCTGAAACCCAAATGAAGATTTGTTATTTATTCAGTAAACCTTTAGAATCCCAGATAATCCCCCCTCCCATTTGATATTGGAAATTCTTGAATTTTTAATGTGAATGGATCTCAATGTGAAATATTACCAAGTATTATTGACAGTGTTACTGAACAGGTCTTCCATGTGCGCTTAAAGCGAAGTGAATAAAATCAATGTTTCCAATAAAACCTGCCCTCCTCTGCCAAACTGAAGACACCATAATATATTGGCCATCCATATTTTTTATAAATAGGTTATATAGGTAACAATGTGCGGGATGAATATGCTATAATACCAAGTTGGAATGTGTGCATTGATCCCTGTATCATGTTATATATATGAGTCAGTATGACCTGAAATATTTTGTGTAAAATTAGGTGTGTTATTGATTATTGATTGATTTAAAAGTAACCAAAACTATCTTCATTAAGACCATTTTAATGAAATTTAGGAATCCTTCATTTACTGTTCAATAATTGATTTAATATGTCATCACCAGAAGTGATGATATATTGTTATTGTCTCTAACTTTTTTTGTGGATGGTGTTTGGCATCCGTAACATAGCCTCTGTAACAATTTACGGCGTCTGTAACAAATTGCAGGTAGTGACATTTCGTTTGCCAATGCCTTGTATAACCAAAGCATCAGTAACATAAATTAATTGAATTAATTCAACTTTTATTCTTGAGTGGTGTGTTTTAATGTCCGTGAATAATTATTCCATCGTCATTACATAATGATTGTACTTCCTTTGTACATTAGTAGATGATGACTGTATTTCCTTTGTATATTATATGAGATAGTGGTTCTGCTTTCTTTGTACAATCATTACATAATGATTGTACTTCCTTTGTACATTAGTAGATGATGACTGTATTTCATTTGTATATTATATGAGATAGTGGTTCTGCTTTCTTTGTACAATCATTACATAATGATTGTACTTCCTTTGTACATTAGTAGATAATGACTGTATTTCCTTTGTACATTATTAGATGCTGATTCATCAGATGAAAGCATTGCCAGTGACAGTGACTCTGAGAGTGTTGCAAGCAGCACCAGTTCTGTATCTATATCTGTGAAACAAGAACTTGCAAAACGCATCAGTAGAAAGTCAAAGGGAGAAGATCTGGTGAGATATCTTATTTTTTATAGTGAAAATGTATCAATTCATTTTTATCTCAACACCAGAGGTGGTGACATATTGTTATAGTCTCCAACTCTTGTGGATCCTGTTCAGTGGTTGGTGTTTGGCATTCTTTGCCTGTAACAGCATTTGGCGTCTGTAACAGTGTTTGGTGGTCAGTGTCTGTAAATAATGGCAGGTGGTGATATTTTGCATGTTAAGGCCTTGTTATTTAATATAACACACTAAGTTCATAATTTTTGACTGAGCATGTAGGTAGATTAACTCATTATTTTGTACACTCAGGTTTTAGCCTTATTTTTTTCTTTTGGATAATTCTAAGTCATTTCTGATGATTTTAGACAACCATGGTTGAAGATTACTTCATCGCCCAAAATGTTGCAGCTGTTACGTCAGACCGCACTCTGTCTAAGCTTGACACACCCAGAATGGACCAGGCAGCCTTGCAGGATGCACTGAGTGGTGTCACAGCATCACATAAATCTCAGAGAGAGGAATTACATCGTGAACACACCAGTTTGTTCAACAAATGGATGCTTCAGATGTGGTAAGACATTTAATACCTGATCTATTGGAAATATTTAATGGGTTGTCAATAACACTGTGCCATAATGGGGAGGAACCTGAGTTTCCAGTTGAAGTGGACTCAATCCGTCCCCTGGATGCACTTGAATCAATGTAGACTTCAAAGCACAACTTTGAGTAAATGTATTGAAAATAGATTAAGATCTAACCTCTGGCTGAATCTAACTTTATTTGGTCAAAATCATGTTAGTAAATGAAAGATATTCAAAATTTTCTTTCGTAGTTTTATTTCCTGGAAGTTGATTTCCTACCAAAACAGTGATTTAAGAATTATTTGGAGTGTAATATTTCATCTCAAACTGCCCCTGTCATGAAGCTGATTAACTTATGACACTAACATTTATGATTTTGTTGATTCTTCCGAAAGATCAGTGATAACAGTAGTGCATTCACTCAAAGTTCCAAGATGAAAGTTCCAAGATGTAATTTATATTTGGCCTTATCCTAAATTTCATTTACTGCTATGTATTTACTCTTAATGTTCTAGTGCCTAGATGTTCTAGTATACGACGAGCTGCTGCGTCATGATTGTTCAGTTTCAAATGTTGAATGTTTAATTCTTCCAGCAATGGATACAATCTCCTGCTATATGGAGTAGGCTCAAAGCGATCTCTAATAGAGGAACTCAGGACTACCCTTCTCAAGGGATTCTCTCATCTGGTTGTCAATGGGTACTTTCCTAGTCTCACTTTGAAACATGTAAGTCCAGAATACACATTAAGAATTCCTTAATATTCCTTAGAATTGCACAATATCATCGAGCCCATGAAAATTAACATTGCTGGATCTCATTAGAAATCATACTTTTTATCAGTAAGAACCCACAAATGGATGCGATTTAGAGTCTGTTGTATTAAAAGTACATATACTGTACATGTATAAATTAATAACGTATATTACCTTTTAATAGATCCACATTCACTTTTATGACACCCACTTTTCAAGGAGATGTGTTATTTTTTCAACATGGGCAAAACCACAAGAATGAAGGTCTGCTCATGAATCCTTATATGTTCATTGTTACAGATTTTAAACAGCATTACTGAAGATATTTTGGATCACAGAGGAAACTTTCGAAGCCCAATGGATCAGTATGAATTTATAAAAGACCACTTTGAAACTGGAGGTAAATCTCACACATATTCCATAATAATAAACCACAAGTCCATAGTACATAAAACTGGGTGACAAAAGAGACAATTTTGAAATGATGTTGTTAAAAATCAATTTTGTTCGAATTTCATCTTAGTACAGGATGGTCCAAAAAAACTGAACCCACAAAGCTTTGAATAAAGGGTTATAATAGGGTTCTGCTTTTTTCGGATCACCCTGTTCTACAGATTATTATGCATTGTTTATCGATGATTTGTAGTTGTCAGTTTGCATTCTCTCAATTACTGTATTTATTGTAGAAATATATGCTTTACTTTCAGATCACGAAGACCTCTATTTAATAGTACACAATATTGATGGTGCTATGTTGCGTGCTGAAAAAGTGCAGGCAGTTCTCAGTCTACTGGCCCAGATTCAGGGTTTCCATATCATTGCATCAATAGATCATATAAATGCACCATTAAGTGAGTACCATATCATTGCATCAATAGACCATATAAATGCACCATTAAGTGAGTACCATATCAAGTTTACAGTGTGTCATGCATCCATTCTTAGTTAGTGCCACCAACTAAAATATTGATCAAATATTTCATTCTATGGTGGGCAATACCTGTTCTTCTGATGATTTTTGCAGTATGTATTAGTCGCAGCCTGTAGGGCAAGGTAAATACATGCTGCCGGGCAATACATCTTTTATAATCCAATAATGGAGGGAGCTGTGAAATATGCTATGATATTTTTGATCACATTGTACTGAATCAGCCAATCAAATCACATGATTTCTAGCAATCATATAATAATGTACTGTATTACATACCTATCGAAGCATTTGTAATGAATTCAATGGAGCTGAAGGTCGGCTATTATGTCACCACCAAAAGTGGTGACATATTGTTATGGTCTCCGTTTTTTTGCGACGGCTCGGCGGTTGGCGTCTGTAACAATTTCTTACAACTTCCTATAACTTAACAAATACTGTTTAGACTGACTTCAATTTTTTTCTAAATCATCTACATGTTCTCAGAAGTTCAAATCTGACTTTAGATTTGACATTTGACCTTCAATGACCTTCTCAAGGTCAAAAAGGTCTTTTTTCAACTTGCTTCACATTGACTAAATTTTTTTTCAAAATCATCTACATATTCTCAGAAATTCAAATCTGACTTTAGATTTGACATTTGACCTTCAAATCTGACTTTAGATTTGACATTTGACCTTCAATGACCTTCTCAAGGTCAAAAAAGGTCAAAAAGGTCTGTTTTCAACTTGCTTCAAATTGACTAAATTTTTTTTTCAAAATCATCTACGTGTTCTCAGAAATTCAAATCTGACTTTAGATTTGACTTAAGATTTGACATTTGACCTTCAATGACCTTCTCAAAGTCAAAAAAGGTCAAAAAGGTCTTTTTTCAACTTTGCTTCAAATTGACTAAAATTTTTTTTCAAAATCATCTACATGTTCTCAGAAATTCAAATCTGACTTTAGATTTGACCTTCAATGACCTTCTCAAGGTCAAAAAAGGTCAAAAAGGTCTGTTTTCAACTTGCTTCAAATTGACCAAATTTTTTTTTCAAAATCATCTACATCTTTTCAGAAGTTCAAATTTGACTTTTACAAGTTCTCAGAAGTTCAAATCTGACTTTAGATTTGACCTTTGACCTTCAATGACCTTCTCAAGGTCAAAAAGGTCTTTTTTCAACTTGCTTCAAATTGACTTTTTTTTTTCAAAATCATCTACATGTTCTCAGAAGTTCAAATCTGACTTTAGATTTGACATTTGACCTTCAATGACCTTTTCAAGGTCAAAAAGGTCTTTTTTCAACTTGCTTCAAATTTACTTAATTTTTTTTCAAAATCATCTACATGTTCTCAGAAGTTCAAATCTGTTGACATTTGACCTTCAATGACCTTCTCAATGTCAGAAAAAGTCAAAGAGGTATTTTTTCAACTTGCTTCAAATTGACGTTCAAATCAAACCTTCTTAAGGTCAAAAGGTATTTTCCAACTTGCTTTAAATTGACCAAATTGTTTTAGGTGGTGACATTTTGTCATGTTAATGTCTTGTATATTCTTGTATAGCCGCCAAACATCATGTTTCATTTCTTCCAAATTTCACTCGCACACAGACGTGTGACGTCATTGATATAATGTAGCCATGGAAATAAAGGTATGTAATACAACAATTATGTCCCTATCATTGAATATATGCCTGAGGTCTGTCATCAATATATTGCGACAGACCGAAAACTGCTAAGTATGTCACTTTGACATTCTGTACTATAGATTAGCATATTCAAATTCAATATGTGCAATAAATTTATTTCTTCTGACAACCATTGTTCTCGATCAGTAGTTTTAATCTGTATTAAATCATTATGGGTGATAAATCTTAATAATTACCCAACTCTCTGACTAAAAGTGATGAATTAGGTGTTCCTACAACTGTTTGATGCAGTCTACCATCAACAACTGGTATGCTTATACATATACAGTTAAACCTGTGAGTGGAGGTGTTCCACTTTTAGAGATGTTCCACTTACAGGTTTCACTGTATGTTAAATGCTGATTCTAAGTCATGATGATACACCATTATTGAATTGTAGGAAATGAAAAAGATGTAATATAAAGAAGGGGTTTATTTGCACTCTATCATTGGTTGCGCCTTTATTATGATAAATATTTATCCCACCAAATTTTTCGTAAAAGAATGTAATCTTTGATAACTCAAATGCCAATTGACGGAGTTGGTTCAAATTTTATATATTGATGCCTAAGGAAAAAAACATAATCTTTTGATAACCCTAATATTTTGTGCTGATGCTAAGAGATAAAGGAGCTGAAGAAGATATTTTCAAGATGGCCACTATTTATCAAAATGGCTGCCATTTGTTGTTAAAAATGTGATCTTTGATAACTCAAATACCAGTTTACAGATTTGGTTCAAATTTATATGCTGCTACCTCTGGACAAAGGAGCACTGCTCAAGAAGAAATTTTCAAGATGGTCACTTATTATTATTATTTTCTTCGGTGGGATTTGCTACTCCTTAGAGTTGCTGTTTTTTTTAGTTAAATATGAATAAACAAAATGAAGAATAAATAAATATATTGTACTCATTTTATTCTCATTTTTCCAGTCTGGGACCAAAGAAAATCTAGTGGCTTCAATTGGTTGTGGTATGATGTCACAACATTTGAGCCATACATAGAGGAGACTTCATATGAGAACTCTTTATTAGTGCAACAATCGGGTGTCCTGGCTCTGAGCTCTCTCACCCATGTTATGAGGAGTCTTACCCCGAATGCTAAGGGAATCTTTCTCTTGCTGGTCAGATATCAACTTGACAATAAAGACAATCCTCAGTATTCAGGTTAGTTGAGTTATTTTATAGAATCACAAGTGTGTGAGTATGTGGGTGCATGTCTTCATAAGTGCGCGCTTGTCTGCATAAGTGGGTATGTGTCTACATACATGGGTGCATGTCTGCATAAGTGGGTGCGTGTCTGTATAAGTGGATGTGTGTCTACATAAGTGGGTACGTGTCTGCATAAGTGGGTGTGTGTTTACATACATGTGTGCGTGTCTTCATAAGTGGGTGCGTGTCTACATACATGGGTGCATTTCTGCATAATTGGGTGCGTGTCTGCATAAGTGGGTGCATGTCTACATAAGTGGGTGCATATCTACAGAAGCAGGTGCGTGTCTGCATAAGTGGGTGCATGTCTTCATAAGTGGGTGCGTGTCTGCATAAGTGGGTGCATGTCTTCATAAGTGGGTGCTTGTCTGCATAAGTGGGTGCATGTCTTCATAAGTGGGTGCATGTCTGCATAAGTGGGTGCATGTCTTCATAAGTGGGTGCATGTCTTCATAAGTGGGTGCATGTCTACATAAGTGGGTGAATGTCTTCATAAGTGGGTGCATGTCTTCATAAGTGGGTGCGTGTCTGCATAAGTGGGTGCATGTCTTCATAAGTGGGTGCTTGTCTGCATAAGTGGGTGCATGTCTTCATAAGTGGGTGCATGTCTGCATAAGTGGGTGCATGTCTTCATAAGTGGGTGCATGTCTTCATAAGTGGGTGCATGTCTTCATAAGTGGGTGCATGTCTACATAAGCAGATGCGTGTCTGCATAAGTGGGTGCATGTCTTCATAAGTGGGTGCATGTCTTCATAAGTGGGTACATGTCTTCATAAGTGGGTGCATGTCTACATAAGTGGGTGAATGTCTTCATAAGCAGGTGCGTGTCTGCATAAGTGGGTGCATGTCTTCATAAGTGGGTGGATGTCTGCATAAGTGGGTGTGTGTATAGACTGTTGAGTCTGTTCTGTATCAATATTGGTATTGGTATGTTTCAATGGGGTATGGGGTCAAACGTAAACTCGAGCTTGTCAAACAACGGCTTGTGGAAATCGACAATGATCTCTGGTTCAAGGAACTCTGGAACGATTGGCGCAACCCAGTGAATGGCAACAAATTGCGGACTTACAGGATCCATAAGCACCATGCTTTAGAGCCAGAGAGTTATGTTACTTTGACACTAAGCAAACAACAAAGAAGTAACATAGCCCGGATGCAATCAGGGACACTTCCATTAAAAATAGAAACAGGGAGATACAGTGCCACTCCCCTTGCGGACAGGACTTGTTCATGTTCAAATGAGTCTATTGAAGACGAGCAACACTTTCTAATTGACTGTCCCTTACATGAAACATTAGGTTTTAACCTTTTTCAAAGAACTAGAGATAATTCCTGACTTTGAAAACCTTCCATCATTAGGGAAATACTGTAATATAATGTGCACCCCTTCATTGCAACGCATACTAGCAAAGACAATTGGTATTACGATGTCAAATAGACTTATAATTTAAAACTATTCAGTGTTATGAAATGTAAAAAGTCTCTCATAAGCCGGTGCCGGCTGGGCTGTGTGTTTTTATTCAATTTTAGTGCAAAACATGTAATATCTTTTATGTATTTTTATGTATTTATTGTATTTGATATATTTACAGCGTGAGACTCTAATAAATATTTAACTAAATTAAACTAACTTTCAAATGAATGAAATAAAAACTTAAAAAAACAGTCTGTTCTGTGTTGTGAGGGTCATAGAATTCTTGCCTGGTGTTATCTGTTGAACATCATCATTCTGTAACCATATACTGTCTGTCTGTCTGTAAATTAGCTTCCAATTGTTTTCAATTCTTGTGATTGCAGGCATGTCATTTCAAGATCTCTATCAGAAGTGCAGAGAAGCTTTCTTAGTGAACAGTGACCAGACTCTTAACACTCAACTTGTAGAGTTCAAGGACCACAAACTTATCAGATCTAAAAAGGTATGTGATTTAAAATCAATTAAAATGTAGTTAGTGCAGCATTGGAAGAACTAGGTGAAGTATTCTGTTTGAAATCCTTTACTTTTTTAAATTCTATTGTAAATGCCAACTTGTTGGAAATCTGTTTGCAACTTGTCAAAAGGATTATTGACATGGCTTGACCAGAACAAGTCAAATTAGATTTAACACCATGTTGAGAAAAAAACAGGGGATATCACTGGTATTTGTGCACAAGATGAATACCATAGTTAATAGATTAACATGTACTAGGTAGATATGTAGGTAGCTAGGTAGGTGTCTACATATATGTAGAGGGTAGATGGACAGGTAAACATCAATCCAAAAATAGCAACAACGACTGACCCCCTTAACTGGTAATCTCCAAGAAGGACTTTGTTTCTATGTTGTAGAACTATGATGGTGTTGAGCAATTGATGATTCCACTTGATGCTGCTACACTCAATGAATTCCTTGACCAACAGGATGATGCTTCATAGAAAACATAAGGCCCTTTAAATACATGTGTATTTCTAAAGAAAACCAATTTCTAATCAGCATACAGGTTGAGCCAAAAAAAGGTAACTCAAACACATGTATGTTGATAACTCAATCATTCAGCATGGGTTTAATGAAATTATATTTTGCACAATTAAACCCATGCTGAATGACTGAAATATTAAAATTTGTTTGGGTTATCTTTTTGACTTACCCTGTATTTGTCTGGCCTGGGCATTGTCTGACTAAGGGTGCAACTGTGCACATGTATTGCAAACAATGAATCTTAACCTCAAGTGGATCAGTGCAATGAGGAAATGAGATACAGAGATCGATTGTGCATTAAAAACAGGACTTTAAGCCATTCATATTTATGCCCAACATGGGAAAGGGCATCCTCATGATTTTTCCAAGGGCGGGTGCTTCTTCGAAAGCCCATAATGGGAATGATTATGTGTGAAAATTGAAGGGCATTCGATAATATTGAATTGAAATGTAACTGCTGCATACTTGATAAACATCATGCATGAACAGAGAGTTTCATCTGGTGAAATTTCAAATTTGTAAATTATTATGAAATGACTCAGGATGTCAATAATTTCCTATATAATATTATGAATACTGACTGTTGTTCAGTACCTGTTGACCAGTCAAAAAATGAAATGTAAAATAAAAATTCACCGTGAATGTTATTTCATTCTGAGCTATATTATAAGAGCTCTAAATAAAATGAAATAATAATTTTGGATAACAATCCAAGGTTAACAAGAGTCAAGTTTAAATGTAATTATTTTTATATGAGCCACCAATAAAGTATTTTCAAATTAGAATCTTTGTTTTAATGTTTCTGTATCTTGCATGAAAGAAATGTCTCCCTTTTCAGAATATTTCCAAATTCTGAAATAATTGAACACAAAAATATGATTCTAAGATAACACTGTCTGATACAGCATAAAATATGAAATATGAAATCAATTAACATTTTCAAGGGTTTCCCAATACAATCACAATTAATTCTGTGTTATGATAAATTGTATCAAAAATTGTATCATGATTAATGTGTATTGAAAAGTAGGGTTTTAATTAATGATTCACAAAGTTAAATGCCCATTAACTCCATTAGGGCTACACAGTAATGGACTGACATGTCAGGTTGAGTTGACAATCAGTAAACAAAAATGTGAAGTTGTAATTAATCATTTTCTCAGCCATTAATCATAAAAAGATTAATATGAAGATGAATCTCAGGATTAAATGTGGAGATACTTTCTAGGCAACTATGACAAAACAGTTCTGTAGTCCAGTTCTAGGTACTTTGGAACCTGTGTGTCCGAACACTTGGCTAATCTGAACACCTCCTAAATGGACCACTTTTACGGTTCAGGTTTTTTCATTCCATAGACCCCTAAGTTTAAATATCCCTGAAATGTGAACACCTCTCAACTTGAATAGTCATGTTTGAAAAATTAGCCTTTCTTATATGAACACTTTTCGTAATTAGCACAAGTTCTATAAAAATTTGCTCAAATTATATCGTATAAATACTGATTAATCACTTTCCAAATGTTTATCTAACATTGACTGACATCAGATTAAAAGACTAATTAATGAAGAACAGGATGTATCTGATGTGTTGAAAGTAAAACAAATATATGTAATTAAAATAAAATTAGTTAATTAAATATGGATATTGTTATTGAATCCAGACATGTTTTTATTTTTATTTCTTGGACATCAAAGACTTCATGAAAAAACTTTACATTTTCATTGAATGATAAACAATGTACTCTCAATAAGGAGATTTGTATTGTATTATTAAGTTGTTTAGGTAGGAGGTAGCTATTGTAACTGGTGCAAATGATTTTTTCTGAAATGCTGACCACCTTGAAAAACGATAAACAATCTTTATTCCTATCCATGCATGTCTCCCAACCGCATCTCTCTCTATAATAAGTCATAAAATGGTGCCAAAGTGTATCGTATATGTCTTTAATTGGGTGAGCGTTTTAAATTGGCGAATTAAAAAAATTGCCAAATTGAATAGTCGCCAAAATCCCTGGGAATTTGACATGTATTTTTCTTTTTTTGCATTCCCAGTATTAAGAATGAACCAAGATGGACGGGCAGTTTAAATTGATAGAAACAAAAAGAAATATTAAAGATATGTATATAAACAACAAGAAATATTGTAGAACTTGTTCATCAACAACACTGACAATGAGTATTTTGAATTTTCTAGGACAGGAGGAATTCGGGGAAACTTGAAAACCACAAAATTAAATAGACACCAATAGACCCAAAAATAAAAAATCACGAAATTAAGTAGTGCCAAATTAAAGACAAATACAGTATATTCTTATGTGTTTTTCAATGGATTACCAATGTCGAGTTTATTTTTTCTTTCTAGCAAGTTTGTGTTAAACTAAGCCTGATTAGTTGAAAAACAAATAGAAATATATTTTCATCTTAATTGTAAATATTGAAATATTTATTGGCATATTAAAGGTCAAAAATGTTTTATTTGTAGATATGTTGATTGATTTATACACTTAACAATGCAGCAGTAAATATCAGCATATAGTATAAGCAGAATAATTTATTAGATTTAATCCTGGGATTTATCTTCGGGATTATTAAAATGACGGCTATGAATAGACAGGGATATAGTTGAAGCAATCCTATCGCAAAGCAATCAAATATTTCCAATTAAATAATAATTTTTTTATTGAAAAGGGTACTTAGGATAACTGTTCAAATGTGGAACACTACATATTATTTAAAATCTCACTTTTCAAATGAGCATCAACTTTTCAAATGAGCAGCAATATTTCAAATGAGCAGCAACTTGAGATGATTCTTACAGTATGTTGATTGTGAAATTATACCATGGATTCCAACTTGTATTATCTTTACTTGACATTTGATGATATTTGGCAATATATTTATGTAGCATGACACAACTTTTTAAACAAAGATCAAAATTAATTCAATAATGATTTCTAATCTGATTTTATAAAGTGGTTTAATGTTAAGTACATTATTTTTTCAATCAAGTATTGTTTAAACCAATGGAAAGTACATTAAAGTACATTGTACAGTATTAATGATTAACTGTTTAGTCAGTGTAAGTATGTACTTAAAATAATAACATAAATATTCTAAGAAAGGCAAACAGCAAGAGAGGCTATTTATCATAGAGTTTCCACAACCATACTAAATATTGAACTCTATTATGCCTACCAGTGCTAAACTACCCATTCAGTATTAACTATTTCAATACACTTATTGATTTGACCTGGCTAGTTGCTAGGTAATAGGTAAACTTAAATCCAATATGGCTGCCAGGTGTTACTGAAACTACCTTACACTTGGATTACTTGGAGGATATCACAATATACTGTCATTGGATTTAGAAGCAATTTGACCAGGAGTTGCTTGATATATAACAGGGCAATATGGCAGAGGAAAGTGTCAAAGTTGCTGTAAGGGTGCGCCCTTTCATATCCTTTTAAAATGCATGATTAATGTTACAAGTCAGGTTGGAATTCATTTTAGCCTGCACAGGCTGTTTCATGTTTGATACACAAACAAGTACGTGGTTTGCATTATACAATAGCTAAGTACAAATGTTGCACATTGTACTATTTGTAAATATCATCAAATAGTGAATAACTGATAAATTGCTAATTGATTTTATGCTGCATTGTTTTCATAGGCATGTACTGAATAATTTATCAAAAAGATGTGCACACCCACACTCCATTCATATTCAGTTTATACTCCCTAGTGTGATAACTACTCCATATTCTAGTACATTACACGATTACAACAATCAATAGCAGTCTCATGCAACATGATTACAACAATCACTGACCACACCTCATGCAACACAACTACAACAATCACTTGTAATCTCATGCAACACAATTACAACAATCACTGACCACCTCATGCAACACAATTACAACATTCACTTGTAATCTCATGCAACATGATTACAACAATCACTGACCACCTCATGCAACACAATGGCTTTACACCAATCACTTGTAATCTCATGCAACACAACTACAACAATCACTGACCACCTCATGCAACACAATTACAACATTCACTTGTAATCTCATGCAACATGATTACAACAATCACTGACCACCTCATGCAACACAATTACAACAATCACTGACCACCTCATGCAACATAATTACAACATTCACTTGTATTCTCATGCAACACAACTACAACAATCACTGGCAACCTTATGCAGCATAATTACAACAATTATTGGTAATCCCATGCAACACAGTAGACTAAATACAAATAAAAAAATCTTGATTTTCATGATTGAACAATCTAAATGTCATTGTTATGTTCTAAAATCCCCTAAGTTATTTTTACGGTCATAAAGATCTTATCTGTAAAAAAACTTCTAGATCTTTTCAGAGGGTAGAATTTGCTCATTTCCACGAGGTTTCGGGGTATCTAAATACCGCAGACCGTTATATCTTTTAAACAGCAATTTCAGGACATCAGATAATTTCAATTGTAACAATCATTCACTACATGTAGTAAACCATCCTTAACATTCTGCACAATAAACGTGAAAGACAGCGCAATGCTAAGCTGATCATTGACATGAAGGGGCCCAATAGTTATATCCAAGATCCCGAAAATCCCAATGAAGAACCAAGGTCATTCGCTTTTGACTACAGCTACTGGTCTCACGATGGCTGTAAAGATGATGGCAATGGTTATTATGGAAAGGATACTAGTCACCCAAATGGGAAAAAATTTGCAGATCAGGTAAAATAAGTCTTCTCTTTTATCCTACCATGTATTATCTAATTCCATGATGGTCTTAGCACTAGATAAACCATTTACTACATGTACTTTATACTGGTTTAGGTAGGTATACTCCAATTTTAGAATTGAATTATCACGAGGTAATTTCAAGCTATAATTATAAACCCATTTTCTTACATCTGTCCTGGGGGAAGAAGATTTAACCCTGTTTGATCCCCATCTTTTCATCAGGTCATTGTTTGTGTTCTATTTATCCAAAGTTGGTTGTGAGATGCGTCCAATAGAAATTGTATTGTTCATTTCTGAACATTTTGTCAATCTGGTTTTTCAAACACACCCTAACCAAAATAAATCATGAATTAAGCCATCAAAACTTATCAATCACATGTTGTTTAATATGTTATTTGCCTTGCAGAGGACAGTGTATGATGACCTTGGAAAAGGAGTGCTAAAGAATGCCTGGGAAGGTTTCAATTCTACTCTCTTTGCTTACGGACAAACTGGTTCTGGGAAGAGTTGGTCCATGGTTGGATATGGAGTTAACAAAGGTAGGCAAATTTTATTTAATGAAATATTCATCAGTACTTTTATCTGATTGATGTAGTTCTTTCAGTTTATGTGAAACTCCTAGATAGCCATTGTTTTTTGTGACTGGTGTTTGGGGTTAACATTGTCACAGCAGTATAGGCGAGTATAGGCGAGTGGGAGATCAAGCAAAAAGGCCTTATTTGTTGACCTTAATTAAGATAGCTTGCAACCGCATGAATCATACCTGACTTTCATAATATGAATATGTAGCTTACAAGTTGATGACATTTTTTCATTTTTGTATCTTTTAGGTATTGTGCCACTATTCTGTGATGAAATCTTCCAAGGAATAGATAAAAAGAAAGCAGATGGGGAAGCACTCGAATTTGAGGTAGGCCTATGAATTTGATTATGAATATTATGTAATAATTATATGAGATCATTTCTGAAATCAGGGAAAAACTAGCAGGGTTTTTTAGATGTAGATTGTAGAGTAGTTTTATGCGCTATTAGTACTACACATGTATATGTCAAATTAATTTTCTCATATTTAAAGAAAATCATTTGTATACCGTATTCTCTGTAATTACCGCCCACTCTCTAATAAGCGCCCACCCCGCTTCACAAAGTTCAAGAAACATCGAGGAATCAACAAGAATTGAAGAATATATCAGGAAAAAAATATTTCTCAAAATCCAGGAGCGGGCGATAATAGAGTACTTACCCTAAAACTGCTGTAAACACGACGCGTTTTGTAATTCTATGCATCCTCTCGATACATATCTATCGATGGGTGCTTCCCACACCATACCATGCTAATATTGTCTCCAAATAGTCCATAATGAATGAAGAAATTGTTCTTTATCGGCATTCAGAAATTTCAAAAGCTACTGCGCAGATGTTCTGTGCATGTCAAGGTCGTGAACTTTCTGGTTTCTTTTTAATGTTTCTCGACTTTTACACGACTTTTGCACGAATAATGATGATCTCTCATCAAATTAGAAATAATGTATAACTTTAGATCGATATCCAGCAGTCTCTAGTGGAAATATTGAAGGTAATCGGCGATAATGACAAAGTGGGCGTGCCGGAAATAAATTAGACATAGACGGGTCTTCAACCACTGTCAATATTGTCTAAGCGATCTTTACCGTATTCTCTCCAATAACAGCACTTGTCATATTATTATAAAAATATGTTGAAGAAAATGCATTCTTGTCAAGAAAAATTGCCATACATGAAATTCCTCGGGATTTCTGATTTCTTTCATACATGGGCATGGTCTAAAAATGAATTTTCAATTTTCTAAACGCCCTGGGCGCTAATTACAGAGAATACGGTATTTGTATTTGAATGTATCTAGAAAAAGCATCGTAATCAATACTTATTGTATCACACCCTTCATTTTTGAGAATGGAAAGAAGATGGCATTTGTACAACAATACTATGAGTAGTAGCCTAAAAGAGAAAATGTCAAATCACATTAATGAATACTATTTTAATAATTCCATGTCATACATGTACTTATTTTCCCCAAAATACTTTAAACTGCCGCTGCAAAGTATCAAAAACGAAAATTGCTTATATGTGTTGTAATGTATTTTTATAGGTTGAATTCAGTATGTTGGAGATCTATAATGAACAGGTCAGGGATCTGCTTAACCCTAAATCAAGCAAGAGAGGAGGCCTTAAAGTCAGACAGCATCCTAAAAAAGGATTTTATGGTAAGTCGACGTTTTCATGATTTTTCTCATTAAGCTGGTGCAAACCTTTTTATGTTCCAACAACATACTGTATTGTGGGGCCATATTGTTGGCCTTAGGCACATCTGTCTGTCTGAACATCTGAAAGCATTCTCCAAAATCGCTACAAATATCACCTGAAAAATTTCAGGAATAACTTTTGGGTACATATGTGGTACAGAAAATTTTGACCCATACCTACATCTTGTGGGTCATTTTGAAGTCAAATGCTAAAATTTTTGTCTGCAAACTTTAAGAAAAACCACTCCACAGTTAGTTTTAAAACTTAAAATATTCTTTAACTTACTTCATTCTACATCTGATTAGGATTTTGACATGTTGACTCAATCTTGGCAGCCATTTTGGATGTCTTGATAAAAGTCAAGTAAACCTTTTGATGGATTGATTTTAGATATTCACGGAAGAATTGAAAATCTCGAGCTGATTAGTTTTTGGGTAAATGTTAAGGTGGCAATTTTAGATTTTTCATCCTAAAATCTTGTCTCTTCAACCGATTGGTTTTGGGTTTTCAGCATGAAAAATCTATTAAGGAAGTAAGGAAGGGGCATGAACATGTCTGTGTCTTTGTTTCAAAATCTGAGTTGGGTGAAGCAATGTTGCTGAGATTACCCTTATTTTCAAAAGATAAAACTTATCATGGATCATTCATGTTTTCAGCGGATGGTTTAACATTTGCACCAGTGAACAGTTACAAACAGATAGAGGAACAGATGGAAGAAGGGACAACAAACAGAACTGTTGCTGCGACTAATATGAATGCAACAAGCAGGTGTGTTAAAACTTGAAAACATAATTTCATTTGTTTCATCTCATTTCATTTGAGTTACAATTATTTCACACAAGGCACCATAAGGTATATACAATACTGTACGGTATGTGTGGTAGGAGGATGCAACTTGATATCTGAAGGTAGAAACAGTTCCTGGTATTAATCTGAAAGGAACTGGTATCTTTATTCTGTCTTTTTGACTGATCCAGAGGTTAACTGGCAAAATTGTATACCTATATAACCAATTACGCATAACAAGTAAATAGATACAGTGTTTATTTTCACTTATAAAGTACATGTAATGACAATTTCAATTTCTTTGTTTTGCTTCAGTCGTGCTCACACAATCGTAGGAATCAAGTTCGTCCAAAAGTATAAAAATGCTGCTGGTGAAGACACCTCAAAAACTGCCATATGTAACCTGGTAGATTTAGCTGGTAGTGAACGAGCAGACAGTACAGGTGCCACAGGGGATCGACTTAAAGAGGGCGCTGCTATAAATCAGTCACTCTCGTCCCTGGGGAATGTAATTTCAGCCCTCGCTGATAAGGCTAATGGTAAAAATGTCAGGGTTCCGTTCCGTGATTCCGTCTTAACAAAGTTGTTGAAGAATGCTTTAGGAGGAAACAGTAAAACCGTCATGGTAAGCTTAACCTTCATTATTATGTGGTCACATATTTTTATAGTTTTGGTGTTTGGCTTCTGTGAGTTGGTGTTTGGCATCCATGAGTTGGTGTTTGGCATCCGTGAGCTGGTGTTCAGCACCAATAACAAATGGCAGGTCATGACAGTTTGCATATCAATGCCTTGCAGTTCTTGTATGACACAATATATATCCAAGATGTTTAAAACCCCTGAACAGCTGTACATGAAACAGTTGTAACTCCCTTATCTTACAATATATATTTGTATTAGTAAGATGATCTCAAAAATTTATTGAAAAATTGAAGTAACATTTATAATTTTAACATTTAACCTTGGCTGCAAATGATCTAAACATTTACTTAACAAATACAGAGTTAAGGTCAAGTAAAAGTTTTTAAGTGTTAACTATTCATTTGTTAATTACTTTATGCGTATACAGCTTTTATGTTCTTGATTAATCTATATGTTGATCTTAAATTGCCTCCATATTATTAATTTTTATTAATTCAAAGCTGTTTTTGTTGTAGATTGCTGCTGTCAGTCCTGCTGACATTAACTATGATGAGTCCCTCTCCACACTCAGATATGGTAAGATAAGTTGTTGCATAATATCAATAATATTCATACAACTAACTTGGAAATTAAGGTAATCATGAGAACCCTTACATTGGGAGGATCAGGAATTTGCATATCGTATTGTTCCATGGAATGGGATTTTGATAGAGTATGATCAACATGGAAGTAGGCACTTTTGAAATGCATATTCTCTGTAAAATGAATTTGACTGTTTGACCAGCTATTATTGCTCCCGGGGTGGGGAAATGGACTCCCTTGGTTGCCCCCAGGGTAGGGAATTTGACATGTCATTGAATTCTCAAAATTCCCACTATTAAGGACAAATTAAGATGGATATAGAATATCAATGACAGGAGAATACTGTTACATCATATGAACCATTTACTCCTTCCATGCATCATAAAGAATTATATTTGACAATGTTAACTTTGTAGCTGACCGTGCAAAACAGATCAAAACCTCAGTAAAGGTAAATGAAGATCCAACTGAGAAGCTGATTCGTGAGTTGAATGAGGAGAATGAGAGGCTTAAGCAGATGCTGGCCAGTGGAGGAATTGACATGAGCAAGGCTAGTGATGTAGGGGATGAGGATACAACTGGTATGAGTGATGAAGGTAAGGGAAGCTGCCATACAAATATATCCATTCTTGCATACACAAGTAAAACAGTGCAGTAAAACCTGAATATAATGAACACCTATGGAGCCACGAAAGGTGTTCACTACAGTGGGGGAATTATACAAGACTCAATTAGAAATGTGTCTTGAAGTGGTGTTCACTAAACACAGGGGGTCACTAGCGAGAGGTGTTCACTAATACAGCTTTTACTTTTTGCATATATTTATTAACAAGTCTCTATAGTTGGTGAGAAAACAATTATGTAACACATGATATAAAGTGCGCTTTGTTTGAATAGAGCTAATTCATTCTTTGTTTAACAAGGTTTTATTTTATCTGATGTATGATTTTATTGTATTTTGATATGTTGAACATTTTGGAGTAATATTCAGGGTCATGTCTACAGAGTTGTTCTTAAAAAAAACTCAAATGAAAATACCAAAAGTAAGGTTGGAAATTGTGTCCTTTTCCAACACAGCTTCACAAACTTTCTTCACTTCCAGAGATCGCTGCTCTAAAAAAAGAAATGGAGGAAGATTTCAAAGCTCAGATGAGTGAGAATGCCAATGAGATGGAAGAGATGAAAAAGTCATATGAAGAGAAGCTAAAGGCTTTCCAAGAAGGCCATGTAAGTAATAAGTGGAAAAACCTAAAAAAAATGTTCATTGTCATCTAACATAAGAATTGTTAACAGTGAACAGGTCTGTACAACTGACATTTTGTGATCATTCTCAAACACCAGCTTTCATAACAGTAGGCTATAGATATCGAGATTTGGGCAAAATTATCTTCAATTTTTAAAAAGAATACCTGTGTGTAAGTCATACCCTATGGCTCATGTTTTGTGTTCTCTTCAGGTTCCTGTCGTGAGTGAAACAAATGAGAAAAAGAAAACTACTCCACATATCTACAACTTGAACTTTGACCCCCAGCTGAGTGGAAGAATCGTGTACTTCACTGAGTTACCAGAAAATAAGATAGGAAGCAAGAAGGGAGATCCTTCTGATATTGTGCTTGCTGGGCCAAGGTAAATAGCCTGAATATTTCTCGATCTTAGATGTCCATTGTCCAGGGATGGTGTCAAATTAACAACAGCTGTGGAAAAACAAAGTTCATTTCATTATTGTTTGACCCCCTCCCCTCATCTAATGAAATTTTAAAATGTCTTCATTCACTTGAATATTTAAGAAAATCAACACTTTTTACCCCCCCCCCTCCCCCTAAAAATACTTATTTCATTATTCCACACCTCTAGATAATTGGACAACATCCCTTACTCAAAAAATGTCTTAACATTTATCAAATCATGTCATGACTTATCATTTTAGGAACCAGTCTTAACAAATCTGTGAATTTCTGTAACTTTCTTTAATTTCTGGACTTTTAAATACCTGCTGATTTAGATTCCTAACTCTAATTCTTTTTAGGTTAAATTTGTAATTTATGAAATTAGATTATCAACCATTAATTGTATATATTGTAAATAATTGTAAATTATTACTGGGCCTCTAGGAAGACCAGTTTTGTACTGATAGAGCTATTCAGAATAAATATAGTTTTCAAATCAAATCAAATCAACCATTGTTATCCGACTTGTTTTTGCAGCATCCAAGAGCAACATGCAGTAATTTTCAACGAAGGCGGCAAGTTTGCCATCGAGCGTGGCAACAGCTCTGGGCGTCTTCTGCGCAATGGTGAGCCAGTATCCAGTAAGACGGAGCTCTGCAACAATGACAGGCTCATGTTCGGAACCACCCAACTCATGGTGTTTGTTAATCCTAAGGAGGCTGGAAGTTCTGATACAGAGGTGTCTTATGAAATGGCCCAGGAGGAGATTGCGTCAAATTCTGGCTTTGATATGAACACTGAAAACAAATCTAGAGGTATGTTGAAATAACAACTTGTACAAGAAAAGAACTTAGATTTTACTTGAGCACCTTAGAGCATTGGCTTTCATGAGTTACTGCATGGTAATTTTTCAGTTCTTTTTGCTAGGAACATGATACAACTTTTTCCTCATACTTTAATCCTCAGTTGGCCAAGTAAGTGCTATGAAGGGGAGAAGAAATCTCTGGATTGGAGTACCATAATTCTGCATATTCTAATTCACGTTCAACTTCTCTTAAAAATGTGTAGCTTAACCTCCGTAATGTGTGTTTTAGATGATATGCTCCTACAAGAAGACTTAATGGAGGTTCTGCCTGCCATAGAGGAAGCCAACTCCATCAGTGAAGAACTGGACAAGAAGCTTAAGTTTGATGCTATTGTTGTGTCACCAGAGGCAAGAGGGGACATCAAGGGCAGAAGTGAGGTAAGAGAAATAAATGTTGAAATTTGGAGATACTAAAGTCTGGTCGTATATCATATTGGCATGATTTCATTTTGCTGCTTGGTTAGAATTTCAAGTTGGAATATTTAACCTTCTAATATAATATGGTATCAAGTGTACCAAGTACACATTTGAATTATACCTGTCTGTCAGCCTCTTTTAAATCAACTAATTTTTATGAGATACCACTGCACATCAAGAAGGATTGGCTCCTAGCATTTCATCTCGATATCCTGCCATATGGTGACATATTGTGATTGCAAAATTCATTATGAATCGTCACCATTTTGTCACTTCAGAATTTGAATCACTATTTTGGTAATCAAGTTAATACGTTAATCATAGTTTAATTTATGTTTTGAATTATCTCTGTAGGTCATGATCAAAGTTACAAATATAGAGACAGAAATTGAGTGGGTCTGGCCAAGGACCAAGTTCTTCAACCGCAAGTATGTGATGCAAGAGATGTATGAGAACTATGCTGAGGGAGAAGATTGGCAACTTCCTGCTGTGAGTAGACTAGAATTTAACAGCATGTGTGCGTTTAGCAAGGGGAGGGGGTCATATTGAGGATTAAGCTTAATGTGGGGGTTATGCCATGGGAGGGATTGGTTTAAGGTTTGGGATTAAGCGAACTGTAGGGCTAGGTTGGGGAGAGGGATGGTGGGGATTTTAATGTGAGGTCAGACTAGAAATGGGCTAGGTTGGGGAGAGGGTTAGTGGGATTGAGCTTAATGTGAGGATCAGATTAGAAATGGGCTAGGTTGGAGAGAGGGTTAGTGGGGATTGAGCTTAATGTGAGGATCAGACTAGAAATGGGCTAGGTTGGGAAGAGGGTTAGTGGGGATTGAGCTTAATGTGAGGTCACACTAGAAATGGGCTAGGTTGGAGAGAGGGTTAGTGGGGATTATGCTTAATGTGAGGATCAGACTAGAAATGGGCTAGGTTGGGAAGAGGGTTAGTGGGGATTGAGCTTAATGTGAGGATCAGATTAGAAATGGGCTAGTTTGGAGAGAGGGTTAGTGGGGATTGAGCTTAATGTGAGGATCAGACTAGAAATGGGCTAGGTTGGGAAGAGGGTTAGTGGGGATTGAGCTTAATGTGAGGATCAGATTAGAAATGGGCTAGTTTGGAGAGAGGGTTAGTGGGGATTATGCTTAATGTGAGGTCACACTAGAAATGGGCTAGGTTGTGGATAGGATTATTGGGGATTAAGCTTAATGTGAGGATCAGATTAGAAATGGGCTAGTTTGGAGAGAGGGTTAGTGGGGATTGAGCTTAATGTGAGGATCAGACTAGAAATGGGCTAGGTTGGGAAGAGGGTTAGTGGGGATTGAGCTTAATGTGAGGTCACACTAGAAATGGGCTAGGTTGGGGAGAGGGTTAGTGGGATTGAGCTTAATGTGAGGATCAGACTAGAAATGGGCTAGGTTGGGAAGAGGGTTAGTGGGGATTGAGCTTAATGTGAGGATCAGATTAGAAATGGGCTAGGTTGGAGAGAGGGTTAGTGGGGATTATGCTTAATGTGAGGTCACACTAGAAATGGGCTAGGTTGGGGAGAGGGATGGTGGGGATTAAGCTTAATGTGAGGATCAGATTAGAAATGGGCCCGGTTGGGAGAGGGTTAGTGGGAATTACGCTTAATGTGAGGTCAGACTAGAAATGGCCTAGGTTGGGGAGAGGGTTAGTGGGATTGAGCTTAAGGTGAGGATCAGACTAGAAATGGGCTAGGTTGGGGAGAGGGTTAGTGGGGATTACGTTTAATGTGAGGTCTGACTAGAAATGGGCTAGGTTGGGGAGAGGGATGGTGGGGATTAAGCTTAATGTGAGGATCAGATTAGAAATGGGCTCGGTTGGGAGAGGGTTAGTGGGAATTACGCTTAATGTGAGGTCAGACTAGAAATGGCCTAGGTTGGGGAGAAGGTTAGTGGCGATTGAGCTTAATGTGAGGATCAGACTAGAAATGGGCTAGGTTGGGGAGAGGGTTCGTGGGGATTAAGCTTAATGTGAGGTCAGACTAGAAATGGGCTTGGTTGGGGAGAAGGTTAGTGGCGATTGAGCTTAATGTGAGGATCAGACTAGAAATGGGCTAGGTTGGGGAGAGGGTTAGTGGGGATTAAGCTAAATGTGAGGTCAGACTAGAAGAGGCCTTTCTATTAGATCGCAGAATGTAACGTAACATAAGACAAATGTGACTTATTTTTTGAGTGGGAGATACATGTATCAAGCATTACCCCGTATTGGTTACTTGAGCTATTGTGCAACTTTTTTGATGGTATTTTAGGAGAAAGACCCATTTGAGGAGGACCCCAATGCAGAAACTCACATAGGAAGTGTGAAGGCCTGGTTGAAGTCCCTCTCATATCAGATAGAAATGGATGAGCAGTTGGAAATAACTGACTTCAAAGGCACAGAAGTTGGTTTATTAAATGTAAGTGCTGTATATATAACACCCACATATGTGAGCGTCCATTTTACATCAATATGTGATAACATCTTCAAGTGGAGTTATCATCTTAAAGTTGAGTTATGTGATAATAGAACTGTCCAATGTTGAGCCACCATCTAGTTTAAGAACAAAGCTTGGCATTCATCCACCCACTGGACAAGTTAATCTAAACCAATGGTTTATGATGTAACTCTATCTTGTAAATACGTACTTAGGTAGGTGGGTTCTGCTAGGTAGGTGTTACAAACAATTTAATTCACTACTTATATTAATGAACTGATTTAAAAACCAATGGTTGATGTGTCAGAAGAGTTCAAAAGTAGCTACTGCTAAAAATACATAACAGGAACTTAATATTGCAAAGTGTACAATAAATTAGTTTTATAAATAGTATCCAGGAAATCAAGAGCATCCAGTAGCTAAGTGAACAACATTCTAATAATAAAGATATTTAATGAAGTCCTTTGATGATCTCATCTGATGGAAATATAAAGACGATAATAGAACTGAATCCTGTTAAATCTGTCTGAATTATTCCACTTTTATACTATAAGGCCATTGAAAGTTAATTACATGTTTAACAATGACCAAATCTAAAGAAGGTTGTAGGTAAAAAAAAAAAAAAATCAATCAAAACCTTTATTTATTGTATTACTTAATGGTTTTATGTTATTTTAAATACCATTAAGCATACAAGAGGGTGACTTTAAACTGGCAAATTCTTTGAATTTGAATTCAAATAAACTTTTAAACAAAGCTAAAACAATTGTAGTGTTTTATTGAGGAATTCATTTTATTACAATATGATCTAAGATAAGAATTTTTAATTTTCATTTCTATTGTTACAATTACATAAGGCACTTAATATGTTGTTGGTTCACTAAAAGTGTGCTTCAATCTCAGAAGAGAATGATGTTAAACATTTATATAACTTTGAATAACCTTGTTATTGTAACATACAACAGGGGGGAAGCACTTGAAATTTGCTTGAAGAGTTAAAGATAGAAAAGTGGAACATGAATAAAGCATAAACATTTGATTGATGAATTGCTTTTCCAGTTTGAGATCAGGCCATGTGACAAGAAGGGCAAAGAATACACGGAGGCAGATGATATCTTTGTTGATGATCCAAAGGCACTCGTTGGACGTGATGTGTATTTCAATGTCAAGATCACAAAGGCACTAGGGCTTCCGAAGAAATTCACAGTAAGCATAAATTCAAGTTTTAACAATTTAATGAATACATTAAACATTTCCAACTTCAATCTAGATCGCTTGTGGGATGAAGTTATATTGCAATAGCAATTTATTATTTTTTGACGTTGTTAAGGTTTAATGACGTTATAGTAGATTTACCTGTATTTTATTCTAATTTTACCACTGTTATATATCAGTGTAACTGAATACCTCTTTGACTATAGATTGAGGTATTATTGTCTAACAACACCCATCCAATGTTGAACATAGACATACTTCTGTGATGTACGTACAATGTAAATAAAATACAGTTAAATCTCTTTAATCCTAACACTACTGGGACTAGCCAGAGGTGTTCAAATTAGCAGGTGTTCACATTTCAAGGTTTCATTATATTCGGCTCAATGGGAGATAACACAATTGGGACCTTGAAAAAGTGTTCACATTGAGAGGTGTTGACATAAGTATAGAGAGGTGTTTGAATACACAGGTTTTACCATATTTGATATGTTTTTATCTGCCAATAATAGCCTTATACTTCCACCATCTAGGATGTCTATGCCAAGTTCCTGATGTATGTTGATGATGAGCCAACTTGTACTAAAAAAATAGCAGACACAACCAACCCTGAGTTTAACTTTAAGAAACAATTTTCTTTTGCTCCAGCAACAAAACAGGTAACAGCAACATCAAGTTTAGAACATCTGAAATACTATGGCTAATTTAATTTAAATTTCATGAATTATATACCCCTTGAAGATCCAGGGTGAATTCTGCTGTTAAAGTATCATATTTGGAAGTTTGAATTCGTTGTAATAATACCAACTTTTGTCTCCTTATCATGGCAATTCTGATCAATTTCACTCAAAGATTTGAAGAGGTCTTATTTTCCTTAGCTTTTCCTGATTTTTGTTTTAACTCCCCTAAGTTACTTTATTTTCCACATTATATTTCTTCTTAGAGCTGTTTAGAGCCTTTTACTAGCTATCATCGTACACTCACTTTACTGATGATTATTATGATTTCTATTTCAGCTGGTATCTTACCTAGAGGACAGTGCAATCATGATTCAGATTTGGGGCAAGCAGAAGCCGTCAAAGGTGAAGAAGAACCTGAACACCAAGCAAACCTTGCACAAGCTGTCAGAGGCAAAGGGCCAGTCATCCGCAGCCAACACAAATGTCAAGGTCAGTAGTTTATTTTACACTGTACTGTACTTTCAGGTTTTAGATACTTCAGGAATTGCATTTTATTTGTAATTTTACCTTTTTATCAATCTTTTCACAGTATCCCCTATGATATATGAAGCTATTCTATGTCCTACTTTCTATGCAAAATACATCGCGATAGCCGCGCCCCCTTTGTCTTTATCCTTCCTTCTCGCAAACGGCAGATAAGAGGGGCTCTGGCATACCAGAATGTGCAAAATATGACTTTACAATCCTGCTTTATTCATACAATGACATCTATTTTCTTGTAGACGGTTGACCCAGCCAAGGCCAAGTTTATGATGGAAGTTGCTATGTTGAAGAAAAAGCAAGAAAAACTTGAACACAAAATGGTATGCTTATTTAACTATTTTTTCATTTACCCTACAGAATGAAATGTAAGATAGAACAAAGTTATCTACTGTCGGGTCTACTGTATATGTCTTTCTGAGACATTTTGCATATGTAATGATATAAAGATATGATAACATAGCTAGGAGACAGATTGGTTCAGGTGTATCAAAGATGAATTGAAATGGTATTATCTGTGATCTCATTGTTTGTGATACACTTGCTTTTATTGTGTGTATTCTATTTGTAGGCCCATATGCGTAAAATGGTCCAGATAGCTGAAGACCACAACAAGCAAAGGATATCACTTAAACTCATCAAAGAAATCATGAACTCACAGAGTGAGAAAGAAGCTGAGAAATGTTTCAAGCTCATACCGAAAGAGAAAGGTGTGAAAAATTCATGAGCAATCTCAGTGATCAAAATGAGGGGTGGTATGTAGATTTCGTCGTATGGGGCTATTTCGTCATCGGTGTGGAGTTATTTCAACCATTCTCTTCACTTTTAAATGTCATTTAAATATTAGTATTAAAAGTGTAATGTTTTTGGTGTCTTGAAACTATTATCAATTTAGAAGGTCGAAATAACACCTCATGCATGGTCGAAATAAACCCATACTCATGACGAAATTTGATGGAAACCCCCTTGGATCTTTCAATATTTAACATTAACAGTATATCAAAACGTTTTTATGATGATTTGGGGTACATGTACTTTAATTAATCTATCATGAATAATGATATCTTAGTAAGTGTTCCTCTATTGACATTGGATAGATTATTGAAATGTCTTTGATTTGTTTGTGATCAAAAAATGACTGTACATGAATTATCTTTCAGATGATGATGATGGCGGTAGAGGTGGAAGTGGAAAATCAGATAAATCTAAAGCTTGTGTACTTTTATAGTGACATCTATATTAGAAACCAATGTGTCTACTTACATGTGGTGTGTCATGGAATCAGAGCCGTCTGCTATATCTGAAAGTGTGTGTTCTCCAAAACAACTCTAAATTTGGCTAACATTATAGGACTCAGTGAATAAATGATGAATTCAAAAAATAATACTCAATATGGTTATACATAAACTTTACAGCTGCAAGAATGAGTAGGCGGTTTACTCAATAGAATTTGGAAAATATTTATTCTGTGATGTGGATTAAAATACTGCATTTTGTACTTCTCATATTTCTCATATTCAAAAGCCATTTTTGATGATTGATTTCCCAAGAAATAGTACATATACTTGTAATCCTTAAAAAACATTTAAAAATTATTTCATCCAGGTTCTTCTGGATTTAGAAGCCAAGTTGTATGTCAACCAGGTAAATACTTGACTCATAACATTTGTTTTTATATGATGTTATATTATATATATATATATATATGTAACAACCAATGATGATATTATATATCCTTTCTGCTATTTTTATTTACAACATTTTCTGCAACTATTTTTGTATTTTTACAAATTGTTCACTATGAATTTAGATTTTGTTATTCAATATTCTGTTTTATACGACTCTGTGATATTACTTCCAAAAATGCAGTTCTTTACATGAATTTATTTACAACTTGGATGAACTCCATCCTATATTATACAACAATGTGATTGTTTGGTAGCACAGGGTATATCAAGTAAGTCTGTGACATACTAAGTACATGTTATCAGTTGTGTATTATTTCACAAATACACAAAACTAGAATGTCTGTTATAAGAGGAAGAGTTCTTATAATGACTGACAGATACATAGAGTTCATAGAGCCAGTATATCTTGCATTTTTATATTTTCTCGAATATGTTTCTTTTTTATTCAAAACATTGAGTATTAATGTTGATTTCTAACACATATTAGTTTATGTCCTGCATTGTCTATGAAGTACAAAAAAACGTGCAATAATATTTCAGATTTTAGAATTGTGCCTTTATAGATCCAAGAAATGCAAACTCGTGAAATAGTTTAGACAATACAAATAAAGATGCAGTTACTTTCGTATTTGGATATCAGTGGGACACTTTGGCTATTATCCTTCGGGTTTAAATGTCAAATTGTGAATTTTTAACAGTGTTCCCGAATGATTTTGAATGACTGACTTTCACATTTTGTATTTGTCAAATCTTAGATGTTCCTTTGTCTGCATTTTTGTACTTCTTCTTTGTGATCATTGGGCAGTTCCCACTCAAAAAAGCCAATTTATCTAATTCAGTGATAAATCTAAGCTTATCGAAGCTCAGTCTGTGATATTGTATAAAAACGATTGAACCTTTTATAATAAAAATGTAAAAACTAAAAATAAATAGTGTGTGACAGTCTGTGAAGCTTTATTACAATTATGCAGTTCTTAACATTCATTTTTACAAGTGTTATGTTATGTATTACGATGTCTTGTTGTAATAATACAGTACCTTTAAATAATGAAACCTACCAGACATTATTTCAAAGATACATAACTGTATACATGTACATAAATATTTTATTATTCTCTGACCTGTATTGTACAGCATATGTATTATATGTAGCATATGTATTGTTCTGCAGTGTTAGCATGGAATTGAGTTTTAGCGAACACATTCCCACCAAATAAAAACCAACATATCAAGTTGTGAATATTTTTTCTGTAATATATAAATGAATAATCCGTCCATATTGCATAATATGTAAACAGATTACTTTTGTAAAAAATGTATATAAATATCTTTGTAAATAAACTTACTCAAATTAATTACTTTATTGTTTGTTATGCTGAGACAGCTGTATTTCCCATATTATTGTGTACTAGTATTCAGAATGAAATATTGCGATGTCGACCGCCTGTGTCACGATCCGGTCACGATCTAGTTTACGTCAACAGCATGGCATCATCATCATACTAGCATAATTACATTGGGAATTCTCATCACATTCAGAGGCAGTGAGTGTGTCATTCATGATGAACGGAAGCCAATGGCCAGTAACGGACGTGACATACATGTTAAAAGATCAGAGACAAGTAATCCTCACAACTATAAGCCTTTTTAAGCCATAAGAATGACGCAATTAGTGATCGGTGTCCGAGGACTTGACGTAACGATCTATAGAATAAATGAAATGTTAACCTGTCATTCATTGATGTTATCCAATGCAATAAGCACTTGTAATAAAAAATCCCTGCTATTTACATTTATTCATATTGTATTTGCATAACATCTTACAGTATAGATTAGTTACAGTGCATCTGGGCATGGGCATGATCAGGGCAATGAAAAACTTGATTCTCTGAGACGTGTTCCTCCGCTTAGTACCTTTTTCGCCACTGCATTAGGTCTTTCTGCCATCGTCGCTCGGCATGCCCATATATATAGGTAAAACTCCATCTTTTCGCCATTTAAGGAAAATATCAATTTATGGATTCCCCGCCAGCTGAGGTAGTCTGCTGACTGGAATGCGCAGAAATTGACGTTTGTTTTCAATAAATAAGTCAAATAAAAAATTATAATTGTATCAAGAAGCAAAAGCCTTTTCTGGGTCAAAGCGAATGGTATGATTTCCCCGAGTCTCTTCAGTTGCAATGCAACCATACTAGGATCGATTCGTGTCGTTCCACTACTGCCCTTGGTGGGGGCTCGCTACCATACTGTATGACTCCCGGTATCTCCAATAGCCCGCCTGTGGAGGAATCAACCACAGTTTCACAATCTATCTCCGACAAGAGCAGTCAGAACAAGAGCAGTCAGAGAACCAACCCATTGCCAAGGGCCAGAGGTTGGACCTTCGGACCGAGTGTACTGTAGGACTATCATCTAAAACGCCGTACCTGAGGTTCGAACGCGGGACCTCCGTATTCCTCCACCAGTACGCTCAACCACAGTCTAACCCACTCGCCCAAACGGCTCAGGTGTCAAAACTGCTAAAAATTTAATACTTGTTCTGTCGCTTTGCTTGAATGAGCTCGAACATAGTTATATTAATCTAATTTTCTAAATCACTTGCATTTTTTATTCGAATGTTTAATTATCAATTATAACCAGCAGCACTCGCACACACGCGCTTGCAAATATGCAATTGTGAATGTAATTGGCGGATACCATTAGATAAAAAATGTGTTCATAAAAACGGAACACTCGGCATGTAAAAAGTAATTTGGAAGAATAATTTTAGTCTTTTACTTCAAACCTCCATTAAAATCAAAACTAGTCAAAAACTTTATCTAAACTTTTTGTTTGGACAAATGGTCTGAGATGCTAAATAAAACGATAATTGACGGAGCTATGTTTGTTTTCCATGAAAATGTTTATCAACAACGTGCTTTGTTATAAAACTCCAAATTTCCAAATCTTCGACAATTGTTTTCAAAATGTTCTTAAAAGGCTCGCATATTCTCATTTTTACTGTATGAATAGATTATCCAAGATATCTATATTTTTTCCTCAATGGAAGAATGGTGTTCAAAGTTTAATTTTGAACTTTTGGTGATCAAAATTAGCTGAAAAATTAATTGCGATTTCAAACTTTATCACACTTTGTTTGAGAAACTTTTGACATTGAAAATAATCTTAGCACTTTGAAAATATGTTTTTTACGTTATTACTAGACGACTAGACGGGCTGCCCCGCTCAAGTGACTTTGACTATCGGAGTTTTAATACACTGGGGCCGGGGTTTAATGCGTTTTAAATTTGGCAATGTTGAAAAAATAAATATTTTGAACCTAGCGCTACTTTGGAGTCGATTTCTGATAATCCCCAGTGATTACAAGTTGTATGTGCGAAATGTTTGACCCAATGGAATCTAGAAAAACATTTCACTGCTTCATTTCGTCAGTAGAACGGCAAAAGTAAGAAATTGGGAGACCATTGTGCAATAATATATGGAAAAGTATGTTCATAATGTACATGAATGACATTTGTATATCTTGGATTGCTTCTAGTTTGGCTTATAAAGTGTGTGGCCTCTTATATTTGGATGTTTCTCTGCCATGTTATTTTCAATAAGATTAACATGGCTGAAATTCTTCAAATTACAAGACGGCACAGGCTTATTGCACAAAAAACTAGAAAATCTGAAATATACAAATGTCATTCATGTACATTATGAATATACTTTTCCATATATTATTGCACAATGGTCTCCAAATTTCTTATTTTTGCCGTTCTACTGACGAAATAAAGCAGTGAAATGGACTTTCTAATATGATAACTGGTTAAACTTACCACATCTTAGCTGTTGAACACGATGTAATTGCGCTATATGTTGAAATTATTCCAACCCCAGCGTTGTCAGAGAAATACAACATGAGTTCTGGGACACCTTGTACCAATTTAATGACATTGTGCACGTTTACCTCCGTCCAAGGCTTCTACTGTGTTGCAAATAAGCTGATTGTGAATAATCTGAACTATTTTAGGATTACATAAAAAAACATACACTACGTGTTTTAAAATTCTCTAAAGGCTGCAATTGCACAAATCGTATATTTTCATATTTAGGGGATTTTTCGATCTTGGTGAATACGTGGATGAGTTTGAAGCAAGCTGTTCTGTATACACTACTGCTTGGTATTATGAACTACTCAGGTTTTGCAGTAGGAGTTGTTGTTGGAGAATTGGCCAATGGAACAATATGGATACTGGCACAGATGGCAGTTTTTCTTAGGAAATACATCCTAAATAAATACAACTTAGTATTTCTTTATGTATTTCCTGAGAAAAATTCTGCCACCTGTGGCTACTGGCATTTACGCTGGAATTCAACTTTTTAAATTCATTGAAATCTTATTCATTTTTCAGTTATTTTATCTTTAGCCTTTATAGTGCATAGATTAGAATGCAATTTGCAATTTGTGTGTTATTCATTTTGCATTTATTTCATCTTTAGCCTTTATGCATAGACGTGTCGCAAAAAGGTGGCGCATTTGTTTTTTAAAGGTATCGCGTGAATGTAACTTTGATTCCCCGGATTATAAGATAATATTCTAATTAAAGTTATATATCATTTTAAAGCTGTTTCGATGAAGATTTTAGATCAACTACACTCCGTTCACATTTTTTGCGCGTTCGTTTTTAAAAAAGTAAAACATCTGGCAAATATCCCATGTTGACACGTTACATTTTGAATTATTTTTCGTCTTTAAACGCTCATAACTCAAACAATATATGACTATTATACTTATTTTTCGTCTTGATAAAGGTAGATGGAAGTTTTATTTCAAAGGATGAATTTTAGTAAGCGTCCCATATTGTGACGTCATAGTGTCTGAAAAATAGAATCTGTTGACAGCGACCTTTTTTGCTCATTTTTTGGTACCTTCAACTTTTCAGGTGTACATTAAACAAAAAATACGAGATCAATTTTTAATAAATCATACATGATTATTTTGCTCCTAAACTCTAGTTTATTAATAAATAGTTGATTTTGTTCACAAAAGTATGTGTTTTCTGTTGTATGTGGAAAAGTGGAGGACGAAAGGTTTTCAAAATTCATTAAAATAGGGCTTATTTACGCCATTCGCCTATTTTCAAGCACAGCAACACGTATATTTATTTCACCTAAAATATCAATTGATTCGTGTTTTATGATGCTCCTAGCCCATTAACAATATATATATGATATCAGAGTTATTCGTCTAAAATGTTTTGAGATATAGAGGTAAATGTGGAGGACGAAAGGATTTTTATGTGTGTACATTTTTCTCAAAAACGTCACATTCTATCATGTTAAAAGCGAGGATCCTCTGGATTACGCCACAAAATGTGTAACAATGCGTGCGCGAGCTTTTTGCGACACGTCATAGATTAGCATGCAATGCAATTTCATTCAAAGGCTATTCAAAATAACTTAGTTTCTTGCAGCTACCTGTATCCATCATGATAAACCATGACATCTCATTTCTTCTCAGCCCAGAGATGTTTCATGTTTCAGGTGAAACAGAAAGATGCTATGAGCATCAGAATCACCTGTCTCAACTATTTCCAAAAATCATAAAAGTTTAAATATTGTAACAAACTGACACTACTATATGTGAAATATGCAAGGAGGCCAGATGTTATATAATAATAAAACCAGCCAAATGTGATCTGATCACAATTCCAGGTGAAAGACACTGAGAAATGTTCAGATTAGAGAAATATTCCAAAAACACGTTTACTGTTATTACTAAAGTACTGGGAACATGGGCTTTCAACTAGAATTGAAAGCCCATGCTGGGAAGTAGAAAATTGTAGAAATATTTTACACAAAAATATGTGATTTATATACTCTATAATTTATTGAATAATACGCTTTAACTAGATACATACCATATGTAAACTATACATAGGCTGCTGCCTAAGTATTCTACATGTAAATAACTTCATATAGAAGTATACTAAACATGCTACTGTATACTATAACCTATACTTACTGTAAGTCATGGTAACAGAATTAACCCAATGAAGTATAATAAAAAAAATGCAATGCATTGGTCTATATTAAGTTCCAAGAGATGTCACCATTATGATGATTATACATGTAGTTCTAATCATAGTTATTTCATAGTGAAAAGTTGTTTTCCAAAATGGAGTTTGTTGTTTCAAATGAACATGAAGACCTGAAAACATACTTTTTTGGTTTCAGTCATTCCTTGATTAATATCAATTGTATTAATAACAATATCATAGACACTCACTGTGGTAGAACTTTTCAAACTGGTTACGAAAACATCTGCTTCAGTAACAAAATGGCAAAGCCAAAGAGGTACGATTTTTTGGTTTCCATGATTTCACAAGATGTAGGTAGAATCTTCATAATATTTTTTGTGCTTCAGGCTGATAGCTCCCAAGACACCAGAATCATCAATATCATATCAAAAAAGTGCAGATGTTAACCATTTTTAAACATATGTTTATGTAACAAAAGTGAGGAATCATATCAATGATTCTGGTGTCTCGTGATCTAACTGCAAATGCTTAGATTTTCATAAACATATGATGCTGGCACATATGTGTGCTAAAAAGGTCTTGAAGATTTAACCTACATCTTGTGGATAAAGAAAAATGTACCTCCGAGGCTGGATATCTGGATCCATTTTTGAAAAGTTCCACCACCGTGACAGAACATGTCAATTTGATTGTCCCAGTGATTGCACTGAGAGGATTCTACATCATTAAATGCTATTACAATACATGTATCTAGTTTCTTGTGTCCCATGCTCCAATTTAGACATGTTACATTATAAGCTACATATATTCAGATTTTACAGCTTTATAGAAAACACATACCTAACATAAATGCTACCTGTAAGTACTGTTTCATTAATTTTCATTACAGTTACATATCTAAGCCATTGATACAGGTCGCTTCTCATAAGGAATTATCTAAACTCCTCGTTGAATTACAAAATCATATCTCCTTGAGGTTTATGGTATTTCGTCATTCAGGGGCAATAACCGTTTGATATTACAATATTTAATCAACATTCAAGGTTTATAGAACACTGTAGGAATTTCCCAACCATACCATTTCCACAATGAACTCTCATTGTACAGCTTATGTGTGAGTGTATAATTTAACATTGTAATATAAAGTTGACATAATGACAACTGTCGTACATCAAAACATAAAAGGTTCCATTTACAGTACATATATACTGACATTACATATATCTTAGATTACTTAATAAAACCACATACAGTTGATGGGAGTAATTCTGAAAACACAAAAATGAGACCATTTCAGATTCCCTTTATGAGGTGTTCACATATGAACAATTTTTACATTCTACATGTACAGGGTGGGCAAATAAAAATGGGACACTTGAGAATGATGCATAGTATCCCATTTTTATTGCACAGCCTGTATATGGTTAAAATATCTTCAAAACTTCAGTTTATGGTAACTGCATGTACTTACTCCCGTAAAATCAAAAATAACATGAAAATCACTTATTTCAATTACAGTTACACCATTGTTTTGGACACATTTACCAATTTTACTTCCACATTCAAATAAAGCTTGGTCATGTAATGTTATCATACAATATTTATAATTTATAATGCATTGGAGGTCTTTTATTTGGCTTCCCAAATCCCACTGCAGATATCTATAAAAAATGACTGAGATATAATTTATATACTTTTACAGATCACACTGTTGTTATTGGCAAGATTATATAAGCGGAAACTGGAATATAATTTATAACACATTAGGTGTACTTTACCATGTTATGTGGCCTGCCAGATACTTTATCATAATATAAACTTTAAGTCGTTGAAGATGCATGCAAAATTGATCATTTTAACATTCAGTAGACTATAAAGAGTATAAGACCACATGAAAAGAACAATCCATTTATAATCCAAAACACACATTCATAATTTTGTAAATACTCATTCATTATTGCACTATTATCAATATTGTTATGTTTGTAGTTCTAGGTCTTTTTATAAATGTCGATTATTTTACTTTACCCCATCTGAGTCATATAATAGCAACAGAATTAAACATTTGAATATTTTCTTTTTTGGGAGAGGAGGGTAGGGGTGGGGGGGTCTTCAACAGTTTCAAAGTAGCTTAGATTCATCAACTAACTGACTATTCCAGTTCCAGGGTTGGCCCTAGTCTTAAGAATTATATCACGATACTTGCAATCCTTTTAGTCATGTAAATATAAAGAAACACTGTTTTTCATTCAGCAGGAACTTATTCAATTATTTCATAAAAAGTTCTAGAAAAATCATAAATGCCTGTTTTTAACAATAAGTTACTTCATACAATTTTTTGATCAAATAAGTCTACTGCGTTTTTTTAATACTGGAATATATGCTGATCTCCTTAAAGCCACTTGCACCTCATAAATCATACATGTTTTTGATGTTATAACCATATCACATCCAAATATAAATACATAGACTAAAGGTAAATCAAAGGTTTTTATTTCCATTCCACTCAATTAAAATTGAAGACATTCTCCTGCAATGCACAGGCCATGTTAAAATATATGCTTACTTTAACAGAGCTTTCAACAGAATCCAGTTAATCAAAGGAATTAAAAAAGATAGTGTAAAATGTTGGAAGAAATCTATTAAAATTGTCAATGTTTTCCTTTAATTAATCTTAATTTTCTGAAAAAGTAATCACATTGAAGATATACGATGCAGAAATCTCCAAATTCATTGCAATCGAAAAAGGTATCAATTTTTGTAGTTTAGGCAAGAAAACCTTAAAAAACGAAGGATTGTCCAGAAATAAAGTTAGAACTTCCTTAGGTAATAGACATGACATCCCTTAGGTAAAAGACATGACATCGAATGATGAAAGCAAAAAGTATTTCAAAATTGTTTTACAATTTCATTGAAACTTTTAAACTCATCTCCACCCTTTCTACAGATCTCCACAAAGACCATATAATAAAAATTAAATTTATAACAGCTATATATATTGTGACTAAACTTTGAAGTTTTAACACAGATTGTCTAATAAACATACAAGGGTCTGGCTCAAAATATCAATGTTTACTTTTCAAAAAAATAATTCAGTGGGCTCAAGTACAAAATAAATGGCTATTGTTGCAAATGATTTATGTAGATTAATAAAAAATAAAAGAAATGAAATTACTTCCATGAAAAATATTAATCATTCATACTTGAACCAGTTCCCTTACAAGCACATCATTGTATACAATTACCCTAAATACAACTTTGGCACATTGAATTGCACTACTTACTAACGACCTACATAGGGTACTAGGTACCTCCACATATAACACATTAAGTTTTGACAATGAGGATAATATATGACTACATAGTACACAATGCTAAAATATAAATCATTAAAATACAAAAAGTCAACTCCTTGTTGGCTACTTAACTTAGAAATTTGTATTTCACTGTTTTATAAAGAACATGTACGGAATACAAATAAAATGCAAACATCATATGAATGTACATACTGTATTTATATCATACATTGTTTCTACAATAAATAATTTTATTTAGATTAATCATGTAGCAACTACAGTACTATATAATGTATATATATATTTAATAATATATTTATAGATCTCTAAAATAGTTTTTATGATGGACATAAATCATTCTATACACAAATTTCATTTGCTTTGTAAATTGAGAGGTGTAAACAAGTAGTGTGTTACTATAGTTACTAAACCCCTTAATCCTGCATATCATTATGCTTGAAGATGAGCTTCAAACAAACTTATAATTTATACAATTTGTAGAAATGTGTATTAAAATCATCAAAAATTTGAAACACTTCTTTGGAATCATTCAATGACTAATTATATACAGGGTGTTCCACAGAAATAAAGATTTACTTCTGGACCACCCTATAGTTTACGGAATAGTTTTAGCATATACGTTTCTAATATATTTCATGAACTATTATTTCAATAAAATTATGTACTGGTATCAGGCGGGTGGTAAGCTAGATGGCTTTTTCCATGACTTGACCTTGACCCTGGTGACCTTTCTTCATGTGACCTTTGACCTGAGCAGGTCAAAGCGTGATTGCGTAGATTAACTGGTGTCACAAAACCTTCCCCACACAAGATGCACTGGTTCTGCGATTTCATGACATGAATTTGTGACTTCATATGACGATTCAGATCTGATTGGGTAACGCCTTTGTAATTGCAGAGCGTGCAGTGGAACTCTCTAATGCCTGTAACCAACGAATAAACACTTCAAATTAACAATAATGTGCTCCCGTTCTCAAGGCCTGATATCTTAAAAATATATGGCAAGAAATATACGAGGGTGTAACAAATCAGGAAATATTATAAAGACAATCAATGATTCATCACTGTCATTAATTAATGTCCAATATTTTTCTAAACCAATTTGAGCTGTGTCTTTCAGTTTTGTCATGTTAGAGTCTTCACTGTTGAAAACACATATTATTTCTTTCCTCTAATTTCTGTTTTTATCTATCCTGTCATAGAAAAGTACTTTCATCCATAATATCCTCTCAATTGACACTATCCTCATTTGCAGATACACGTGTTCAGCGACAGGAAATCAGAACAATTTAGCGGAAGAGCCCCTCATGATAAATGATGTGTTTTTGTCTGGCCTCACAACTATACTAATCCGTCATATTTACTTCCGCAGAGCTACTTTATTGCTATTGGCTCTGTGATCGATTATAACAATATCCTTCCCTAAGAAATATGCTTTTTCCTAATTAAATGAATGAAAAGAGAAATGAGACGAGCCCTGCTTATGGTCATGAGGGAGATTGTTTTGCTAATTTGTGTTTTACTTGAGTAAGACACTTTGTATTTTAACTCAATTATGTCATTTTGTGATCGACTCTGGTATGTCACTTCATTTTCATCTCAAGTTTGTCACTTCATTTTCAAATCAGGTGCTTCACTTTGTTTTCAACTCAGGTATTTCACTTTGTATTCAACTCTGGTATGTCACTTTGTGGTTGATTCTGGTCTTGCACTTTGTCGTCAACTCTGGTAAGTCACTTAATGTTCGACTCAGGTAAGTCCCTTAATGTTCGACTCTGGTATGCCACTATGTATTCAAATCTGTTGTGTCACTTTGTAGTCAGCTCAGGTATGTCACTGTGTATTCAAATCTGGTATGTCACTTCATTTTCAACTCAATTTTGTCACTTCGTTTTTAAATCAGGTATGTCACTTCATTTTCTATGTCACTTTGTATTCAACTCTGGTATGTCACTTTATGGTCGACTCTGGTATGTCACTTTATGGTCAACTCTGGTATGTCACCTTGTGGTCAACTTTGGTATGTCACTTTGTGGTCAACTCTGGTATGTCACCTTGTAGTCAACTTTGGTATGTCACCTTGTAGTCAACTTTGGTATGTCACTTTGTGGTTGACTCTGGTATATTACTTTGTAGTCAACTCTGGTATGTCACCTTGTGGTCAACTCTGGTATGTCACCTTGAAGTCAACTTTGGTATGTCACTTTGTGGTCGACTGGTATGTTACTTTGTGGTCAGATATGCCATATTCTGTCTTCTTAAGTTTGTTACTTTAATATGTTCTCAACTTAGAACACCGAATGTAACATTTGTTCTTTGGCAATGATCAATATAATAACTACACTGTCAGTGAAACCCTACGATTAATATCATTTTATGTCTTAAATACTTGAGGATTATGTGAATATGCTTTCCTTATTAATCATACAATACTTTTATGGTTGCTGATATAAATGTTAGAAAGTACTATAGATTATTCCAATGCATTCTGGTAGAGATGGCCATGGAGGAACAGACATTTGGTGAGTGAGTGTCTGATCAAAGTCACTGATCAAATATTATTGAATTCCAAGTACATAATATTAAGTAAAGATGAATTCAAATATACAATTCTATAATTTTAAGATATGATTCTGTTTGAACGTTATACCCAAGCTTTCTAACAACACAAGACAGAGCATTAACATGTAAATTGTCACCACCTGCCATTTGTTACAGACAATGACTGCCAAATGCGGATCACCAAACACCAACCACAGTCCACAAAAAGTTGGAGACTGTAATAAAAATATGTCCTCTGGGTGGTGACATCAAAAGCACCAACACCCCCTCTTCAATTGATATGTTTGATGACTCCTTGACTTTGCCTTGCTCTTAATATTCATAATATTATGCTTTCACATGTACGGGTATAAACATCAGAAATGATGTCACCTGTTATATGTTCTGTATTTAATTATATTATTAAGGAATAAATTGAATTGACAAAAAAGAACTATTTGAGTTTGATGATAAAAACAATATTTGTGTATAACAGTAAAACATCTGCTAGTATATACCTTGATGCCTCATCATGTGGACTTTAAGCTGACTGTTTGTCCTTGCATTATAGTCACACCACTGGCATTTATAAGGCCGAATATCTGAAGAAAAAATGATATATAACTCAGTTATTTTAAATTGCAAAAATGTTATTCTCTTGAACCCATCATGCATGATAGTGTTGTAGTAACCTTTAAAGAATTTATCCAACCTCTATCATAATTTGATTCATAGCAAGAACATTGACTTTTGCATGTTAGTGGCTTTGTGGCTTTTTAATAGATCTAACCTCAGAAGTGAATCAGTATCATAAAATACCTAGAAAATAACAGATTTCACCATAATGTGGACCTATTCACTGAGCAACTTTCTGGTGAAAAAATGAATCTTGCAGATTTGTTGAATTTTCTAGCAGAGATTGGCTACTCCCCCTCTACTATTTTTTCCCGCCATGTAGTCTTTAATTTTAATAGGATTTGGGAAAGGACCATTCTAAGTTTGGAGAATGAAGTTCATCACTTATTTCGACATTATCAATGTCGCCAACAATTTTGATTTTTTACATATAGCGTAGATTGAAATGTGATCTTTTGAATTTTTAACATTTAATTATGGTAATATTTTTATTTCTTTCAAAAAACAAATATTAGCAAGCCCCCACCCCCAATATTTCACGTTTTAAAGTCCCACTGACCATGTCATAAATTGAGCTTTTTGTCACCAGACATGTTTAGAGATGAAACTAGCTTTTTACTACATTTTCAAGTACAATCATACCAATTTCAATCCCCCTCTGTCTTTGATAACGACAGTAGGGGTTTGCTAATATTTGTTTTTTGAAATAAATAAAAATATTACCATAATTAAATCTTAAATATTCAAAAGATCACATTTCAATCTACACGATATGTAAAGTAAATCAAAATTGTTGGCGACACTGATAACGTCGAAATAAGCTGATGAACTTTGCAAAGAATAGCATCTTAAAGTTGACAAGGGAACAATACTGCTATTCTGTGCAAAAGTTATGATAAACAAGATTTATGGAATTAATGAACTAACAATTACCTAGTAGGGTTGTTGCCCTATGAAAGTCATTTTAAAAACACCTTAATTAACAAAAAAAACAACAACACCTATTTGATATATAATTAAGTTCCTCAATGTGGATAACAAGTTACCTTCATGGAAGTCCATATGTCTATTTATATCAGAGAATGTGCTAAACTCCTTCCCACAAAAGACACAAGGGTAAACTGATCTACCATCCGGAAGTGCTTGAGGTTTGCAGACCTTCTCACGATTGATGGGTGAACGAACTACTTGTAGTCTGAAGGTAAAAATGAAGTTCACATTAAATCCATATAATACAGTAATACTTTTATATCTGAACACCTCTATACTTCAAACACCTCTTAACATGAACATTTTTTATTCAATCTGGCATGGACGTCAAATTTAAAAACCTTGAAATGTGACTTCTTTCGTATCCAAGCACTTTTGGTCGGTCCAAGTGTTTTTGGGTTAGATAGGTTTTACCTAAGAAAATTTGTATTATATTTGTAATTCATGTACACACTTAGTGGAATTACACCTATTTCATGGCTAAAGGCGTTTTCAAGGCGTTTTGGGTAACGTAGGCTAGAAAACCGCAATCCTGATTACACCAAAATTTTAAAAGCGCCTTGAAGACAACTTTTCGTGATTACACTTGATTTTTCTAAAGCGCTTTTAGACTGATTTAAGACAATAATTTGCCATCAACCATCGCATTTGCATCAAAATCTGCTATTTAGATATACACTTTCAACCGTAGCGCCATCTCTGGAGATTCAAAATGATCCGATACTGTATGTTCCTTTTTTTCTTAAATCGTATTCAATCTACCTCTGGCTTTAACAAATATGTGCTAAAGAAAGCATGGAAAACAATGCACAAGCGCGCAAAGAGAGAAGCTCGGTTGTTATGAGAGATCCAAGAGAGATCCAGTAAAATGAAGATGGTACTTTTGTTGGGGCTGTTTGGCATCCTTGGTAATATGGGACAGGAACGAACGATGTGGACAAGACAAAGATCTCGTCACTTTTTTGACTTCATTGTAGAGAGGTAATTTCAACTATTCAATCATCCCCTCCCCTCGCCTTCCCCAATCTACAATAGTACCGGAATTTCTCGTATATAAGCCCTGGGCGTATAACTGAAAGAAGGGGTAATTTCGTCCGTTATTTTATCATTTTTTATACGCCCATGGGCGTATAAATATAAGACTTTAGATTTTTGGCCCAGTGAGCGTCAAAGTGATCGAGAAGAGCTATTATCATAATACTATGGTGCTCAAAATATTAGCTACTTTCTTCTGTTCGGGATGCTGAATCATCAATATCCGTCGTCAATAGTATTATATCATTTATTTAATTTACGGTTATTCTATTTACAAATTGCGTTGTTCTTGGTAGAACGTGGAATCATGATGATTTTCGACATTTTGGTGATTTGATTGAGTTTTGCACAATATTTGAATTTTGTTTTTTGAAGTTTCCTCCACACCGGAAATCAATAACATGCTTGATGCTCATGCGCAAATATAGTTTTCGTTCAGTGTAAAATCGAGTTAAAGCGCCTTGAAAACCAATCGGTATTACACCTACACGTTAAACCGCCTTTGGGTGTGAAAGCGGTTTTTAATGACTAGGGGTCTGGGAGGATTACAAAAGCGCTTTTCTAAATCCGCGATCGTGATTACACCTGACTCTAAAGGCGGGTCGAAACCCGATAGGATTTTAAAAAGCGCTTTTACATCGTAGGTGTAATTCCACCTACTGATTCAGTACTGTTTAGTAGTTATGTTAAATAAGCTAATGAGATGGCACAATTAAAGCAATTAGAAGGGATAATGAGTGAAAATGTTGAAAGCAATCTACAAAAATATGCCATTGTTTCCTTGACAATACTCATTTTATTATCTGTAAAAAAGAATTGAAATATCTGATGAAATGTAGAAGTTGTTCAGAATTTAAGATGCAGAAATGTACAAATTCATTAGAATTGAAAATTGGAGGTACACCAATACTGTGTTTTACAAATCAAAGAGTTATCCTGAAATAAAGCCAGAACAGTCAAACTTTTTAGAAATTAGGCAGGTCATGAAATGATGAAAGCAAAAAAACATTATATCTATCCCTCTGATTGTTCATTGAAATGGAAACGAGACTTTCTAGTTTAATTCCGGTCATTATACAGCAAAAACAAATGATTGATTGTAAATGGCAATTATGAACAGTAAATTTAATAAACTCCAAAGCCAGGAACTGTAACTTTATATCAACCTGGACACATCTTTTCATTAAAAACAAATATGACTCCCAATATAATTCAGCAATGAACAACTTCAAAACACAAATCAAATCTGGACTCAAGACAGCACATGGCTGAGATATGGTTTTATGATGATGCCTGAAACCCAACTTTTTCATTTTTCTAATATACTCATTTGATTTGTTATCATAATAAAGATTCCTCTTCACTGTCTGGACCATGACACGGAAACTTAACAAGTGGTTGGAGCTTTTCAATAACATGTGTTTTCAAGGAATGGTCAGACAGCAGACATCATGGAAAGGGCAACTCTTTGGCAGACAAGAGGCCAAAAGACTGCACAAAAAAAGGCTTTTGTTATATAAGGAATGGGCTGAGATGAGTGGTTATTTTGAACAATATACATGATAACAGTATAACATAGCACACACCCAATCAAATAGAAATAATGACCATTCAGATTTAATTAAGTTACTGAAAATAGGATCAGTATAATTTCTAAGGTGTGCTTTGGATTTGATATATCCAGATATCACATAAAACTAAATGATGTGCATGCATTCTTACCGGGAGTGAGTTCTGGAAAGTGATGTTGCCTTGCGATCCTCTCCAGTCTCATTGTCACTAGGTGGGGAGGAACTACTTCTTCTGGTTGGACTTGACAGTGTGGGTGATTTGGCACTAGTGGCACTAGTTTCGGTGGAGATTTTAATTGCTGGGGTTGACGATGGTGAGGTGGTTGGGGGTGGAAACCTTGATGCATTGAGAAGGTTAGGGGTTCTTGTCCCTCCAAGAAAGAATGGTAGCATATCTGGAAAGCTGATAAGGTTAGGACTGACTTTTGGCATATTCGGGACCATTGGAAACATATAGGGAGAAAATATTTCTGTAGGAAACGTACCAAATGGTTTAGGAACAAATGCTAGAGGGTTTACATTAGGCTTGATATCAGGAGATTCCTCAGTTGTGACTGTTGAATGTTCAGTTTTGATGATTACTGGATCAGCTTGGCTTTTTGCTTCCAATGGTTTGTGTGCTATTTTTGTTTCTATTGTCTCATAAGTATCCTTTGCCTGACTCTCACTGGGAATATCTTTCTCCTCATCTTCGCCTTTATCCAGTGGAGGATATTCAAACATAGTCCGTTGTTTTGGCAGACATGGAGTTTCATCATCCTCATCACGATAAGCCTTTGTGGGCATCAGCATCTTACGTTTCACTTTTTCTCGAGGCTTATATAACATTGATTTTACAGGAGCAGAAAGTATTTCATTTCCAGGGGAGACCTCACACAATGAGGAATTAGACGACCAAACAGAGTCGGAACTGTTTGAACCAGGAGTCTGTGGTTCAACTTCCATGGGAGCATCAGATGGAATTACTACTGTGATGTCATCATCTGCACCTAACATGCTGGCATACACAGAATCCACGCTGTCGGTTCGCAAACTTTCTGAGTATTTACTTGGACTTGTGACTTCAGTGTCTTCAGAGGCTATGCTTGTGCCCCGTTGTTGTGATGAGTGGGATTCCTCAGAGGATAGAGGGCGCACACGTCTTCTACTATATGTGATCAGCTTGTGACTTTGCTCACGATGAAATCTCATGATGTGTTGTCTTAGATTGCGAGGCTCGCTGAACCCTTTACCACATGCCTTACAGAAGCATGGTTTAACCCCAGTGTGTACACGCTCATGCCTCTGAAGGGAAAACAGACGATCGAAACATTTATTACAATACTGACATGCGTAGATCTTTTCAGGAGATGATTTATCAGTTGTGAGAGCTTTTACTTCCTCTGGCTTAAGTAACGGAGATTCTACAATGACTGGTTCTGCTAATTGTGACTGATTGTCAATTTTTATTGTTTCTTGAAGCTTGTGTTTCACTTTGTGCCTAAGTAGAAGGGCTTGCTTAGTGAAGCCAACATTGCACTTCTCACACCGGTACATCTGCGTGTGTTTCTTGAAACAATGTATCACTAAATGACTCTGAAGATTACCAAAGTCATTGTAGTGTTTCGAACATAAATGACACTTATAGAATTTAGCTTTAAGGCCAGTTTTCTTGCTAATGCCTGTAATCCTACTGACAACCACTTCTTCCTTTTCTATGTTTAAAGTCTGTAGTGATGGACTCTCTGGGTCTGGGTTAGAATGACCAGATGGGGTACCACACTCTACATAACTAGATTGATTGTCTATGCTATATGTATCAGTGAAGTCACCATCTTCTGGTTTAATTATAACTTCATCTCTGGTGAATCGTTCTTTGGTATCATCAGCTTGCTTATCAAAATATGAGATCATAGGTTTACTAAAAGATTCTACTGTAGGGGCAATTGACTCAGAAGTTTGATCTTTATCATCTGGTACCTTATCAACAAGAGCACAAGCTTTTGCTTGCTGTGCAGTAACATTTGATTCAATGTCTTTATCACCTGCTTCCTGTTTCACTTCAACTTTATCAAGTTCACTGTCCTCAGTAAACTCGGACATGTCCATATTCTCATATGCTTGTGAGATTCGCTTAAGTTTCTGATTGGCTCTAAGTCTGAGGTAGCGCTCCTGTAAGCCCTGGCTAAGCTCTACCTCAATACCATGAGCCACCTTCTCATGGTAATTACAACTTCCCTTTGCCTTGAAACCTTTACTGCACACCTAGAACAAAAAAAAAATTGACATAAAAAATGTCAAATGATTATTCAAACGGAGACTGTCTAATATCTATAATATAATATATGATGTGAGATAATATAGTATAATGAAATATGATATAATATATGGTATAATATAGTATAATATGATAAAATATAATATAATATGATATAATATAATGTATTATATGATATAATGTAATATAATGTAATAAAATAATATAATACGAAGCATATACAATTACTCCGAAAGCAATCATTACAAGAAAACAATCACTTATGTGGACGTATTTAATATGAAATGCACCTGAAGGTATTATATCAAGTTCTATTTATTTTGATTATAATTTGGCAGCTTATGTTATTATTTCAAAAATAGAAAAAACATGTATGTTCTTACTGTGGTTCTGTACTAATATTCGGAAAACAAAATTTGATTTAAATATTGGTTAATGAAAACACAGCATGAAATTCAGCGATAATGACTGATGTTAAAAAAAGTGACTTAGTAATTAAATTGTATGTTCATATCATTTGTATTGTATTATTTTGTTTTGTACAATAATTAGATGACAAGACTATTATGTTTTGGTTACAAATCCAAATATAGAGATTCTGTTGATTTTATTCTTAGATATTTGAACTTGTATTCTACTTGGCTTTTCTGTTTTATTTGTAAAATATATGTTGCCCACGATGTTGAAAAATGTAGGCAATAATATTGTATTTTATTTGTATGTTCTTTGAGAAATGAAAAAATTGTAAAATTTCAGGATACATGAATCTATCAATAAGTCAAGATGAGAAACTTTTTTTTTTCACTTTAAATCAATTCTAAGTGAAAACTATATCCCACATGTTTGTGATACTAAAGTAAGTCTTCATAAAAAGACTCAAAGGAGTAATTCAAGACTCAAAGAAGATGAAATATCTTGTCACTTTATCAATACAATTATAATAATTGATGATATTTTTCATGTCATGTTTTTTTAAACTAAGCGACTTTTCTGCTATTTGCAAAGTTTAGTCAAGTTGTTACAGAAAAATAGGATGGGGGTCATGAGGGCTTAGTATGCCACATTTATAATATTTGTAAATAAAATCTAATTAGTATGCCGTCTCAAATTAAATATCTAAGTTTCAAATTAGGTTAAAATTGGAATCAAAACAAGAGATTTGTTTTACTGATAGTTCACCTTGTTACATTGATGTGTTTTTTAAAATTCAGATTCTGTTGGATTGTGATTCATTTTGATTTAATATAATTCATCATAGTTATTTCGGATAAAAACTCATGCTTTAGCACCGTGACATATTAAGTCACGACAATTTAGCAATTTGATATAAATAAGTAAAATATGATGTATAGATAATTGATCTATCGTGCATGCTCTTTATGTCATATGAGATGTGTCTGACACCATAGAAATAACTAACCTGACATTTGAAAGGTCTTTCATTTGTATGGACCATAAGATGGCGCTTCATGTCACTAGGTTTTGAACCATGTTTCCCACAGAATTGGCAATGACGTGATGTTAGTGATAGTTCCACCTTCTTTAGTTCATCGGGGGATAAATCTTTATATAAGCTCTCATTATCCACTTCGGATGGAGATCTCTGCTCTGGTTCAATGCTTTCAGCTTTTTCCACGGGGTCTTCCTTTTGTATTTCATGGACAGGAAGTTCAGGTTTAGAGGTCATGGGTTGATCAGTAGTGGCAGGGGTTTGACTAGAGATTTCCTCATCTTTGTCTTCATGTTTAGAGGTATTTCCATTGTCCGAGGTAGCATCAGAGGGTACTGACTGAATTAACTCTAGCCCTAGAGATTCTCTATAGTACCTTTGCATACTAAGTTTATCATCGGGGACCTCTCGATCAATTCCTGACATTCTTGAAGTTAAACACCGCAAATCACTGGGTGGCTGTAACACAGCCATATTTGGGCATTCTTTAGTAAGATTATCAAGATTCTCGTTTAAGTTTTCACCACCACCAGATCTTAGTCGAAAACGATAATTTGAAGGTTTTGGTTTTATCTTGTGATGGCCCAATTGATGGTATTGTAGACTTCTTTTGGCTTTGAAACACTTGGGTGGCACACAGCGCTGCAAGAAAGAAATGACATGAATGATATGAAATAATGAAAAATTATACATTGATGTTTTACAATAAACAGTATATTTATTTTATCAGTAATGTGGTCAAAATTATTTCAAAATTATATATGAGCCAGGCCACAGAAAAAGGGGTCTTATTTTTCAATATTCTGATTTTTTGTTTATCTTAAAAAGCACAAAGAGACCTTTCAAATGAGCCATGGCTTATGTCCTGACAATCTTTCCTTGCATATATAGACCAAAAAGTCTGATTTGAATTTAGCACATTTTCCTCTTAATCTTGGGCACATTTTTGGCTCTGTAGCTCAATTTTACTTTTTGTGATAAGACCGGTTTTCCTATGGCCAGGCTTATACTTGTTGACAATATCAATGAGATAATATACAATGTTTTTTTAATTCCATAAAAGGCCAATAAAAAGTCTTCATCATTTAAATAATATTTTGCCATGATATTTAGGTATATACATGTAACTTGGCAATTTTAAAGAGTGCTGAATAAGTAATATTATTCTGAAATTAAAAAGAAACAACAATAAGGAATTAGCCTATATAGGTTTTATCTAGGTGGGGAAAAGGGGGTACTAGACATTGTTTCTAACATTAAATCATGGTAATCAAAATGAAACATTCAAGCCTGGAAATCAGAAAAAGTGAATGGAGGGGGTAACCAATTTCTGCTAGAAAATTCAACAAATCTGCAACATTTATTTTTTCATGAGAAAGTTTGCTAATAAATAGCTACATGAATATGTCCACAGTATTTTACAGATTTTACCATCATATCCCAAAGTGCATCTATAATTCCATGGTTAATATCTGATTTTTTTCTGTTGATGTTTAATTGTTTATGTTCATTTTCTTGGATGAATGCTGTGCCAGAGTGTCACTTCTTCACAGATTTTATTTGAGAATGACATATACAAGAATGCAATAAATTCTCAGGGAATTTAATTAGAAATTAAAGTAAAAAAGCCAATAATTAAGCATGGCAATATGAAATTACCTGACAAACAAAAGGCCGTTCACCAGTATGTTTCCGTAAATGACGCTGTAAGGCTGCTGGAGTTTTCGCGACTTTTCCACAATAGCTACAAGTCTTTTTTGACACACTAACTCCCTTCCGCCCTCGTTTTTTAGGGGTGGTATGATTCAACTGGGTAGAGCTCAATGATTTTAGGCCAGATATGCCATTACTGATGCTACCCAAACACAGGTCATATCGTGCAGTTTTTCCATTTAATTCTTTGGCACCATTAATTTCAGATTCGTTGTTTGTGTTATTATTAGAATTATGTATTGCTTCAGGGTTATCACTGCAGGCTGTATACGTTTGCTGTTGTTTTTGGTATTTTTGTTGTTGACTAGTTGTTGTTGTTGTAGACTTTATTGCAACATCCCCTGGTGTGGTCTGCTCTGGACCTTTACACACAGTATCTGTAAATATACATAAAAAATAGTTGAAGAAAGTCTCCTGATTAAGACCTTTTCAAGCTGATTCAGCCATTGTTAGCCATTTTCATTTTTTACAAACTTAAAAGTAATATCACAGTATATTTATTTTGATTTCAAATTCTAGATGCTTGAAGATCACCAAAAATTATATTGAGTAAAACTAAGTCAATACAATCAATAATATCATGTAATAAAAACAAACTCAAATTTTTAGTTGTATTTTTGAATTTTTTTTATCTGAAAGCAATTGAACATCAATTTTACAAACACGTCAGTTAAATCAATATATTAAGAGTACATGTCCACTGTGCCATATAAAACCTGATCTTGATGTCCCATGTCTTGGCGAGACAAAATCAATAAGAACTTATTGTTTTAGCATGTAATCTAATTCTTCATTAAATTTTACAAACAACACATATGTATTTAACAAACTACATATATTTTTTTTTTATGACAACTATTGAACAAATATAACTCAAATAAATAAATAAATAAAACAAAATATAATTATAAAGATACAAACTTTGCTCCAGTAAATCCTATTGCCCTAAAACACTGACTTAAGACGAATGAATGAAACTAAACAATGTTTTGAATGCACTTGTATGTAACTTCCACTATTTTAGTAAATTGTACTCCCACATTGGATTTATGAATGAAAGGCAGTTACACTATTCATTATATATCAGATAGCAGCGGATGGATTTAACAAGGCACCTGTTTCGACATGTGACTGCTATGATGGCTTCATCTTTTAAATTATACCTGCACACCTACCCATGAGAAATCGTGAATCTAATCCTCGTCATCTTTGACCAACTTTTTGAGGTAAATAGGCTGTATTAAATTAAATATCCCCGAAATAATGGAAACCTAGTGAATAGGTTTTACTGCAAGAACTGGATAGAGATACAGTACACTGATATCCATGAGTATGACACAAAATGAACAAGGGGCAATATTTAAAAACAAGCTACCTTGATTCCAACTATTTTGCCCACAATTGCTACCCAAATGGCTTCTATAATTACAATCTCCTTAATCATACTGGAGAATGGGTAGGTGAACAATATAAAGATATTCTGTGTTATAATGTATAGGGCTACACACAGGGTAGGTCAAAAAGTCTCAATGCCTGAAATAATCTCTGCACTCCTAATTAAAAACTTATTGACCACTGAGTGAATGTATATTAAACAAAATACAGGTCCCTCCACAAGAAATATCAATATTATTGAACTTAGGGTTATTGTAGGGTAATATATCAGGGTGAACTAGATAACAGCGACGCCAAAGCATAGCAAATCCCATCCAACAACCATGGCTGCCATTTTTACAAAATCCTTCAACTACTTTTTCAGTTACAGCAAAAATCTTAAATAACACACGAAAAATGGACAGCATTTTCGAAATGGTCGCTCACTAGCCAAATTGTCATAAAAAAGTATTATATGCTTCTAAGTAGGCACATATAACATTTCAACAAAATCGCACACACGTACATGTAAATGAGAGCGATTTTTCAAAATGGCTGCCTACTAACCAAAGTACAGTGTCATAAGATAGTGTGCCATGCTTATGGGTGTTCACATATCAAATATGAACAAAATCACTAAATTACTTTTCAATTAATAGCAAAAATTGTAAAAATATTTAATTTTTCAAGATGGCTGGCATGTGTTTCTTAAATATCTACATTTCTAGCTTTATTAATGTCCTATATATTTTTTTTACATTTAAAACATAATGCCATTACAGTTTTATATATTGTACCAAAATTACTGTAAAATCGGCACTAAAATGGTGGCTATTTTGAAATGAGTAGCTATTTTGAAAAGCAGCTTTCAAGCAGAACTTCTACCCCCATATATGTATAGGACATATGTGTACAAAATATGAACAAATTTGGGCTAACGGTATTTGAGTTATTTCCAAGATGGATGAACAGATGTAAGGACGAATGGACAGAGAAAGGTGTTCCCTCAAAAGGAGTGATACAAGGTACATATTTTACACTGAATGCGTCACCACCTGCCATTTGCTACATATGCCAAACTCTGAATGCCAAATGCGAACTGCTGAACACTGCCAACAGAAAAGTTGGAAACTATAACAATATGTCACCACTTGTGGTGGTGGTGGTGACATAAAAATCCAAAAATGCCACCTTTAAATTAAACCAGCATGCCCAAAATATAGCGACTGAAAATTTGAAATCAATTCAAAAAACACTTGACCTCGAAACCAGCGAACAAGTATGTTGGAGATCACTGCTACCCACACAGCAAATGTATCAGGATACAGCCCAAGAGAATAATAAAACACTTTCTGCCATGCGCTATCTGAAATAATCAAACCAATGACGCAAATGTCCCTTTGTGCTATACCATATTAATAGTCTGTGACGGCTTGATCTTGAAATAAATAGGCATTAATTCCAACAATAACTGATATTAGATATGTCATTACATTCTATTGGTAGAAGATTATATACATGTTTTGTTGTAACAATAGGGACCGAGACGTACGTGTGAGACACTTAATAATCAATGTGAACGTTTGAACCAATCAAAAGATGGTATTCTTTGTAAGTAATTTATGAAGGAATAATTTAACGAACTACTTTCATGAATGGAATGTATCTCTGTACAATCTTGGGATTAAACTATTGCTGGGATAATTCGGTTATTCTGAAAATTAACCAACAATGAAATATATAGACTCCTATTTTTAAAACCTAAATATTATCTATATTATATATAATATACAGAAAAGAACTGAATTAATGAACAATTAATAGCATTAGGTATAATTTATGATGTCAACACCCCTATTTGTATAAAATCACAAGATACCGTCTACTTTCTACATTGCATTAATTCTCAGACATGTATCCTGAAAAACACATAATATTACATGGGAAGATTCAATTATGGGAAACCACTGGGTCCAGGAAACCAATATCTAATATATCAGAGTGCACAATTACAGCATTATGAGTAATAACATGGATTCTTACTGATTAATTTATCGGGGGAGTGCGGGGAATGCGTCGGAGGAAATGGCTCAGGTTACTGTTTACTGTCACATGCCTTTCAACGTGATGGCAATATTGCTTTCCTGTGTGCTAGACAGTAAATATATCAGCTAACTTGTGCAGTGCAATATGAGTGAAAAGGAAGACTATTTATTAAGACATTTGTACTTAATGCCATCTAAACAACAATTCCAATGAATGCATAAAGGCGTACCAGAAAGGCATGGAGGAACACTTACGAGGAACACTGCAGAAAGTTTGTCTTATACTGTGCATTTACAAAAATGGAAAACATGTATGATAGTTTGACATCCGCTCAAAGTTATACGTATCCTCGAAAGAAGAGATGATAGGATTTCATATTTCCGGTTATAATTTCCGCAACATAGCAATAAGACATTGTGGGCAAGATCAACAATTTATGTCATAAAATGTCGCTACCTGGCTGCAAACGTGTAACCATTTGTAACAAACACTGAATACCAACCAGCAAGCAGTGTCACAATAAATGGAGGCAATGACAATATATCACCGCCCAGTATCACCGCTTCTTGGTGGTGACATAAAGATAGGAACTCATCACCACGTCTGCAAGCAGTCAACAATGGTAGACACACAAGCATGTACATCATTTGAACAACTAAGATAGACTGAGGACATCATCAAAAGAGCAAAAAGGCGTACAAAGGCAATTGTATCCATACACACATGTGACCTTTTCCTGTTTACAATATTATTTTCAAAAGGTTTTGAGTTGAAGTCTAGTAAACATTATGTACTTATGTAATCAGCACAACGATTTGGATGATTCGATTATAAGAGTGCTGCTAACTCGATAAAAGGCTGGCGCTGGCTAGAATTGTCTATGGTTCTAGCCAGGATAAAGATACCAGTTCTTCAACTTGACAATGGGAAGAACTGCTCTACCTTAGTGACTAATATGTCATGAAATGACATCTCCAGAGTCAATAAAAGATATATATATATAGGCTTTAGAAGCATTATTGCCCTCCCCCTGTTGATACATTCTTTGAGAAACATTTATACATTGAGGAAGTTTGTATACTGGACAGCAAGGGCATATGGGAAGTTTCCTGGTCAGTCACATCACTGTACCGAGAGTATATGTGATTGATGAATGGTGTTATAATTGCAAAGTTTATTATTTGATTTAAAAATGTTTAAATCATTTACAATTTTATGGGTATATACATGGGTATTATGTAAAACTATGTATTTTGGGAACAGGTAAATGAATGGAAGTGTCATCAGCAATATAAAAGTTAACAATTAAATAAAAACTGACGGTAGATCATTTATTCAAATTAAAGAGAATTGGCTTAGTTAAAGGCTGCCTCGGGGCACATTGGTAATGCAATGTGTCCAACTTAAATATATTCCCTGAATTTTGTTTAAATCAATATACCCCATGTGAAAGATAGTGGTTCTTACACTCTCCCCTAGTAAATATTTTATACTTTTTCTTTGATATTTATTCATATTTATCTTCATTATTCAATTTGATATATTCATAAAGATAATCCATTTCCATGGTAACAGATTGTACATAGAGTGAATATTTGGCGATTCACTGCCTGTATGTATGCTTCGAGTCAACATACTGATCCCACACCTGTTCATCTAATATTATATAGATCTTACAAGTTAAAGTCTCATAAGTCTCATTGCCATGGCAACAGATATTGCCTAGAAACCTCAAGTGTATGAGCATTTTAGGAGCATGCCTGTCTTGAGTTTAAATTCATTAGGCCATTATTATTACTTATCAAAAATGTTACAAGTACAAGTAGTAAATTGTTGCTAGGGAAACAAATACTGTTTAAAATCTGAACACTTTTATCACTTCTCTGTAAGTATCTGCTGTATGAGTTTCAAGTCAATCTGACTTTTTACCTCTTGGATAGAAGCCTCTAAAGGTGTT